AAAAAGGCCTATAACAGTTAAAATGCAGTATTATTAGCTAAAGATAGCTATACTGCTATTATCTTTATTTATCTATTATATTTAACAACACAAGAGGCTATATTAGAGGCCCTAAAAGCCCTAAAGGCCCTTATAAAGACACAATTTTAGCAGAATATCTGCATTATTCACAGAGATAACGATCCAGGCCTTCAACTAGATTATAGTGCAACTGTCAGCCAGAAAAACAACAATTTAGGGGGTGCATGCGCTGTAGCAATTGCGCAGTAATATATAAGGTTAATTTGCGTCTCTAATTGCTGGAGCGCGTTCTACTTTTGCGTGGTGCAGTTGACCTATTTTCCGCCAACAGTTATGAGCCCGGTTGCCGCAGGCTCTGTGCCGCTGCCACGGTCGCATGTTCGAACCCTGTTACAATACAACTATATTTTACAAGAGCCTTCTATAATAACAACTATAACTACAACTATAACTACAACTATTACTATAACTATTATAAGCAATAAAAAAAATCACCTACTTAATAACAGTACAGCAAAGCTCTAGCGCACTTATATAGCTTATAGCGCTAAGAGGGCTAAAAGCTAGGGGGGTATATTAGCTAAAAAAACAATAATCTAGGGGGGTATATACGCTATATAATTGCGTAGTAATATATAAGGTTAATTTGCGTCTCTAATTGCTAGAGCGCATTCTACTTTTGCGTAGTGCAGTTAACCTTGCGATTTTCCGCTAACAGTTATAAGCCTAGTGTCAGCGGCAGATACTGCCTACTAGAAAAAACACCTACAAAAACAAAGGAAACAACTGCAGCACACAAATTGCCTATAAGGAACGTTTGCATGCATTTTATATGCAAGGATTTAATATACTTTACGCCTACATTCCTTTGCATATATAAATAAGGTTAAAAGAGGAATGCTAGCTGGAATTCAACAAAAAGACTAATAAGCTATAAAGGCTAATCTACCCTATAGCAGGAAAGCAGCTACAAGAGTTATTTTTAGCCTCTAAGGTTATTTTAAGCCACTATCTATGCCTAATCCAGCAGCCCTACTATAGGATTTACCTATAAATAACCCTCCTTCCCCCCAACTAGATAGAGAGGAAATTAAGCCTCTACAACTACATTCTTTAATACATACTATTACATACAATTTTATACTATATCTAAAGTCACTTCTATTATACCTTAAGAATCCCTATTATCTTATGCTTAGTAATCAACTAGATTACATAAGCTCTATCTATTATACCTATACTATATATAAAGAGTCCCTTAATTGGCCGACAATAACATAGAAAGTTTATATTAATTACTTAAAGTAGTTTATTCTCTAATAAAAATAACTAAAACTACTTAAACTTAAATATTAAAATATAGCAGGCTAAAAATTAAAAATAATTAAAAGCTAGTAATAGTTAATATAATTAGTATTATTAAGAGAAGTTAGTATTAAAGTTAATACTAGTCTCTTTTTCTCTTAAACTATTAAGAGAGAAAGTAGAGATAGTTATATAACTTAAAGAAATAAGAGATATTACTATAAAGTAGACTTAGCTAAAAAACTTAGAGAAGATAAGCATTAATACTACTAAATGCCTATTATAAGCATTACACGTCTTACAGCACTCTTTAACTTTAAGTATAAAACTATATTAGCATAAATGCTCTGCAGGCATGTCGTCCTCCTAAGCTAACTCATTCCAAGCACCTTGTAGCATCCCGAAAAACGCCGGCCGATATGCTTATGCTGCTTCAAGGTCTTGTCGTGGCCGGAGGTGCTAGTTGCATGCTTCAAATCAAGGCACCGCATTCATCACTCGGCTTTTGGACAACTGCATCCGGCATCTTCCTCGCTTACTTCTTCCTTGCCCAGATATGGCGCATCATTGTCTATCCACGCTTCTTCAGCCCGCTTCGGCACCTGCCACACCCTCGCGACGGACACTGGCTATGGGATCAAACCATGAGAATTCTGAAAGAGCCTACAGGTGTACCCATGCGGAATTGGCTTGATAGTACTCCGAACGATGGGTTGCTGGTGTATTCTACATGGTTTGAGCAGCGAGTACTGGTGACGAATCCCAAAGGTCTCGCCGAGGTTCTCGCGACGAAAAACTACGACTTCGAGAAACCCAAGCAATTCAGCCAATCGCTGGGTAGATTTCTGGGTCTGGGTATCTTGTTTGCCGAGCGTGATGAACACAAGAGACAGCGCAAGAACCTGATGCCCGCCTTTGCTTTCCGCCACATCAAAGACCTATACCCAACCTTCTGGATCAAGTCGCAGGAGATGGCCGAGCTTCTGTCTGCGACCATCAAAGCAAAGTCTGACCCCGGCGCAGCAGAGAAGAACAAAACTCAGGCCGGTCCCAACGGCCTTGCGCATCCTCCTGGAGCCATTGAAGTATACGACTGGAGTTCGCGTGCTACGCTGGACATCATTGGAGTGGCAGGAATGGACCGTGACTTCAACTCCCTTAAGAATCCTGCGAATAAGCTAAACCAAGTCTACAAGACTATTTTCAACCCGGGAGGTGTCGAGAGATTCACCAGGCTTTTGGCTCAATTCGTCCCCATCCAACTCGTCCGTCTCCTGCCGCTCAAGCGCAACGCCGAGATGAGCGAAGCCAGCTCTTACATCAAGCAAGTTTGCCGAGACCTGATTGCTGGGAAACGAGAACAACTTAGCACCCAGAAGCGTCGCTCCGGGGCGGACGTGGATATTCTTTCTGTTGCGCTCGCGTCCGGCGGCTTTAGCGACGAAGACCTCGTGAACCAGATGATGACTTCCTCCTCGCCGGACACGAAACGACAGCCACGGCCATGTCCTGGGCCGTGTACGAGCTCTGCAGACGCCCCGAGGTCCAAAAACACCTGCGCGACCAAGTTCGACCGAAACTCGCTTCCCTCGGCGACGCCATCACCGCCGCCGAAATAGACAGCTGCTCGTACTTGCAAGCCTTCTGCAACGAGGTGCTTCGAGTGTGGTCTCCCGTCCCGCTGACCCTGCGCGTGGCCGCAAAGGACACCAGCATCCTAGGCCAGTTCATCCCCAAGGGCACGCCGGTGATTCTTTGCCCATGGGCCGTAAACTTGTCCGAGAAGCTCTGGGGCGCAGATGCCGGGCAGTTCAAGCCCGAGCGCTGGCTGGATGCTGACGGTCATACGAACAACCGCGGATCTGCAGACTCCAACTACTCCTTCCTGACATTTCTACACGGGCCGCGAAGCTGCATAGGGCAGAAGTTCGCACAGGCCGAGCTTGCGTGCTTGGTTGCTGCTTGGGTGAGCAGATTCGAGACGAGATTCGAGGATGGGGGGCCGCTCGCCAAGGGTGAAGAGCCAGGTATTGCTACCGGCGTTACTTCGAAGCCGAAGGGGGGGTTATGGGTGCAGTTGGCGGAGATTGAGGAAGGTCATTGAGAGGTTTACAAAAGCAACGGCGGATTCAACCACGCAAACATGATGTCTCTGGATTGATCGGAAACTGCCCCAGTCATGACATGACGACTGGAATATCCCGGGCAGGAATCGCAAGGGACTATGGAGAACCGATAACTACACTGTGTCACGTTCAAAGCTGGTGCGCCGAGTCGCAAAGAAGCCATGTAGAGAATCAAGCCGGAGGACGAGGTCCAAGCCCATCAGGCTTTCAACCTTTCAACCTTGTGACTTTCCGTATCGCTGTTCCCAGACTCCCCACCCATGGCTTCCCTACATACTGCTTGCAAATTCTTCTCCTCGGAGTGATCAGGCGCGATGCCGCCGAGCTCAGGATCCTCCAGGGTCGTTTTCGTATTCTTTTCTCTGATTACATTCCAAGCCGGCACGCTCTCAGTGACTCGGAGGTGCTGCCGTGTGAAGAACAGGGCGTACTGGTAGATAGACCAATACACGCTCCCTACCGCCACGAAGATCATGAGCATTTTCAGGATCAAGAACGGTGGGAGTGCCAGCCACGACACTCGCTCGTCCGTCGGAGCCTTGCGTCTGAAAAGCCCCAGGTGCACAATGTTGAACCAACAACAGAGGATGAAGTACGCAAAGATTGTTCCGAACCAAAGCGTCAACGTCAAGCGCCAGTTGGCCGCCAAGGCCACGGGCAAAAAGACCGGAGTGATTAGGAGGAGAAGCGTGTCGTAGCTCTCTCCGAGGGCGTAAATCTTCATGATGAGCATCCGCCAGCCCAGCCGCCAGCAGAAGAGCACATACATGGCGTTTGACCAGACACGAAAGAGGAAGAAAAAATTCCAGCGAAAGAAGCGCTGCTGAACGACCGACATCTCGCCGTAGCCAGAGCGCGAGGATCGCTTGCGAGGGAGGCAGTACGGGAAGAGACGTGGCGGGGTTTCAGTCTCGACAAAAACCGACGAGCTCATCATGATGCTGTAGCCGGCAGCCCTGGCCGTGTGGCCAAGCCACCAGTCTTCGGAGATTGAGTACCCCGGATGGCCGCGTAGCAGCTGCTGAAGCACGTCGCGGCGCCACAGGGAGATGGCCCCGTGAGGGAAGATGGCGCCGCCGAACTTGGCCTGGAACACCTTTGACAGCCCCGAGAGCTTGTACTCGAGGTCCTGGGCCTGCTGGATGATCGTTCCGCGGGACGAACTGGACCCCACGCTCTTGATGGTGTATCCGACGCACGCCACGCTCTCTCGGCCGGGGCCGGTGAAGCAGTGCGTCGGGATGGGCAAGTTGGGCGGCAGCAGAACGTCATCGTCTATCAGTAAGCAGTACTCGAACTCGGTGCCTACCATGACGCCGACAAACTGGGCGGTGATTTTGCTGCCCACGGGAAGCCAAGTGTGCCGCACCCCAAACTCGGAGCACACATCGGCGGTATTGTCGAGCGGGACGCTCGAATTGCCGTTGGCCACGACGAAGACTTGGTTGGGCCTGAAGATTTGCAGACACGCCGGCAGTGTTGAGCGCAGCGTCTCGGCGGATTTGTAACACGAAATGATGACGCAGGTCTGAGACACGCCCTGGTCACTGTGCGCGGTCGTCTCCTCGGCTGGACTCTCGAACTTGCTGAGAAACTGAGGGAGGACATCTCGTATCATGCCCGCGACGAGAAAGGCCACCAGCCCAGAGATGTGCTGCGAGCCCGCCGCGCCCTCATACCATCGCCAGAAGGAGAGCACGGCGCCGGGCCAGATGGGCCATCCAACCAGCGCGAAATACACAATGATTGCAATAACTAAAATGTACAGTGCCCTGAAGGCTGTCTTTCTTTTGAGACCAGGCACTGTACGTTTCTGTTTATCGTCCATGAGCCTTGTCAAGGCCTCAAACTCGGCATCGTCGAGAGTTGACTGCTCCAACGGCAAAGCCTTGGTCTGGTGTTTGATATTTTGGACCATGTACTTGGGCGAAATTGATGACGTTGGGTGGTATGAGCGGAATGGATGATGTTTTGCCCGCGATGGTTTCTCGACCTTTTCCTCGGCAGTAGAGGTAGAGGCACCGGGGCTTGGGATGGAGTCCGTGTCGAGCACGGGTAGTGAGTGCTGCGACTTGCGGAGCGGCAACAAGGCAGCATCCGGCGGCCTCGGGCACGAACCAGAGTCATCTGACGCATCAAGTCCAGGCCTCGACTCGCGAGACTCGGTAGCTGCCAAAGGCCAGGACATGGTGAAGGATCTTGCAAGGATTGCCCGCTGAACGGGAAGCTGCTGAGAAGCTGGCGGGAAAGAAGGGACGTAGGCAGGCCGGATGGGTTTTTAATAGCAGGTAAAAGGGATATAATTCAGGCACATGTGATGATAAACCGGATGACAGTGACTGGGCAGCCAGCTTGTTGATGCAGCAAACTGGCCCAGAAAACGGCTAGATATCTTATATTTTAACGTGGAATCTCGCTCTGGTTTGCGATGCGCTGCAAGACTATTTCTATGCTTGCTGGCGGCTAAAGGCTCGTATCCCCAAAGTAAAGTAGATCCTGACCTACTCCAGAGCCCAAATACAGATAGACGCCACTTGTACGCACCTGAGACGCCTGGTTTTTTCAAATCTTGCCGCACCATTGCTGCACTCACTCGACAGTGCTGGCACGTCGGCTGTCTTAGGTCGTTGCGTGATACTCTGACAATGAGGATTGTCGAGAAGTCGTGAGCCCTCGTCGGCCGTGGCGCGTGAATTCGCCCAATCAAGGCTATTTATTCCCAGGCCAGGCGCCTGTTTGGGTCAATTGGTCGGGGCGCTCAATCCCCACCACGCCCCATTTTTTCCGCCGTTAGCCCGCCGCCACACCACCCATACATCCTCAGCACACGTGAAGCGGCGTTGACATGCTGCCGTGAGGAACCAGTTGACCTGTGTGGGTCGGTTAGCGCCCTCCAAGCTAGCCAGATCTGAACAATCAGCGCGGCGGTTGTCTGTCAGCCACAGCCGCGGAGCTGAAATAACGGTCCATTGCCATCTCCGCTCTTCTTCCGGTCGGCGGGCTGACATTCAGCTGCGATTTAGATCAGGGCCTAAGCCGGCAATACATTCCATCTCGACATCTTCGATGCCGCTGCCACACCTCTTCTTGGCTCTCTCTATGCGGTCAATGTTCTGTCTGCACTGCAGCCATTGACTCCTCGTGTTTACGCGACTCCGGCGCCGCTGCAGCTCAGATATCAACAACCATTGTGCACTTGGCGCAAGCTGCTGTCTGTCTCCCCCCACGCGAGAGCATTAGATGTGTTGTTTATTTTCATCAACTCGGCTTCGGACACTCTTCAGCAAGTCCATGTTTCATCCAAAACATTCTGTGTCGGTGCTGCTACGGCCTTGAGCTGTTGAGAAATACGCCTACGACTTCATCGGTGGCGTCATTCAACCTTGACACACCGCTATTGGCTCTTCTTCTTCTACCTGTGTCATACCTTCAAGGATGGGCCTATTGGTTACTGTTCTAGTTACTAAGAAAATCCCAGTTGGCAGCCATGCGCGTGGCTTTCGTGACACCATCCATCGCACCTTGGACTAGATTGGCTCAGCTCAAACGAGGTTATTGCCAAGAGGCTTGCATCCACAGACCAACTACCCAGCTATTCAAGTTCGTCGGCTGGGGAGTCATTCTCAGCTCGCCCGTGCCTAGAAACACTGTCGCCATCCATACTTTACCATCGACCAAGAACCCTTGAGCCGGAAGCATCCCGCCATCAGATATCACCCGCATCGGTAGGTTTCGGCGATCTCATTTATGCTGTAGATCTTGAGATGGCCTTGTATCTTGACTCTACAACTTGACACCCGGCTTCTCGTATTGACGCGCTGGCTCAGCAGCTTATTTTCGTCCCAAAGGTAAACATCTCCCCCAGAATTAGAACGTATAAGATTCAGACAAAGCTCCTCTTTCGTACCACGCCACCACCGACAAATTCATCCAGCGAGCTGTCGCAACCTGGAATCACATGGTTGATTAGTTGACTACCACGGCAAAATCAGTTTCTTCAGCTTTCACAGGCCAAACACAGCTGTCTGCATGCAAGAACTAGCTGCATGTAGCCTCTATCCTCGTGGCAACGGACACTAAGAGCTCGCTGGGCTCCAAACTCCAAGCTGCCGCTGTTGCAAAAAGACAGGCACAAGGTCTGAGGCTGACGTACCCGGAGAGGCCGATATCAAAAGTCATGCCCACGCCAATATCAATCACTCCGCCCAACGAGGGTTTGCTTGGCTGCAGCCAGTCCACTGACGTGTGGCTGCGACGACATGCCAAAGCAAGCCCGCGGGCAGATATCGTCGTGGCTGTTGTCGGAGTCGGTTACGTCGGGAAGAGGCTCGTTCAGTCCTTTTCAGCACGCTTCAAAGTCATCGCCTACGACATCTCGTCCGAGATGCTGCGTGCCGCGAGACGTGAGCTTTCCGGCCGAGACATCGCCTACACGACCTGCCCAATGGACATGAAGCAGGCTACCCATTTCCTTATCGCTGTTCCAACCTTGGCGAATCCAGATACATCCATCGACACGTCGCACATCAGCCATGTCATCAGGACCGTGGCAACGGTTGCTCAGCAAGGCTCGACTATAGTCATAGAGAGCTCCGTAGCCGTTGGCATGACGAGACATCTTCTCGCCCCCATTGCAGCCTCGCATGGCTTGTTCGCCGGCATGTCCCCGGAGCGTGTCGACCCTGGGCGCGCGAATCCCACGTGCGCAGACACCCCAAAGATCATATCCGGGCTTGAAGACACGGCGCCCGGCTCCCTCGCCGCTATCAAGCTGGCCTATGAGCCAGTGTTCAGCAGGCTGGTCCCGGTGTCCTCCCCCGAGGTAGCTGAGATGACAAAGCTCTACGAGAACTGCCAAAGAATGATGTGTATCGCCTTTGTGAATGAGATGGCCGACGCCGCCCTGTCACACGGCATCGATCCTTTCGAGGTCTCAAAAGCTGCCGCCACCAAGCCCTTTGGATATGCCCCCTACTCGCCGTCCGTCGGCGTCGGCGGCCACTGCATTCCCGTCAACCCCTACTACTTGCTTTCGAATGGCTCGTTCCCGCTACTGCAGGCCGCCACAGAGACCATGGCCGCCCGCCCGGCGCGGATCGCCAAGCGAGCCACGGAGGATTTCAAGCGTTCGCCTGCCAATGTTTCGGGGAGGAGGAGCCGAGTTCTTGTCGTTGGCGTGGGCTTCAAAGCCGGCCAGTCAATGCTGAATCATTCCCCGGGCGTGGCCCTCCTGGATGCACTACACGAGCAAGGCCAGGTTGACGTGAGCTTTGCCGATCCTCTTGTGAGACAAGAGCAGCTCCCTCACGTCGCGCGGCTTGATGAAACAGAATGGGACCAGCCTATGCTAGAAACCTTTGACATCATCATTGTATGCGTGAAGCAGCCCGGCCTGGATTACCAGCTGCTGCATCAGCTTTACGATGTGAGGGTCGAGAATTGGTGCGAATAAGTGACATCGTTTGTACGTACACATGGTCCGTAGCAAAAGACTTTCAAACTACCTACAAGAACGTTGCTTCTGACATCGGAAACGCTTCATTTTTGAGTCCACGCCACATGCAGCCGTGATGAGAAAAGTGACGCGAACATGAACATTGTATAAGCTTTTCTCGTCCCTATGAGACAATTTTCCATCGGCGGAAAATAGTATTCTTCTGGGAATTAGCAGCTTCATTTTGGTTGCGGAGACGGGCCAGAATGTAAAAAAGCGGTTTTCGTTGACTAGCCAAGGATATGAACCGGGGCTACTGTTAAGAATGCCCTTGGCCTCGTTACATCGCAGCGCGGCAGTATGACGCTGCTGGGTACGGAGTCGGGTTGGGACTGATATCGTCGTATTCGCAAACTGGCAGAGGCAGAGGCTTCAGGGCAGCCTCAAAGGGGCATCACATCGTTTGATAACACGTGCATATCCGCGGACTCTATCAAAGGGAGTTTGCTAACTGGGTCGAGGATGTTATGCTCCGGGTGTTTTTTTAATAGTTTTGGCATGTTGAGCCCTGTACATCACAAGTTATAGAACTATTCCTGTCACGGTACGGCTCAATAATGCATGTGCGAAAACGAGATGGGGAAAGACTCGCATCATGCTCTATTCCCGGGAAAGCAAGCCGCGAGGGTACAGCTTCACGAAGACGAATATTAGCATGTAGAGATTGATTACATCAGGACTCCATGCAATGCCTAAGATGAATGAGGCATGGTCCGTCAAGAGGCCCCTAACATGCTCCATGTCTCGAAGCTCCAGACCCAACATAAAGGTCTGCATGTGCCTTAGCTTCTACTACTACGGGGCCTGGGCGATGTCGACGGCCATCGGGTAAGTGTCTACGGAGTGCTAGCATTGATAAATGACTTTCTGCCAATGCCATACACAACGTCCTCATCTAAGCTTCAAATTTAACAATGCAAGATCGTCTATGGCCCGGCTTCTTGTTTTCGTCCTTGACTCCTCTGGTGATGAACCATATATGACATCACAACTCTCAAAAGGCTTCCTATCACAGCTATGCCTAGCATTCACATGCACCACGCAAGTTGGGCCAAACCCAACCCAAAACTACGGCACGCTTATCGTGTCAGGCATCAAGTACGATGACGGCAGTCAAGTGACGATCAGTGACCTCCTTGGCGTTATACTCAAATCACCAGCTGCTGCTAGCACCAACGGCATTGTCGTATGTGCCAATCCTCGGCGAGCTGTTTCGGCAGATGTCACCATGGAGCAAATTGACGAGTCGACCAAGCTTGTCACTGCGAAACCCACCAACTTGACAAGTAGCTACAAGTTCAATGCATTCGACGCGGTGACGATGGGCATCAATGCGACTTCACCCAGACATATACACGGGACTCTTTCTACTCGCCGCCGAAGCGCTCACTGACATCGACGGGACTGTTGAGATTGCAACGCTGGCAGCTCCCGACCCGGCGCCTGTGCCCCAGAAAGTCATGCTGTCCTCTGTACAAGGCTTAGAAAGCTATTCCGCCAGCTTTCTCCTAGGAGTGACTACTTCAGTCCAAATTCCAAGCGGCATGTATAGAGTTTTAAGCGTAGAACTTGCGCCTAAGGACTAAACAGTTATCACAACGTCTAAAGTCTTGCTTTCCCCTTTAATTGTTCACACTAGGTAGGTGAGACTACCGGTTTCAACGTGACTTGGCCCGTTTCAAACTTACAGCGCTACAGATGTGTCGATTGGAGACGTATCGTCTCTTGCGGCTGAAATGTTCTATATACCCTGACTCTTTTTCTACGCAGTCAACTGCCTAACTGTACTAATAGTTGCAAGCAACAGCAGTGTAGAGCTGGATTTGTACCAGTAAAAAGCCTAAACCTGCCCTTTCACTGGTTCCGGGACTTGTTCAGCTTCGGTGGGCTTGAGGACCTGACCTCAAACATTGCAGATGACTTTATCGCGACTCGTGCTTCGTCTGCCTTCAGATATGCTGGTGTAAATAGCGCCGGCGACAAGGAAAAACTCTTAGCAGATGATACTGCTACTAGACGTAGCTGTTCAGCTCCCGGGAGATATAGAGTCTAAACTTGAGGATGGCAGCTCCGTACCGACGACTGTGATATCCTATGCCTGCAACCATTCCCCGGGCGACATTCGCTTGCAGCCACAAGTCACGACTGGTCTCAACCTAGCTTTGGCAACCCGGCAACATGATCCTCTCGCTCAATATGTCCACCATCACCATCGGTCACGGCTATCCTCTACCGGCGAGATACACTATCGACGCCGAACACCTCGGAGAGGGTCAGAAGGAGAGTCTTGTCGAATACACCATGCCGTCAAATAGCTTTTTCGCGGCGCACCTGCACCCAGCGTCACGGTCGGTTGGCAAGCAACATCTGGGGCGGCGGCGGCACTTTATTTGGGTCTACTATTCGGGGCAGATAATCGAGGTCCGCTTGATCGAGCCAAGCAGACAGCCTATTATACGAACAAACTCGGCATCTACGACGAATACCCGCTAGACTTGCCTTGCCGTCGATGGGTACGAAGCCTAGGACTGGACGCAGCGCGCCTACCTCAACGGATACTTCTGTGGTTCAAGTAGATGGCGCCGCTACTACAACTTTGTCAAGTATCTAAGCCTACTAGAGACCAGCAAGTGCCCGTGAATCTTTGTAACAGACAACAGCTAAAGGTTGTCAGGGTCCCGGATCGCTAAGTGCGGATCAGTCTTCCTTAGTTGTCCGTGATTAGTCACAGTCGCCCAGCTTCACGTGATCTAATCACGGAAGATAAAATTTGTACACTCCACAAGTCTGCACAGTTTTTCTTGAACAACATCCTCTTCCCTCAGCCCACTCGCTCACGGGAGTTTGACATGGTATGGCCGATGACGCTGCAGCGCACTCGCAGAAAGCTCCTCGGAACCGGTGAGTAACAGTCCTTCTCACGTCTTGCTGTTTTCTAGGACCACTATGATGAATTTTCCCTTGTGAAATTACCGCGGCTTATGACACTCGTCAGAGTGGCCTGATTACGAATTTTACTCAACAACTAGTTCCTGACTTTGTTTTCGTACTCGTTCCTCTTGGTTATCAACTAGACACGTGTATCTGAGTGGTTGCTAACAAAGTTTGCAGTTCCAGTGCAACTTATTCACAACGGACCGAACTTGTTGTTTTCGCAGACCGACGTAGCAAGCCAGCAATTGTCGATGCGGTTCTGTCCAGCTTATCCACGTCTGCTCAAGGAGTACAACTCTTGACGACGACATGAACCTTACGGTCCAGTCTCCCCGTGTCCAAGACTAACATCCCAGAACTGCCTAGCCGATGTTTAGATGCTTGACTTTAGGATTATGTTGGCTTCTTAGCTAGCCCCCCAGATGAATAAACTCTTCGCCCCGTCGTTTTAAGCTCTTGGTGCCGTTGTATTGATGACGATATCTCCCGCGCTGCTGCCGCCTCTTGAATGATATGGGGGAAAAGCGCACTACAAACTGGGCACACCGGGCCAAAGGAATTGATCCCACGGTGGGAGGGACTCTGCCGCCGCGACGTCGCCGTCGAGCCCGTATGCATTCGACCCTTTGCTTTGCGACGTGCAAGAAAATGCCCCTGGACCGCCCCCAATGACCTCAACAGCGGCAGTTGCAAAAGCCCTCCATCCAGACCAGTAACACATCTTGTCTTCTCGCACGTAGGCGACTTGTGCCGTGCCAGCGACCGACGACAGGCATGGCGCTTGAGACGGCGGTGTCAGCGGCAACAAAGCGAAAGACAACATCACCAGGCCAGGCGAGACTCGGAGGAACAGAGCAACAGCGACGTCGGCAGCGGCAAAGCCACGAACTTCAATACACGACGCAAAGCCAATCCAGATCTGCTACCCGTGAGACATGGCAACTTGATAACCACGCCGTTAGACATGAATATCAACATTGCTTACCCTACGCCCCGATTTCACTCAGAACCCCGACATTGACGTGCCGCCTAGGCAGTCTGTCTCGGCCCCCAACCCCAGCTTTTGGCCAACGTTACCTGTCCGCAACTCACATGACAATCTGACAGCCTGCATCGTAAGACACACGCGGGGGTGTGCTGTACTGCGGAGGATGGAAGAGATGAAACCCGCATGAGAGCGGGCCAAAATAATATGACAGGCGTGCAGACGCACACGCACCTCGGCCGGCATGGCACCTCTTCGGCATTGGTGCATTGTGTTGCGTCAATAATTGAATGTGAGTTGATGCCTGGACAGACTGTGGGCTTCGAGAGGCTCGCGCGCCATGTCCGATGCCGCCTGTTGCTGGGACGGTAAGCGCTTGTTGAGATACCATGGCCAAATCGAGACCGCCATGACGGAATGTCTCGAGGTTACAACAACCGTGTACGCCTACGCCCCGGGCGTATCGTGAGTGCATACGGAATACTAGTACTTTTTGTGAACTGTTACTGTGGCACGCCGAGCTTGCGGCACACACCCATCTTGTCTTCGCGCCCCTGGAGATCACCAACGCATGGCTGGCTGGACCAAAACCGTGGGTACGGAGCGCGCTGGCCGAATATGACTAATACCGCCGTGTATTTGATGGCACTGCTTATGGAGAGGGGAGCGTGCGAACTCGGCCAACACTTTAATAGTTGGGTCATTTCTGGTCAATACCCCGTGAGAGGCATCTACGAAACCAGACAGTTTCCCCTTATCCCTCTTACCCATATCAACTTCAACACAATCATGTCTACCCTCATCTCAGCAGACAACGAGTGGTCCCCGCTCAAGGCAGTCATTGTTGGCAGAGCAGAGCACTCGGCATTCCCGTCTGAGCCACGCGCGGTCTTCGAGGCGAGCATGCCCGCAGAGCATGTGGACGAGTTCAGGCCGAGAAACCCGTTCCCCGCGGACATTGTCGCCAAAGCCCAGGAGGAGCTGGACAACTTGGCCTCTGTGCTCCAGCAGCACGGCGTCAAGGTCTACCGCCCGGACGAGGTGGACTGGCTCAAGGTGGGCGGCTACACGGGTTCGATGCCCCGCGACACCTTGATGACGGTGGGCAACACGCTCATCGAGTCCCCCTTTGCCTGGGCCTGCCGCCGGCGCGAGGTCGAGCTCGGATACTCGAGCATCTTGCGTGAGCTGTCGTCGGGCGCCGGAGCCGCCCGCATCTGCCGCGCGCCCACCATCATCGGCAAGGACACCATCTATGACCGGTCTGTGATTGACGGCACGCGCAGCGCTGCCTCCTCCAACGGCAGTCCCAGCTGGTCCATCAACAATACGCGCCCGGCGACGGACGTGGCCGACTTTATGCGGCTGGGCAAGACCATCGTCGGGCAGCTGAGCCACGTCACCAACATGAAGGGCATCGAGTACCTCCGCGCCCAGGTGCCCGACGGCTACTCGGTCGAGGTGCTTCGCACGACCGACGACCACGCCATGCACATTGACACGACGATACTGCCCCTGCGTCACGGCCTGGCCGTGTACAACCCGGAGCGCGTGTCCGAGGACGAGCTGCGGAGGCACGCCGTCTTTGCCGGCTGGGATCTGCGTCCGTACCCCTTCAAGCCGAAGCCCCGAGGTCCATCGAGTCCGCCCATGTACATGTGCTCGCCGTGGCTGGTGCTCAACGCACTTAGCCTCAACGAGAAGCAAATATTCGTAGAGGAGCAAGATGTTGAGTTTGCCAACTGGCTGCGGGACGAGTTCGGAATGGAGCCTATTATGCTGCCGTTTCAGCATGTGAACAGCCTCGGAGGTTCGTTTCACTGCGCCACGGTGGATTTGGTGCGCGAGTAGACGGACAAGGCGATCTGGCGTTGGCCATGGCAGTCGGGATGACAATATTTGCCAAGCCAAGACGGACGCTCGAGTAGTGAACAATGCAACTTGCGAAACGGCTTGTTATACAATGTAAAGAGCACGCACGGTGTACACCACGGCGCGTCTCCCACGGCTTGTCGTTCGGGACGGGCCCGCGTACTCTCTAAAGGACGACGTAGATCATTCGACTGAGTTTTCCATTTGCAGCTCGTTCCGTGTAGTCCGTCCGCATGGCGTAAATCTGTCGCTGAATGGCATTGGGGAGTTCTTCGAGCGAATGAGCGGTTGACGGACTTGGTCGCCGAGCTGATCAGGGGGTGTGCGGAGAAGTATTGGTTTTTTTCCCGTGCAAGCCTTGTTGGCAAGTTCTAAAAAGGAACCATGATAAAACATGACAAATGATTATAGCGCTCGCTTTTTCCTCCAGTCTGTCGGGACTGGAGCGATGGAGGAATGCTTCCGCAACAAAATGGGCCGCCAACGTCCGCGTTTGCCACGGGTGGGCCATTTTGCCGCGAAAAGTTGCCGGTTTGGTTTCTGGCTGCAGAGGAAAAAACAAAGACCCAGCACAGGCTTGTATGTAAGTCTCAGTTGCGGGCGTGTACTCCGTAGTGGCAACACAGAAAAATAAATAAAGAGACAAATGAGAACCAGGCCGTTTGTGTCACCGTGTTCTCAATTTCCTCTGTGAGGAGTGCCGGCCCTCCATGGTGGTAGCACAAAAGCAACTTGGGACAAAAATGCTCACCTCAGACCCTGCCGGCGCCTATTCACTGACCGCAAAAAGCCACTTGATTCTTCATTTTCATTTTTGCAGACCAATTGACGCCAATTGAGGCACTTCGGGCGGCTCGGATGCCTGCCCGTTGTCGTCTGCCGTCATGGCAACAGCCAGTCAAATCCACCAGCGGGCACACCCGGCGTCTTTGCCACCGGCTGCATAGGTGCCGCGGTTCGAGGCCTGTCGCAGTTGACGCAATCTGACATGCTGCGGTTCGGCATCTTGTCCGTCCTCGTTTCGAGTTCCAATTCCAGTGAGAGAGTGCGATCGTTTGGAGAAGTTGCATCGCCGTTATTGCGGGGTCCAGTGGCCCAGTCCCCAGTATGTACATATGGAGACCGCTCGCACGCCTTCACGAGCCGCATATGCAATTAGTCGGGCTCGGGGTATTGCACATCGTTGTGCGGAGTACGTATGCTGAACGCCAACACGGCAGTGGCTCCATGAATTGCGCAAGATCCTAGGAAACCCCCCCGAGATCGACATGCATGTACGCGTGTACAGCGTGCTCCGTGCTCCGTACTCCTTACCGAGGTCCATCACCATCAATAGCTTGACGTCTGGCCCCAACGACGTGGGGTTGGGGAGACGTCTGATATCCACACCCCAGGGGCCTACCGTGAAAACGTCCTCTTCGATCATACGACTCGGAGCCTTTTTGTCATGGCAGGAAACGCTTCGCGCCCGACTTTGGTTCCGATGCCTGCCAATGCCATGCCGTGGCGCCGTGGAAAACTGTCTGCGGTAGAGAGGTCCTCCTGTCTTGTTGCTCGGCTTGGCCAGATGCTGACGATGCAGACGGTGCTCAGTGGCCATTGACCGCCATTTGGAGCCACGTTCTACGAGACCAGACACTTGACTTCTTCCCATCAGGGCTATCACCCTCGCAAGACAATGAGCAGCGACGACGCAAGTTGACCGTTGTGCATGCTCGACGCTGCTGGAATGCGCCTTGGTTTTCCCCGTCACCTTCTCACGATGGTCCGGGTGTTCAGTTGAAAATGGAATATCCTCCTTGTCGTCCTGGTCTGGCTCGTCTCGTCCTGTCTTTTCACACAAGATACACCTACCGCCGGGGTCCTCGCCTGTCGTCCTAGACATCTGCCCATGGAAGCCGTAGAGGATGTCCTGTATGGGACAGTAAGTCTCAGGAGTCGATACCGACGGCAGCAATTAATAGTACAGTCATTGACACAGCCCAGTTCGCTGGTATGCTAGGCAAATACATCGAGTACCCGTTCGACACTGTCAAGGTGCGACTGCAAAGCCAGCCAGACCAGCTGCCTCTACGATATGCTGGCCCACTCGACTGTTTTCGACAATTCCTCAAGTCTGACGGCCCTCTGGGCCTTTACCAAGGCATCGGCGTGCCACTGGTTGGCGCAGCCGTCGAGACCAGCAGTTTGTTTGCCTTCGAAAGCGCGGGCCGAGAGATGATGTACCTGTCCGGATGGGCGTCTCGAGACGAAAGACTGTCGCTTCCTGCACTGCTGCTCACCGGCGCCTTCGCGGGGGCACTCACCTCTTTCGTTCTCAACCCCGTCGAGCTGGTCAAATGCAGGGTTCAAGCCCCAATACCAGCAGATGGCGTCATCACCACGGGCCCTCTACGTGTCATCCAGGACGTATTTCGCAACACGGGCCTCCGCGGCTTTTGGCGAGGTCAAGTGGGCACTCTCATCAGAGAGACGGGAGGCGGCGCGGCTTGGTTCGGTGCCAAGGAGGCCGTGACCGCCATGTTCTACTCCCTACGGACTCAGCCTGCCACATGCCCGTCCCGCAGCGGGGAAATCCTGCTCAGGCCGCTGCCACTGTGGCAACAAGCCGTCGCTGGCGCGTCCGCCGGCGTCTCCTACAACCTCTTGTTCTTCCCCGCCGATACAATCAAATCGCGGATGCAGACGCGGCCCGTTGGCGGGCCGCGGGTGTCTGAGAAGCGTACGTTCCGGAGCGAGTGCTTGGCGCTCTGGCAGAGCCAGGGGCTTCGTGGAATGTATCGCGGCTGCGGCATCACATGCCTTCGGTCCGCGCCTAGTTCCGCACTTATTTTCATGTCATTCGACGGCTTGAAGCGCACCTTTCCACTGTGATGAGCATGCTAAATCCAGCAGCCAGCGCGGAGGTAACCTAGCTGGGATAGCAGGACAAGTTGCTCCATTATCAGGTGGATGCCACAAATGTTCCGCGCTGCCGGCCGGCCGACTTTCGCCTATAGATACACAAACAAGACTTGGTACTTGGGGATTTGATAATGACGGTTGATCTGGGATGCTACCTTCGACTCTGGTAGGGGTGTTGGAATACCAGAGCGCAGCGAATTCTTTTGCAACCGTGTTTCTAGTGCTAACGAGGTTATACTGCGTCCATCAACCGTGCCCATGCCTCCACTTGCCGGCCGGCCCATGTCGTGCTTTGAGAAGAACATTTACGAAACGCCCAGCCTCAGGCCTTGTTTTGCTATCATCTTTCCCCATGGTCATGTGGACATTCTATGTCCCGTAGGATCAGCGACGTGATGCGGTGGGCGTTCCCCCCCAGTCAAGCATGGCTTGCGTGTCACCGTCCAACCGTACGTACCCGTGAGTGGCCATGGGCGAGCGGACGGCGAATGGACGGGGTCAGAGACCCGCATGATAATAATACCAGGACAAAAGGGACATCTAGGCCGTTCTGTTCACGTGAGAGGTTGTTGACCAAGGGAATGGTGGGGAGCGTAGCAATGAGCATAATAGTAAATGGCTGCTATTATATCAGATTCTGCGAAACGTCAAGATGCTTTTGCTCTTACGTCTCCACATTTTCTACCTAATAAATACCTCGTACGTCTTACTAGCTGTTGGCTCCCCTGCTTGGTCACGTATGTACGGGGTCTGTCTGGTGGCCTCTAGCGGGTTGGTTTAAAGGATTCCAGCTGCTTGGCTGGAATGACTGAATGACTGGCTGTACCGGGCCAGGGTCGGGGGGGTAGCAGGGAATACACGATGCCCTGGCAATGCACAGAGGTGTGCGTGGTACTTTTGAAGTGTTCTTCTCTGCTGCCTGGGAGGGGGCAGGTATCGAGACTGAGGAATGCACCGTCTCAATTCCTGATGAAAAGCCGGGGATCAGAAGAAAACCCCGGGCATTCCTTGTCCTTTTTGCGACCTCCAATCCATTCAGCTAGTGTCGACACCGCAGGGAGTATGGTCTATCATGTGTTTTGGCCTTACCCCTGCCGCCTCAGAAACAAGAAGGAAAAAAGGCGAGAAACGCCGGGTTCGCTCACTCGGCAGTGCCGGCTGCACTGGTGTAAAGCTTGTAGAATGCCGACGTTGGGTTGGCCAGGAGGTCTTGGGGGTTCCCGGACTCAACTACTTTCCCCTTGTCGATGAGCACGATTCGATCAAAGTCCAGCACGGTGTGTAGCTTGTGGGCAACGGCTACGAGGGTGCGCTTCTCAAGCTCCTCCCCCAGTATCCGCTGCATGAGTTCGTCCGTTTCTGAATCGACACTGCTCTCCTGTCAGAGATTCCGAAGGGGCAACGTTCACGAGGTAAAAGCTGTAACTTTGTATGATCCATACCTGCTGGTTGCTTCGTCAATAATGACAATGTTACCCGGGCGCGCAATCGCACGGGCGAGGCAGAACAGCTGTCGCTGACCATGAGACAGAGAATCCTCGCTCATTGGGGCGTCAAGTCCACCGCGGCTTTGTAGCAGATCCCAGAGCTGAACCGCGCGCAGCTTTTCAATGATGCGCTCGTCTGTAGATATTTGTAGAGGGTCAACATTCTCACGCACACTTCCGTGCAGGAAAAAGGGTTCTTGGGGCAATGTGTTCAGACGCCTGCGCAATTCCTCACGCGATACCTTGCTAATGTTGTACCCGTCAATGGTTATGCTGCCCGCGTCTAGCTCGAGCATGCGAAGAATTGTCAAGAGAAGTGATGATTTGCCACTAGGAAGGACTCTCAGTAAATAGTGCCGTGAGCTGCCCAGGGGAAGCTTACCTTCCTGTTCGCCCGCATAGGGCAATCTTTTCTCCTGGTTTAACGGCTAGATCAAGTCCATCTACAACAGGCTTAGCAGACGCGTCGTACGAGGCCGAAACGCCTTCAAAAACGATGGAACCGGCCGACGGCCAGTCATCTGGCAAGTCGTCCACCTCTCCACCCAAATCCTCCAGTTTTGTATCCTGGACGAAGGCTTTTATACGGCCGATGGCACCAAGGCCCGTCTCCAATTGTGTCCATTGCGTGACAAAGCTCTGAAGAACGCCGCTGAAATTGATGACGTTGAAAAGCGCTACGCCCAGCAGGCCAGTTGATCCGTTGCGAACCATTGTTGCACATGCAACCAGCATGACGGCGATGCCGCCGGCCAGAAGATCCAAAACAAGGGTTAGCCACCTCTGAATGCACCACAGTAGGTAATATGGCTTTTGAGAGGTGTCAAGAGCGTCATAGCTTCGTTCTGTGTACTCTGCGGACCATCCATATGCACGTATGCAAGTAAGGCCTCCTAGAGTTTCAATGAAGTGGGAAAACAAGGGGGCCTTGGCTTCGATATCAAGCAATCGCAGCTGGCGCGAAGTACGTAGATAGAACATTTGAATAAGGAAAATGAGGGCTGTGCAAACGGGAATCGCAGCAGCAACGTAACCCGAGCCGGTGAACACCAGCACGGCTGAGACGACAACGCCAAGAAAATTCATGACGGTCTCATCCAGAGATTGTGGAAGATCGCTGTCGATGAGCTGCAGGTCCTGACTGAACCTGTTTATGGTCAATCCGGCGTTGGTCGACGTGAGAAAAGACGTTGTGGCGCTGCATTATAGATCATCAGCATCAGCCATCAAAGAGAGGAGCAACGGCCCGACAACGGAGATGGCATAATTACTTACCGCACTGTAGTGTCGAGCAAAAGTTGGTGGAATTTGCGTGACGTTTTTGGAACCAACATCATACGGAAAGCCCTGAGAAGCAGTTAGGCTATATCGCATATCATCCATCGCACACAGGCCATCGTACCAGTCAGATCCCATGCAGCCTACTACCGCCAGAGCGGCGAGGCCGAAATAAACACCCAACCAGTAGCCAATATTCTCATTGGGGTACTTTGCGTTGGAGTCGGTCCACCACTGTAGCCATATTGCTGAAGAGAAGACAGAGTCAACAGATTGACAATGAAGCGGTCTCAGGAACGAACACCTACAAGGGAAGCTGAGCCCGAATGTGTAGGCCGCGCAGATTAGTAAGTAAATTGAAAAAGTCCATGCACCGGCCACTTTTATGTAGTAAGTATAAACCTGCAAGTCGCTGGTCTGACGCGCAGAACCAAGCTCGTCGTCTTCGTTGGAGAGACCAAGCTCCTGGTAAACTTCTTCTGGCAACTCCAACACGTCCTGTCGCGACGTCTCGGCGGCAGGCAGGCTTGCCAATCGCTGCACATAGCCACCGGACGTAGAAACCTGGTCAAGAGTACCTTGCTCGGCAATATTGCCTTCCTTGTTGAGGACTACAATGTGGTCGGCAAAACGAAGATGACCGGCTGGAGAGTATTCAGTATGCAAGGGGCATTCACGAGATCAGATAGTTACAGTACCTGAATTGGTGGCGAGAACAACAGTTGATTCGGCCTTCTCGAGAATACCGCCAGCATCGAAGACAGCCTCTAAAACGCTGGCTTCGGTCTTACGGTCAAGTCCAGTGAGCACATCATCTAGTATGACGAGTGGGTTCCTGGAATATAAAGCACGAGCGAGCGACTATCTCATGTCAGCACGGAACCTCAACTGATCTTGAAGCAAGAGGAGAAATCGAAGTTCCCGTACCACACGCATCTGCTGGCCGCCGCTGAGACGTGAGCCTCGTGTGCCGGTTTTTGTTTGGTCTCCGTCTGGCAGGTCTTCAAAGTCAGTATCTAGCGAGCACGCACGAACGACTGTATTATACCACTCCGGATTCCATGCCGACATTCCCAATATGTTGCTCTGTATGGTACCCCAGGTGATCCATGGTGACTGGGGGGCAAATGCACATTTGGAATATTGTGAGACAACAGAGCCCGAAACCTTGGGCAATTCGCCGAGAATGAGTCGCAATAGCGTCGATTTACCAGCGCCAACAGGTCCAACTATCATGGTTGTCTTGCCACGAGCGATTTCGAGGTTTATGTCCTTGACGATCATTTTTTCAGAATATCCCGCTGCGACATCCCTCAAGCTAACAACACTACCTGCAGCAATGCGAGTGGAAGTCTTGGGGCTTCCAGGCTCTGTCACAATACCATTTACAGGCACCACTAGGTCCGATGTTGGCTGCGAGTTTTCATCGGTTGACGGGCGTGACAGTCGAAGAGTGACTCGACAATCTTCTCTCTCAGCGGACAAGATGTAGGCTTGCACGCGATAGAATGCATTGAAGATGGTTTGAAAGTCCTCGAACCCATGTAGCAAGGACATCACAGGCCTATCTTGCAACTGGAACAGACTCAAAACTGCAAATGCAACACCTTCTGTCAGGGTCTCTGTATTATTGGCATTTGCCAAGATAATAAAAGTTCCCAGACCGAGAACGGGAGCAAAAGTAAAGGTGCAATTCGCTGCAAGCACTTCAATTAGCTAGTGATGGACGAAAGAGGGGCCTGTGGGAATGGCGGCTAATGCGACTCACCGGCGCCGGTCTGTAGCACGGATAAGAGACGGAAAGCGCGCGAGGACCTGATTTCGTTGGTTCTAAGGCTTGACACAATTGCGCGAATGGTGTCTGTTAATCCAGCCATTCTGATGGCTTTCATTGACCCCAACATCTTGGACGTCACAGCTAAACGCTTTTCAATGGCCTCTAGCCATGGTACTTGGGCGTTTCCGGCTGCAGAGGCAATAGGAATACCGACGGCAAGACAGACTTGTTCTATGTTAGCACTGTGCGCCCGAATCGGTCTGTTTCTCGGGGATCTGCTGTTACTTGCCAATGATGAAGACGGTGGGAGGAACGACGGCGACACCAAGAAGCCTATAGAGAAGCAATAGAGATAGGGCAAGCTCCACAAGGCTGGCGTAAGCATCGTGCAGAATCTGCATGCAGAGGCCGATGCGGTCAATATCAGCGCTCATCAATGTGATGGCCTCGGCGTCGTGGACAGCACTGGCACTTAAGCGAAGAGTTTTATCGAAAATCATGGTGATCAAACTGCCGCGGAACATGGTCAAGACACGATAAGTCATATGCTCATACCAGGCCAGCGACAACTAGAGAAACAATAGTCAGCCCATGAACAGCGCTCCAGGTTGACAAAGACTCCATCATACTGCTTTGCCAATGTGAACAATGGCATACGCTCCAGTGAGACCGTAGGCAAAATTCCTTGTATTGGGGCCATTCGGTTCCACGGTGAAATCCAGGACCCTCTTGACGAGAAATGGCTCGGCGAAAGTAAAACCAACATATGCAAGGCGCGGCAAGACACCAGCCAGCAGATCCCACTTGTAATGCCAGGCAAATACCCAGAGCAAGGCGGTTTTTCGAGATTTGTCGGCTACAAGACAAGTTCATGTCAGTAAGAGACAGACAGCGTTGGGGCTGGGAGGGGATTTGAAATAACGCACCTTTTGCCCATGTTTCCTGCAACTTAGTTGGTCGAGAAGCGGTAAGAATATCTTGATCAAGCGGCGTCAAAGTGTCCACGGTCAAAAGGGTTTTGTATCCCTTGAGGAACAAACGGTTCAGCCAGACGAAAAGGACTCTGCTGTAGAACGATGCTGTATCTTCTGGCGACGTGTCTTTCCATCGTAGCAAAAGTAGTCTGCGCTTTTCCGTTACTTCCAATGCCAGAAGCACCAACTTGACAAAGTAACTAGCGAGGTGGATTGGAGCGACGACGTTGAGGCCCGGTATAAAACAGACGGTGCGCGCGCTGGCCATATCCAACAAACAGGATATGCCGAGATAAAGACATAGAATAGTTGACGGCCGAACAGATCGGACGTGCTCCAGGCATGACACGTAGAGAAGCCAGATGAAGCTGGCGATGAGGATGCATCTTACTGGTGTGGTGAGCCTAGTAGTCGGTGTATTCGGTTGCGCCCAAAGAGCAAGCAGGGCAATCTGAAGCGCGATGTAGACGGAAAATGTCAACTAGCGAGTAGGGTTTGTTAGCTGGGTCAGAGTGCGATAGCAGGAGGAGCCGAAACATCATCAAGTACAAATTTGAGCGCAAAGAGCCATGATCTGTTGACTTTGGGTGCAGTTTTCCAAAGAAGTGCGGCGCGAGGAACGAGGACTAGGTCTAGAGGCTGGGCTTAGCAATTTGGACGCATGAGAAAAAAATCAAGGGGCTATTATCCATCTCCCATACCCGCGAGGAGAAGGGGCAAAAGCGTGAGGATGCTCTCTTCGAATAGCAACGTGAAGTCGAAGCCATTGAGACAAGACGATGCCACTGTGGGGCCAAACACGTCGTGGACATGGATCGAGCACGAGCCGTCGGCCATGCTAGCGAGTCTGCTGGGAGGTCGCACCGCGCTTCTCGACAACGACGCCAGCGGAGGGAGAGAGTATTGCGTTTTGAGAATTGACGGGCTTGTGAATTAGCTCCGCGGCTGGTGGCGAGCCCAATTGCGATTGAGCAGTCATGGGAGGAAAGAGCGGCAAGGCGGAGCGTGTCACGTCACGTTCAAGGGCTCCGGGTTGACGTGATCAAGTCATGCCAGAAAAATGACGATTGAAAATTTGTCGCACGTCAACCATCATCATCCTTGGACGAAGGGAAAAATTTTGGTGATGCTCTTGATAGAAGTACCCCAGGCGGGGTGAAAATTGAAACCGCACCTCAGTGGCCCCCACTCTCGGTTCTTGACGACCAGGTTCCCCTTTTTATCTTTTCTTAGACCGTCGGCCCCACTGGCCTATGTACTCCGTATTACGAACAATTGATTGGGGACCTCGCCCCTGCGAAAATCGAAGGACTCGGCAATTCACAAGTAAGACCTGGAGCGTAGTGCCCGGCGTACGGAGTAGTGCAGTGTCGTGCTACGTGCCCTAGGTACGGAGTACCGGGCAGATGGTCATGGCGGCTTCAACGTCTGCTGTCACCGAGTAGCTGGTCTGAGACTGTCTTGAATAGCACCAGTCCCATTTCCGTGTCCGTACTCCGTATTCCGTGGTACCGCCTCAGCGCGCAGCTGCCTGCGACACCTGAGCAGCAGGAGGAGCCAGATTCGGAGCAACAGCGGTCGGGACGGACCAATCAGGACTTGGCGGGTTCTGGCCTCCAGCCAAGGAAGGAGGCATTGACTCGAGTACGGAGTACAAGCAGCTCTTCTCAGCTGCCCATCAACAGCCACCACTCCTACGGTTGTTGAGAATTTGAAACTCCATGGACTCGAACCGATCGCATGTTTCATCACGCAATTTCACTGAGCAGGAAAAAAAAATTCCTGGCACGTGTCTTCGTGAGTAGTTGTGAACCGCCCGTCAGCAATCCCCCCGAAGAAATACTAATGCAGTCTATGGAGTACAGCACGGAATGCAACCTCTGGACTCTACTGGAAGCACGCGAGAAGTCAGGGGTGAGTACAGCAAATGCCAAATACACAGCAGGAATTGCAGCAGGGGAAGAAGGATTCGGAACTTGAAGCCTCTCGAGTCTTGATGGGCTAATCCCCTGTCAAAAAATGTCTTGTTCCTTGTCTGGCAATGAAGTGTTTTCTTATCAACACGGCGAGCTTAGGGTACAATTGCCACACGATCGTTCCCAGTCCGTCAGCAGCCTGAAGCCCAGGTCACAGCGCCGTCCTCGCGGCATGGCGTTCTGCGTCCCCAGCTGCTCCATACTCTTGTGCGTCGTGGCCGACTGAGGATCGTCCCACAGTCCGAATTCCATCACGATACCCGCGATCAAGAGCTTGATCTCGGCCACAGCAAATGCCTTGCCTAGGCAGAGACGCGCGCCGTACCCAAACGGCATGTAGCATGACTCCATGGCACGTAGAGTCGCTTCATCGGCCTCCAGCCAGCGCTCAGGCCGGTAAGCGTGGGCATCTGAGAAGATATCTGACCTTTGGTGTATCGTCAGAGTCGACGTTGATACAACGGTCTGCAATCGCAGATTGATCATTAGCCAAAGAGAAGAGCCCGCGGGACAACAGGTACATGGTAGATGGAGAGAAATGCGGAAAAGAAATCACATACTCCGGCCGGGAGCACGACCCCGTCATAAGCTTTGGTAGCAGGCACTACCCTCTCTGCCCTCCCGCTCGACAAGGGATTGAGTCGGCTAGATTCCCGAAAACAAGCATCCAGAGTTGGGGCCGCCATGATGTCGTCAAAGCTGGGCCGGCCATCTTCCTTGGGCGGCAGCGCAAGAAGCTCTGCGCGAATGCGGCCCTGCCATTGGGGGTGGCAGGCCAGATTCCAAAGGGTGTAGGTGAGCGAGAGGGCTACCGTGGTTTGAGCGGCATGGATGTTGTCCAGCATTTCGGCCGCGATCCATGACACGGGGACCGGCTCCCCGTCGGGCGTCTTCATGTTGCTCAGCTGGTGCAGCAGAGAGCCGGCAACCATCTTGTCCGGATCCCGCCTGGCAGACTCAATCTTTTCCATGTTCCAGTCGGTCAACCTCTCCTCGGCTGACAGAAACGTCGGGTCTTTCCTGGCGTAGGACACAGCCGTCCTGATCATCTTGTGAACCAGAGGGAAATTGTACGAGAGATTGTTCCACACTTCAACCTCCTTCCAGCCCTCCAGTATCTTCCGCTCCTCGCATTGTGCGTCCCCGATTGTGCGCGCGCAGAGCTTCGGACCGTACACCAAGTTTGTTATATTGTCAAACGAGTAAAAGTTGCAGTGCAGCAGGACGTCCACGGTGGGATTCACCGCAATATCTCTCTTGAGTTGGTCGAGGAACCTCCTGACGTTGGTCCACAGGGGCTCCAGCATTGCCGGCTTGTAGAGCGTAGTCGGCTGGTAAAAGGCAAACGTACGCTTGAGCATTTGGCGATGCTCTCTCACATCCAGTGTACAAAATATGGGTCGTTCGCCATACATGAGGAAGTTGTCAAAGTATTTACTTTTGGGGTGGCGCCCAGTAGAGCCGTAGATCTCTCTGGTCAGCGCTGCGTTGGAGAAGGAGACTTCTCCTGGCGCAACCATAACAACGTCACCATATTTGCGATGCCACTCGTAAATCTTTTCGATGCGTTGTAACCACATGTCATGGTAGACGGCCCAGTAGCGCGTAATTTTGCAAAGCCTCGGCCCTGGGACATTTCGGTACGGCGACAAGAATAGGGCGTATATGACTTGGCCGACAGCTAAGCTCACGAGGAGGGCGCATATCAAGCCTAAAAGCGTGCCGATGGCCATGCTGGACACGTGTATCCTCTTGTGGCTTCGTAATGATACAGACAAAGTAAAACAGAGCGAGTTGAGGCTCTACTGCGAGAAGTAGCGAGCGTGTACTTGAGGCGCATGGAGGAGCCCGAACTCTGTAAAGGATGAAAACGGCAAGGCAGCCAAGACTGCCGAGCATTCTGTACACATAGTTTAAATAAAAGTCATTATTCGGGAAGGCGGATTACATCATGCCTCGTCAAACCGGACATCATCTCAGGACGACGCAAAGCTCGTACATATGATACATTGCATACTCCGTAGTTTTGGACCGGAGATGCTACTTTCCAGACCACTCCGCAATGATTTCTAAGTACCGTGGACTAGGCAGGGCATGGCTCATCGGCGGCTAGTTGATGGATAACAGCAGCGGATTCCCGCTTTTCTAAAACACCAAGTGTTGTACAACGGCACGTTGATCCGATACTAGTAGGAGGGTGTCGGATTATTGTGTCTTTTTTTTTTCCTTTTGTGACAGACTGGCGTGTCTGTGTTGCCAACAATCCCTGTTTGCTGTACCCTGCATTCCGCGAGGGTAAAGGGTGATGCCAGCTTCCGCGTATCCCTTGATGTTTATGGTCCAAAACATGTTTGATTCGTACGAAGGAGAGGAGTGTGCATGGCAAATTTTGCATTCAGCTGGGGAGTGATCTGTTTCCCGCCCGAGATGGAGGCAACAATGTCAATGACAACTATTCTGGTCTTGTCTATACTTGGTCTCGTGTGACCTCTGACCGGTTCTAAACATCGGGCTTGACTTGTCACCGAATCCATGCAAAAGACAGAAACGGTACGAGTGATCCGTAAGCTAATGCTACCCTAAATGCTAGGTTATCCCCCAGGGGCAGTCTTCGGCCGGCACATAGGACCGAAATTTAAGTTAACCCGAGACCTAAAGGGGAAACGCATACTTGCACACCGTTCTTAGTCACACGTGAATGCGGGGTGCGCTCCATGGGCAATACTTAAATGTACTCCACTCCGCACATGGGAGGTGTAGGACCCAGGCCCGGCATCGATGCAATAAATTCTTTAAACCGTTTCTGGCGGGGCCGAGCTGGGGGCTGAAGCTGACGCCTGATCCAATCAATCGATGCGACGACTACACGCCCCCGGTCAAGGGCGGCCCAACCCGCCGGGCCGGCTCAGCCGCTCAGCCTCGGCGCCAAAGAGGGGTGTCCTAACTAAGCTGACGACTACAAACATATGGTTGGATGGATGGGCAATATTGAGACAGCTCCGTTGCAGAGCCGCCCACAATGCCACTGACGGGTTCCACTACATTGGAGATTTTATTATTATAACGAAATACGTACTACGGACCCTTGACACTCGATACCCACACACACACCCTCGGGCCAAACTGCAACTGAACGAGGACCTAGCCAATGTGTCACAAATATCGTGTAAGCGGTGGTACAAGTCATCATTGGAGAAATACTGGAACAGTTGGAGAATGGGTCCCACGGCAGTTACGTAGCTCTGATGGTTGTAAGGGGTGGGGGGGGGGCAATTGATGTGCAACCGCGAATCATGGACTCGTTGAACAGCTAAGGGTTAAAAGCCGAGGGCAGACGGCAAATTTCACGACTTCACGCCACCCAACATCGCCTGTATAGTACATACTGTTACAGCTGGGGGCTTTGTTTCTAGACGCCGAAGCCTCTTACGAAACAAGCGCGAAAATTACAGAAAACGATTCGCTGATTGTCAAGCTATAAGCGGTGGCCTTGACAACACACTTTTCTACGTGCCGTCAAAAGGACGAAGATACAACTACAATCATCCAAAATGTCGGCAGCTGCACAAACAGACGTGCAGAACTTTTCATCGCTACACGACAACGTACCTCAACATGCCGAAAACACGACCGCCACCCTTCAAGATCTACAAGTCATTTGGAAATGGAACGAGTCTTTCCCAGAGGTCGTGGACGGTCGTGTCCATGATCTCATCACGCACAGGGTGCAATTGCAGCCTGAAGAGCAAGCAGTCTGCGCCTGGGACGGGAACTGGACCTATCGCCAGCTTGACGAACTCTCAACAAACCTAGCACACCGACTCGTGCATATGGGCGTCGGCCCACATGTCATTGTTCCTCTATGCTTCCTGAAGTCAAAATGGACGCCGATTGCTAAGCTTGCTGTCATGAAAGCTGGCGGTGCATCAGTTGCCCTAGAGACGACGCTACCTTACGACAGACTTTATAGCATTGTCCGACAAGTCAAGCCGATTTTAATACTCTCATCCCCTTGGACTACCGAGCTTGCCGGACGACTCACCACACAGCCTGTCCTGGTAGTCGATGAGACTAGTACAACTCCCGACATCGCCAGCACATTGCCAGAGGTACAACCGTGGGACAAGCTCTACCTTGTCTTCACTTCTGGCAGTACTGGCACCCCAAAGGGCACTATTATTACCCACTCCAACTTTTGCAGCACGATCCACCACCAGCGGGCCGTGTTAGGCTACTCCAGTTCCTCGCGAGTGTACGATTTTGCGAAATACTCCTTTGATGTCACTTGGTCCAATTTTATCTACACCATAACTGCCGGCGGTTGCCTCTGTATCCCTTCGCAGCAAGAAGCTCTTAGTAATCTTGTTGGCTCAATACGAGCATATAACGCAAACTATCTTAATATTACGCCGTCTGTCGGCAGCATGATCCGCCCATCCGATTTGAATGGCATACTAAAACATGTGATTTTCGCTGGTGAGGCCCTGACCAGCCATCTGGCTTCACAGTGGGCACAGCATACTCGTGTCATCAATCTATATGGCCCGGCCGAATGTACGGTTGGGGCTACTCTGGTTGTCTTGAACGATGATGTCAATAAGAAGTCCTTGGGCACTTCCATTGGCCGTGGTGTTGGCTTCTGCACATGGATTGTCGACCCGTCTTGTCACGACAAGCTGGTGCCCATTGGGGCCATTGGTGAATTGATATTGGAGGGTCCATGTGTGGGAGCTGGATATATCGGCAATGCTGAGAAAACAGCTGAAGCATTCATCCAGGCTCCGAAATGGCTAGTGGCCGGACCGGCAGTCCCGCTGGAACGCCAACGTCCAGCCCAATTGTACAAGACCGGCGATCTTGTACGTTATGAGGCGGACGGGCAACTGACTTTCATCGGGAGAAAAGACTCGCAAGTTAAGATCAACGGACAGCGGGTGGAATTAGGCGACATTGAACATCACGTGCGAACGTATGCCGTTGATGGTGCGGATGTGCAGGTAGCCGCTGAGCTGGTAACCCCGTTCGGTAGCGATAAACCTCTGCTCGTTGCTTTCATGCAAATATCGACACAAGCTGCCAGCCAAGGTGAAGACGGGCTAGAAGCGGAGCTGAAGAGAGTCATCCATGGACTCAACGATCGACTGGCCGCCGCTGTTCCTGCGTACATGATTCCTACTGCCTACATCCCATTAGCGGCCTTCCCTAAAAATGCCAATGGTAAAACCGATAGGCGCAAGCTCAAGGAAATGTGCGAAGCTTACTCAGTAGAGGATTTCATGGCCCGAGGCTCGCCTGTTTCCGAGAAGAAGAAACCAACCAGGCACATAGAGTTCCGCCTACAAGAACTCTGGTCCCATGTTCTTGGCCTGAATGTCGTCAGTATCGGTACTGATGACAGCTTTTTGCGCCTCGGTGGAGATTCAATTGCAGCCATGAAATTAGCCGGAGCAGCGCGAGAGCGCGGTCTGTCGCTCAGTGTTGCCGACATCTTCAATCATCCAGTGCTGTGCGAGATGGCAGACGTTGTTAGCGAACATTCCGAGACTAGCAACTACATTTACCCATTTTCATTACTGAAAGACCATATCGATGTGACGTTGGCGCGAAGCCAAGTTGCTGACGCCTGTGGCGTCAACATTGCTGACATCGAGGATGTCTTTCCATGCACGCCTCTCCAGGAGGGTTTGATGGCCCTGACGGCCAAGCATCCGGGTGATTATGTCTCTCGACATATCTTCCAGCTGCAGCCTACAGTGGACATAGACCGTCTGAAGAAAGCCTGGGAGCAGGTTGTGGCGATGACCCCTATTCTTCGAACTCGTATCGTCGACCTGAGCCAACAAGGACTGGTGCAAGTGGTCCTGGACCAGCCAACAGATTGTACACTCAAGGATGGTGAAACAAATCTGGAGAAGTACCAAAAAGAGGATGCGAAGCTCACAACAGGCTTGGGTAAGCCCCTGGTTCGATTTGCGCTGTTCCAGGAGCTGTACGGCGAGGAGATCAGACGGTTCTTTGTATGGACGATTCATCACTCGCTTTACGACGGGTGGTCGAAGCCACTTCTTTTAGAGCGTCTTGCTGAAGCTTATACTGGTGAGAGAGCGTTGCTGCCTTCACCCCAATTCCAGTGCTTCGTAAAGCACATTCTTGATATGCAGCAAGGTCAGGCGACCAAGTTCTGGTCTGCCCAATTCGAGAATTCTGAAGCGCAGACCTTCCCAGTCCTGCCATCACCGCGCTACCAGCCGAGATCTGATAAGCTGGTGACTCACGCGATCGAGAAACTGCAGTGGCCAAAGATGATGGGCGTGACCGCATCGACCATGTTGCGAGCTGCCTGGTCCATTGTCACCTCATGCCATACCAACGCGAGCGACACCGTGTTTGGGGTCACAGTAAGCGGTAGGCAGGCTTCCCTGCCAGGCGTAGATCAGATGACTGGCCCTACAATTGCAACGGTACCGGTTCGAATTGTTCTGGACAAGAAGAAGACTATTGAAGAGCTGCTTCTTCAAATTCAGAGGCAGGTTGTCGACATGACGGCGTTTGAACAGACTGGCCTACAACGGATACGGCTAGTCAGCCCCGAAGCTGAGAGAGCCTGTGATTTCCAAACGCTGCTCGTGATCCAGCCGGCGGCGGACGAGAAGGAGAAGGCAATCCATGACAGTCTTTTTTCGCCCAACAGTGATCATGAACACTGGTCTCTCGACGACGACATGGCCGAGTTCCGCACGTACCCGCTGTCTCTGGAGTGTCATCTCCGAGATCAGGGCGTTGTTTGTTTAACCAGATTCGACTCTGCCGTGCTCAGTGGTAAGCAAATAGCCATCCTGATGAGGCAGCTCGAACATGTTGTCCGTCAGCTATGTAGCGCTGAATCGGCCCAAAAAAAGCTGGAAGACGTCGCCTTGGTCAGTCGTGAGGATCTCCAGCAAATGTGGCATTGGAACTCGACGGTGCCCGATACCGCTGATGGCGTCGTGCACGATCTAATTGCCGAGACGACGAGGCAGCAGCCAGAGGCACAGGCGGTATGCGCGTGGGATGGCGACTGGACGTACCGCGAGCTTGATGATGTATCAACGCGTCTGGCTCATCGCCTCGTTGCATTGGGAGTCGGCCCGGAGGTCGTCGTCCCGCTGTGTATTGAGAAATCGAGGTGGATGCCTGTGGCAATGATGGCCGTGATGAAGGCTGGAGGAGCGTCTGTCGCCATTGACTACGCGCAGCCAGAAGATCGATTAAGCAGCATCGTGAAACAGGTAAGCCCGGTTGTTATGCTAACGTCGATAGCCAATCAGGATCTGGCCCGCCGCCTGGTTCCGCACCTGTCTGTGGTGGTGGTCAGCGAGCAGCACCTGGCCAGTCTGCCTCAGGCGCACGGAGCAAGAACACCAAAAACACCGACGACAGCAGGAACTGCATTGCCTACAGTCAGTCAGTCCAACACGCTCTATGTCGTCTTTACATCTGGCAGTACTGGCGCCCCCAAGGGCGTCGTCGTCACTCACGCGAACTTGACGAGCGCCATTCGACACCAGCGTGAAACACTCGGATTTACTAAGCAGTCCCGGATATATGACTTCGCATCATATATGTTCGATGTGGTTTGGTGCAATCTTCTCCAGGGTCTCTCTGCCGGAGGCTGCCTGTGTATTCCAAGCAACGAAGACCGCCGCAACGACCCTCTTGGCGCCATTACTCGTCTTGGCGCCAACACCGCCATATTTACGCCGTCCACCATTCGCGGGCTCGATCTGCGGCCCCTAGAGGGCCTAAGACACATACATTTCATCGGAGAGGCCCTTTCAGCTGATGATGTAGGCGGCTTGCATCCGGAGTGTGCCGTGACAAACCTGTACGGCCCTACAGAGTGCACCACGTTTAGCACAGCCCAACAAGTCACCGTCCACAAGGCTTCGAGCTCCGGCAAACATCAGCAAATAGGTATTGGTGCAGGCTTGGGTCTGCGCACATGGCTCGTAGAGCCGTTTGACCACTCCAAGCTTGTTCCTCTGGGTTGTGTCGGCGAGCTTCTGCTGGAAGGCCCGCTCGTCGCGGCCGGCTACCTTGGGGAAGATGAAAAGACCGCGGCCGCCTTCATTACCGATCCAGCATGGCTCTTGGACGGATGTGCTAATCGTGGTAGTCGTCACGGCCGCCTGTACAAGACTGGAGATCTTGCACGATATGATACAGACGGAAACCTAGTTTTTCTCGGGAGGAAGGATTCGCAGGTCAAGATTAATGGCCAGCGTGTGGAACTAGGCGACGTTGAGCACCACGTACAGTCTAGCATTCTCCATAATCAGGATATAAACGTCGTCGCAGAGGTTGTGAAGCCTAAGGATAGCAGCAATGCGATACTCGTCGTCTTTATTCAAATCGATATCGTCACCGTCCCCGGCGATGACGAGGCCATGCACAGCGAGCTCGGAAAGATTACAGCTGCCCTTCCCGACAGACTTGTCGCGCGCGTACCGGCTTATATGATTCCATCGGCTTACATTCCTGTCAGAAACATCCCCGTCACCCCTACCGGAAAGATTGATCGCCGTAAGCTCCGCGCCATGGGCCAACAGTTGACTCTGGAGGGCATCATGAGAACCAACATGCCCCGTTCTTCCGGGCGATCACAGCCATTTACCAGCACCGAGAAGCGCCTGCAGAGACTATGGGCTGCCGTTCTGGGCTTGAACGCTGAAATCATCGCCGCCGACGACAGCTTCTTCCGCTTGGGAGGTGATTCTATTACGGCCATGAGGCTTGTAGCTGCAGCTCGTGAGCAGAGCATTACCCTCTCTGTTGCCGATGTGTTCCAGCACCCGCTTCTGAGCGATTTGGCCGCAGTAGTTGTCGAAGAAGCTGTTGGTGCCAGCTGTAAAGATAGCCATCAACTTGAGCCTTTTGCGCTGCTAAATCTGGGAGAAGGCCTCGAATCTCTGAAAGAGAAAATCGCAGACAAGTGCAACGTTGGAGCCAGTCAAGTTGCAGATGCATTTCCTTGCACACCACTTCAGGAGGGCTTGCTCGCCTTGACAGCGAAGAGACCTGGTGACTATGTTGCAAGGTTTATCTACCCGCTTCTTCCCAGTGTTAGCACCGATCAGTTTATAAAAGCTTGGGAGGCTGTCGTTTCCGCAACACCGATATTGAGGACCAGAATTGTTGATCTTAGCGAGCGTGGCTTGGTTCAAGCCATTATCAACGAGCCGACCACCTGGTCACGGAAGGATGAATCAATAAGCCTCGAAGATTATGACATAGCTGACAGGAAGCTTACTACCGGCCTGGGCACGCCATTGGTACGATTCGCCGTGCTTCAAGACCCAGTCAACAGCAGTCGCTTCTTTGTCTGGACCATACATCATGCTCTCTATGACGGCTGGTCTATTTCACTGATGCTGAAAAATCTTGAAGCTGCCTATGGTTTGACCGAAGGCAGTGCTCTTTCTTCCTCGCCCCCTCTTCAGACCTTTGTGAAGCATATTATGGACATTGATCAGAGTCTCGTCGCATCTTACTGGGATGAGCAATTCCAGAGTTCCGAAGCTCAGATCTTCCCGTCGCTTCCCTCTGCCACATACCAGCCAATGTCCAACTCCTTTATCACGCATCGTATGCAAGATATACTCTGGCCGAAGTCGGATGTAACACCTTCCTTGTTAATACGGGCTGCGTGGTCAGTCTTAGCTGCTAAGTACACCGATAGCTCCGATATCGTCTTTGGTGTAACTGTTTCTGGCCGACAGGCTACAGTACTAGATGTTGAGAAAATGATTGGACCTACTATTGCCACAGTTCCAGTGCGAGTTGCTTTCGACTGGACCAAGATGACTGTAGAGCATCTCTTACGTCAAGTTCAGACCCAAGCAGTGGAAATGACGACGTTTGAACAAACGGGATTGCAACGCATCCGCCGCGTGAGTACTGAAGCTGAAAGAGCGTGTGGGTTTCAAACTTTGCTCGTTGTGCATCCCGTTGAGGATGAGGAGGACAAGAATACAGCCAGCCGCTGGTTCATCAGCAGACGAGATGAGCATGGAGAGGACGACACTAATGTGACTGAGCACGACACGCACGCTTTGACAATGGAATGTAGTCTGGAACGACAGGGATTGAGACTGCGTATCGCGTACGATGCCAATATCATGGACGCCGAGCAAGTTCAAAGGCTGGCCAGCCAGTTTGAGCATATCATTCGACAGATTTGCATGCCGGAAAATGCTAGCAAGGATTTGTCCAGCATAAACGCAGTGAGTGACCAAGACATGCGGGATATTTGGAAATGGAACGACACCTGCCCCGAAGTTCTTGACACCTGCCTTCACGAGATCATTTCAAAGACAGCTAAGACGCTTCCGGATGTGCCGGCCGTTCATGCCTGGGATGGCGGTTTTTCCTATCGTGAACTCGATGACATTTCTACGGATCTGGCCCTCTATCTTGCTGGAGTTGGTGTCGGTCCCGAGAAAATTATTCCTCTTTACTTTGAAAAGTCTAAATGGACCCCAATTGCAATGTTGGCAGTTATGAAAGCCGGCGGCGCGTCAGTTTTAATGGACTCTCGTCAGCCGAAGGATCGTCTTCAAGCCATTATTGACCAGATCAAGCCTGTTGTGGTGGTGTCCTCTAGGAGCAACGAGAAGCTCGCAAACAAACTCACCAACGCACCAATCATTGTTGTTAGCAGCAAACGTCTAGAGAAAACACGCAGTGAAAAGATGCTGGGAAGACTTCCGCAAGTCCAACCATGGAACAAAGCGTACTTGATTTTCACCTCGGGAAGCACCGGTATACCCAAGGGCGCTATACTAACACACGCAAATGTATGCAGCGCCGTGCGGCATCAGCAGCTTGCTCAGGGATACACCCCCGATGCTCGGGTATACGACTTTACTTCGTACGCCTTTGATACGGCGTGGAATAATTTCATGCACACATTTACTATTGGCGCCTGCCTGTGCATCCCGTCCGAAAACGAGCGTAGAGACGACCTTGCAGGGTCTATCGACCGATTTAAGCCTACAATCCTTGATATCACCCCGTCTGCCGCAACAGCCTTACAGAGCAGCACCATTCAGTCTCTGCGCACATTGATCCTGGGTGGTGAAAGGCTGTCTCGCGAGTATGCTGAGAGATGGGGAGCAATCGTCGACTTGAAGCTATGTTACGGACCATGCGAGTGCACACCCACCGCGACTGTGGCAACTATCAGTCCCAATCTGATGGGCGAACCGACTATTGGGCGTGGTATTGGTATGCTTAGTTGGATTGTGGATTCCAAGGATCACAATGCACTTGTTCCGGTTGGTGCTACTGGTGAGCTTGTTCTGGAAGGTCCTCTCGTCGGCCATGGCTATCTAGGCGACGAAGCAAAGACCAACGAAGTTTTTATTCGCGATCCTCTGTGGCTTCTGCGCGGCGGAGCTGGGCATTCTGGACGCCAAGGTCGACTTTATAAGACTGGCGACCTCGTAAAGTATAATTCTGACGGAACTCTTTTATATGTCGGCCGCAAGGATGCCCAAGTCAAGATCAACGGCCAGCGAGTCGAGCTCGGTGAAGTTGAGAACCACATGGCTAGTCATCCACTCACGCGCCACGCTGCGGCCTTATATCCTCAGTCCGGCCCTTGTGCCAAGAAGCTGGTGGGAGTCTTCAGCTTAGAGGGCATCTACCAGGCCGACAATTCGCCTCATATCGAACTTATCGGCCGAGAGGACTCTACTGTTGTCCAGGAACACATTTGCGCTTTGGAGACTCTGTTGGGCGAGGCTCTGCCATCGTACATGGTCCCGTGTCTTTGGATCGCCATCAAAGATATCCCCCTGAACCCTTCAGGCAAGCTCAATCGACGTGCTGTTAATGACTGGCTGGTTCGTATGAACTCAGACATGTTTGCCAGAATAAACTATAGCGCCGTCACAACTGCAACCCACGAGCCTAGGACAGACGCGGAGCGTATCCTCTGCGAAGCTTGCAGCACTATTCTCAACATACCTTTTTCTGAAGTGAACCTCCAGCGTTCCTTTGTTGCAAATGGTGGCGACTCCATCTCGGCTATGCGTCTCTCTTCCCACTGCCGTGCCGCAAGCCTTGTCTTCTCCGTTGGCATTTTACTGAGAAGCAAATCGCTTGCCGATGTGGCACGGCTCTCTACCATTGCTTCTGATTCTAAGGTCAATCCCGCGAAGGAATGTAGAGAGGACTTCGGCAGAGCCTTTGCGTTGTCGCCCATTCAGAAATGGTTTTTCGCCCAAACGCCTTCCGAGACTCTCACTGACAAGGACTACTATTGCAACCAAGGTTTCTACGTGAGGGTTATCCGCCCTGTCTTGACCGAAGTGGTGTCTTTAGCCGTAAGCACGATTGTCAAGCGTCACTCTATGCTTCGTGCCAAATTTGAACAGTCCAAAAGCGGTTGGATGCAGAGTGTCCCTAAGCCGTCTGATGGTATTTATCATTTCGGCTCCGGAGAAGCTCAGTCTATACATGAAATCAAAGCACACACGCACAAGAGACACCAGACACTAGACATTACGCGTGGTCTGGTATTCGCGGCAGACGTATATAACCTACCATCTGGCGATCAATATCTAACCTTCATCGCCCACCATTTAGTCGTTGATCTCGTTTCGTGGCGTATTATCCTGGATGACCTCGAGGCGTTACTTACTGGAAAGACCCTCCTAGATGGTCTCCCCTTTCAGCTCTGGAGCGAGCTGCAAAGTACCGAGGCCCAGGCACCTAGGTTCATGCCGGAGAAGGTCCTCTCTACTAAAAATGTGCATAATGATCACAGGTTCTGGAACTTTACAGAGCACATCTCTAATACTGCCACGGACCACATTGAAAAGAAGATTGAGATAGATAGGGCCACAACATCGCTTTTACTTAAGGATGCTAATACTGCCTACGGCACAGAGCCTGTTGATCTAATACTTTCCTCTATTTGGAACGCCTTTTTTCATGTATTCCATCAGCGAGAGGGCCTGACTATTTTCAACGAAGGCCATGGCCGCGAACCATGGACCGCGGATATTGACTTGTCCCGCACTGTCGGCTGGTTTACGACAATTAGTCCTATTCACGTCTCCCGAGGGGAAGGAAATAGCCTTGCTAATATCACAAGGCTGGTCAAAGATGCACGAAGGCGGCTTCCCTCCAACGGCTTGGCTTATTGGGTATCAAGACACCTACATAGCCAAGGCATAGCGGCCTTTGAATCGCATGCCTCAACTATGGAAGTACAATTTAACTACCACGGCCAGTTCCAGCAGCTAGAGCGCTCTGACTCTCTCTTCGAAGTCGTCAACTTTGACGACAGCGTATCGCCAGTTGGACCGTCCCTACCAACATCAGTTTTATTTGACATTAACGTTGTCATTGAAGCTGGAATCACCAAATTTTCTTTCTCCTGGAATCGGCACCTGGCTCACCAAAAGATGATCGAAGCATGGATAGGGCAAATCAACCCCTCGCTGCAATCAATTTGCTTTGAGCTCTCCAAAAAAGGTCCTGAGCGCACGCTCTGCGATTATGAGTTTCTCAAGCTTGATTATAGAGGGCTTGACGAGCTTCACAGGAACATTTTACATCACATCGAGGCATTAAATGAGACACAAGTTGACATGGTATACCCATCTTCTCCAATGGTTGATGGAATCCTTCTCAGTCAAATGAAAGGAACGGGCTCGTATGAAACCTCTCAGACCTGGGAGATAAGATCTCGTGGATCTCACAAAATTAATATTAATGCTCTAGTTGACGCGTGGCATGCCGTCGTCGCTCGACACCCCGCTTTGCGAACTGTTTTCATTCATAGTATGGATGCTTCAGTTGCATTCAACTCTGTTGTGCTCAAGTCTTGCCGCGGGGATGTCGTCCTCGTTGAAAGCCAAAGCTTTGAGTCAGCTCTTGAGAGGCTTAAGGAGCTCCCCAGTATCAACTACAGCCTGGACAAGCCGGCCCACAGACTGGTGCTCTGTACCATACCGGGCGATAATCGTGTTGTCTGCAAGATTGAAATGAGTCACGCCATCTCCGACGGTGCTTCAACAGTCATCACGATGCAAGACTGGGCCAAAGCCTACTCAGGAGAGCTTGACGTGAGTGAACTCGTGGATATCAGCCACGGGCTTGCGCTGGCTCTCACTTCAGTGTCTAAAGTCGATAAGATGGCTTACTGGAAGAAAAAACTGTCTGCCATGGAGCCTTGTCACTTCCCACGACTTGCGGAAGCCAGCTCAGCAGCAAATGAGCACGTTACTGGAGTGACTACGTTGGAGATTGGCCCTGAAACCTTCCACCGCATTCAGCAATTCTGCGAGGCTCGGTCGGTCACTCCGGCCAGCTTGTTCCAGGGCGCCTGGGCTCTTACCCTGTCTGCCTACACAGGCTCTGACTCTGTCTGCTTCGGCTACCTTGCATCCGGCCGAGATCTCTCTGTTGGGGGCATCATGGAATCTATCGGTGCATTTGCCAACGTCATGATCTGCCGTGCGGAAACTTCTCGAGAATGGAGCGGGGAGGACCTGATCAACTACATCCACGATCAAGTCCTTGAAGACCTTGGCTTTCAGCATTGCTCAATTGCTGATATACAACACGAGCTAGGCCTACCATTTGGCCAGAATCTCTTTAACTCTATCATATCCTTCCAAAGGGACAATGATAATCTTGGCGAAGGCATGGAGACAGAGGATCTGGTATTTGTTGACCTTGAATGGGAAGATCCGACCGAATATGATATCACGATCAGCATCAGACACACCAACACTTCAGTCTGTTTCACGGTCGATCATCGACTATCGTGCCTATCTAATGACCAGGCGCGCAGTGTCGTTTCGCTACTGGAGAAGATGGTCACATTCCTTGTTAGCGATGACAAGGTTGGCTCTTCGGCTGTCAACAAATTGCCAAATCAACTGTTTGCGATGGATACCATCAGCGAGAAAGACCTGCAAGACATCTGGAGGTGGAATGAGGCAGCGCCTGAGGCTATTCATGGACTGATACACGATGCCATTACGGATGTGGCCCGGAAAAGGCCCCATGCGCCCGCTATCTGCGCGTGGGATGGTGATTTGACCTACACTGAGCTTGATGGCATTGCCACGAAACTTAGCCACCACTTGGCCAACTTGGGAGTTGGTCCAGACGTCATTGTGCCTCTATATTTTGAGAAATCAAAATGGATGCCTGTGGCCATGCTTGCTGTTATGAAAGCAGGCGGTGCATCAGTAGCTCTAGATAGCACTCTCCCGGAGGAACGTCTACGCAGCATCATACAACAGGTTAGGCCTGTAGTTACTTTGACATCGTTGGCAAATCAGGAGAGGGCCAAGCGGCTGACAGACTGTGTCACGGTGCCCGTCAGCGCGGCACATCTTGCGAAGCTTAGCATCGCCTCCGGTTCGCTACCAGATGTCAAGCCAGACAACAAGTTGTACATTGTCTTCACGTCCGGCAGCACTGGAGTTCCCAAGGGCGTGATGATCACACATTCTAACTTCTGCAGCGCTATTCACTACCAGCAGGAAGCATTAGGTTTTAGAAGCACATCACGCGTGTATGACTTCGTCAAGTATGCGTTTGATGTCACTTGGTCTAACTTCTTACACACTATGACCTCTGGCGCCTGCCTGTGCATTCCATCTGAAAATGAAACCTCAAACGACATCACCGGCTCCTTCATCTCGTACAGGGCAAATTTTGCTGATTTGACCCCATCAGTTGCCAGCACTCTGCGCCCAGCCGACCTCACAACTCTAGACCACTTGCTATTCAGTGGCGAGACATTGACGACTCATCTTGCCACGCAATGGGCTGAAAGGGCCACTGTTCTGAACACCTATGGTCCTGCAGAGTGCAGTGTCAAGGCGACATTTGCAGCGGTGGGCAAAGCTGATACGACTGCTGCCAGTATAGGTCCAGGGTTTGGCATGTGCACCTGGATTGTGCAGCCCAACAACCACAACAAACTTGTACCAATTGGTGTTGTCGGTGAGCTTCTACTCGAAGGGCCTCTTGTCGGCGCAGGTTACCTGAATGATGTTGCGAAAACCCAGGAGTCCTTTATCGAGGACCCGGCTTGGCTGGTTCACGGAGCACCCGGCCAAGTCGGCCGTAGAGGGCGACTATACAAGACGGGGGACATGGTACGATATAATATTGACGGAAGCATGACCTTTGTAGGCCGCAAGGATGCTCAAGTAAAAGTTAATGGCCAGCGACTAGAGCTTGGAGATGTTGAGCACCACGTTCGGAACAATCTTATCTACAATGGGCCGGTCCAGGTATTTGCTGAAGTTATCAAGCCCAAAAATGGCGAAAAATCCGTACTACTGGCATTCATTCATGTTGATGATGGGGCAGCAATGACTGCTAGGCGCCAGTCCGAGCAGACTAGCGAAATTACAGCTGGTCTCAACGAGAGACTTGCCGCACGAATTCCAGGCTATATGATTCCGTCCGCTTATCTTTTACTGGATGAGGCACCTGTGACGGCAACCGGAAAGACTGACCGCCGTCGACTGCGTGAAATTGGCCAGCGGCTGACGTTCGAAGAAGTGATGGCACTCAACTCTCGCAGCGGCGAGTATAAGCATCCCAGCACCGCTATGGAGAGACGTCTGCAAACCCTCTGGGCATCTGTTCTTGGCATCAGCGCCGACTCTATCAGCGCCGATGATAGTTTTCTTCGTATCGGAGGTGACTCTATTGGAGCTATGAAGCTGGTAGGCATCGCCCGCGATGAGGGACTTGCACTTACCGTCACCGACATCTTCAAGCAGCCTAAGTTGAGCGATCTAGCAAAAGTCGTCGGAAAGCTCTCTGATGCTGTGTCTGAGACTATCCAGCCTTTCTCGCTGCTCAAACCTACTATCGATGCTAAAGCGGCTCTTGATCAAGTTGCCAACTTGTGTCAGGTCGATGGCAGCAAAATTGAGGACGTTTTTCCCTGCACCCCATTGCAAGAAGGCCTTCTAGCACTGACAGCTAAGAGAGCTGGCGATTACGTCGCCCAGTATGTGCTGCCTCTGAAAGCGGCGACTGATATCACTCGTTTGAAAAGAGCTTGGGAGGAAGTGCTACAGAAGACCCCGATTCTTCGTACCCGGATCGTGGACCTGCCCGGCCAGGGCCTAGTACAGGCTGTTCTGAAGGAATTTGACTCTTGGTCTCAATGCTCAAGTGTGAGCGAATATCAACAGGCGGATGAAAGGGTCGTCATGGGCATGGGCAAGCCTCTTGTACGATACGCTGTCACCAATGTGCCTGATCACAAGCAGCGTTTCGTCTTCATATGGACTGTGCATCACGCACTCTATGATGGATGGTCCATGCCGCGCATCATGGACAGGCTAGAACTGGCATACAAGGGAGAGGTGGCTCTCCGGGAAGCTCCGCCCTTCCAGCGCTTTGTGAAACACATCATCAATGTCGACGAGGAACGCACCAAGCGGTTCTGGCAAACGCAATTCGAAGGATCGGAGGCGCAGGTGTTCCCTGCTCTACCTTCGCCTACATACCAGCCAACTGCAAATTCATCTGTCACTTATTATATCGATGGCTTGCACTGGCCCAAGACCGACATTACAGCATCAACTACCATACGCACAGCGTGGTCTATCCTAGTTGCCAGATACACAAACTCAGCTGATGTGGTGTTTGGTGTCACAGTGAACGGTCGGCAAGCCGCTGTGCATGAAGTGGACGAAATGACAGGCCCTACCCTGGCAACTGTACCTGTTCGAGTGGCCTTTAATTGGGAGCAATCGGTTGAATCGTGTCTCAACCAGGTTCAGGAGCAACTGGTTGAAATGGCTGATTTTGAGCAGACCGGCCTACAAAGAATCCGTCAAATGGGCGTCAATGCCAGACAGGCCTGTGACTTTCAGACACTGTTGCTGATACACCCTCCTGAAGAGTCTCAGCAACTTGAAACCCAGATTTTTGCCCGCAAAGGCCCACAAGATGAGGACGAGGAGCAGGACCAGCTTGCTCAATTCGACACCCATGCCATTACCATTGAATGTGACTTGGCGCACCATGGCATGACGTTGAGGATTGAGTTTGATAACAACATTATGAATCCACATCAGATTGAAAAACTTGCTGGCCAGCTCGAGCATGTCTTGCGACTATTGTGCGACCCAGAACAACGAAAAATGAGGCTTACAAATATCGAGACGGTTAGTAAGGAAGACCTCGAAGATATCTGGGGATGGAATGCTTCTGTACCAGAGACAGTCGAAACCCCAGTGCACGAAATGGTCATTGCCATGTCGCAGAAACAGCCTGATGCTCCCGCTATCTGCGCCTGGGATGGAGACTGGAATTACAGACAGCTTGACGATTTATCCACGCGATTGGCCCATCACCTCCAGCGTCTTGGAATCGGCCCTGAAGTCATTGTTCCTCTGTGCTTCGAAAAATCAAAACAGACTCCTATAGCAATTCTTGGCGTGATGAAAGCAGGTGGGGTTTGCGTCACTATTGATCCAAACCTGCCAGAGGATCGCCTTGTCAGCATCGTGCAACAAGTTCAGCCAATGCTCATCCTATCATCTCTAGCAAATGAAGCTTTGGCTACCAAACTGTCGGCAGGCAATCCTGTGGTCGTCATCGACGACAAGCTGCTATCTTCTCTGGAAATGCCGGCATTCGAGTCCCTACCAAAGGTGCAGCCTTCCAACACGCTGTACGTTGTGTTTACCTCTGGCAGTACTGGCACGCCTAAAGGCGTGCGTATTACGCATTCCAACTTCAGCAGCGCCATGCTTCACCAGCATAGTTGTCACAATTTTGACAGTATACCTAATCCCCGGGTCTACGACTTCGCATCATACGCCTTTGACACGTCATGGCAGAATATGCTTGCCACTTTTGACTGTGGTGGATGTTTATGCATTCCGTCTGAAGCTGAGCGTCGCGATGATCTTGCAGGTTCCATCGAACGCTTTAGGATTACACATAGTGAGCTCACACCTTCTGCGGCTATGGTGCTTCCTTTGTCGACGCTTAAGAGCCTGGATACCCTAGTGCTTGGGGGCGAGAGGCTTCAAGAAGAATATGCCAAAAGATGGGCGTCGCTGGTTAATGTCAAGAATTCATACGGTCCTTGTGAATGTACGCCGACATCTACCGTCGCGGATGTCGACCCTGTCAATTTCAACGGAGCAAGCATCGGCAGAGGCAGAGGTGTCAACACATGGGTTGTGGACACGACGACTGGAGATTCTTTGGTGCCCGTGGGAAGCGTTGGCGAGTTGATGCTTGAGGGGCCACTCGTAGGACCTGGATATCTCGGGGACCCTGAAAAGACCGCCTCTGTCTTCATCAACAACCCGCCCTGGTTGACGCGGGGGGCTCCAGGACACCCTGGCCGCGAAGGCCGCTTATACAAAACCGGTGACTTGGTCTGCTATAATGAAGACGGCACCCTGACATTTGTTGGCCGTAAAGACGCTCAGGTCAAGATCCATGGTCAACGTGTTGAATTGGGCGATATCGAAAATCATATTATGCGCCATCATCTAACCAGACAATCAGCCTGTTTGCTTCCCAAGACTGGCCTTTGGGCTAATACACTTGTCAGCGTGTTCAGTCTTCAAAAACTCCAGCAGACCCTTGACGAAGTGGTCGCCGCCTCGGGTCAACTTTCACCTTCTCTCGCTAGCGTTTCAAGCTCAGCATCCCCCGATACAGATCTTACCAGCAGCACTTGGGACTCGATAGAAGATTCCACTACCCCAGCGTCACAGCTTAGCACGGAAATCGTACTTGAGGATTCTACTGCGAGCATCCAGGACTACATTGCAGCCATGCAGAGCATCCTTGAGAGCTCTCTTCCTTCGTACATGGTCCCTACTAAGTGGATTGCGCTGAAGGAAATTCCACTCAACCCATCTGGCAAGCTTAATCGCAAGCAAGTTGAACATTGGCTTGCTGATATGGACCGAGAGACGTATGGCAAGCTTTCCAGCATTGACAATAACCTCGCTTGCCGGGAACCAGAAACTGAGGCGGAACGCGTTCTCAGAGATGCGTGTAGCCTGATTCTAAATATCCCAGCTCCTGAAATCAACCTTCAACGCTCCTTTGTGGCTAATGGCGGTGATTCCATTTCCGCGATGCGGCTGAGCCCGCATTGCCGCGCCGCTAATGTCGTCTTCTCTGTTGCTACTTTACTGAAGGCCAGGTCTTTGTCTGAAGTCGCTAAGCTCTCCTCGGCTGCGACAAATTTCATCCTTCCTCGGACTGAGGACTTTGGAAAGCTGTGCCCTCTTTCGCCAATTCAACAATGGTTCTTCAATCAGTCGCCTGAGCATCTTGTTAACACCGCAGGCTACTATTGCAATCAATCCTTCTACGTCCGAATTAACCAAGTGGTCAATACCAGGCAAGTCCGCACTGCTATTGCAAAAGTTGTCGAGCTACACTCGATGTTACGTGCCCGGTTCCAGAAGCGAGACAATGTCTGGATGCAAATCATCCCTCGGGCCACTGATGCCGTCTACCACTTTGACGCTGTCAAGCTGAAGTCAATGGGCGAGATGCAGTCTCTCGCTGCCCAACGCCAGCAGAGTCTGGACTTTGAACAAGGCCTCGTGTTTTCTGCCGACCTGTGCGAGCTTTCCGAGGGAGAGCAGTACCTAATTCTTGTAGCACACCACTTGGTTATAGACCTGGTCTCTTGGAGAATTATTCTGGATGACCTAGAAGCTCTTCTCACCGGCACGACCTTAGTGGAAAGCCTCCCATTCCAAATTTGGAACGACTTACAACGTGAAGAGGCTAAGAGTTCTAGGTTTGACCCAGACCGTGTTTTGTCCACGGAAGGCATCAACAATGATTTAACATTTTGGAACTTTACATCTGAGACGCCAAATGCAACCCATGATCATATCGACAAGACGTTCATAATCGATCAGCATACCACCTCGCTCGCCCTAAAAGAAGCGAATAATGCCTTTAACACTGAGCCTGTTGACTTGCTCTTATCAGCAGTATGGGATGCATTCTTTCATACCTTTCCATTACGACATGGCCTCACAGTGTTTAATGAAGGTCACGGTCGTGAGCCTTGGAACGCTGAAATCGATATATCTCGAACAGTTGGCTGGTTTACCACGATGAGCCCCATACATGTGTCACGAAGCATTGGCAACAACCGCGTCAATATTGTTAGACTGGTCAAAGACGCAAGAAGAAAACTGCCCGCTAATGGATGGGCCTACTTTGCTTCTAGATACCTCAATAGCAAGGGTATTGAGGCTTTCGGCCCCCACGATTCAATCATGGAGATGGTTTTCAACTATCATGGTCAGTTCCAGCAGCTGGAACGCGATCATTCCTTCTTCGACAGTATTGCGCTCGACAATGTCTCTGACGTGGGACCAAATTTGCCCGCCTCCTCCCTATTTAACATCAATATGTCTATTGAGGGTGGACAGACTCATGTTTCATTTGCTTGGAACCGTCACATCTCCAATCAGAGTCTCATACGAACGTGGATTGACCAGATAGGACCCTCTTTGAATTCCATCTGTGAGAGTCTTATATCTAGGTCCAGTGAACCAACGCTCATCGACTATGAATTTCTGAGTCTTGACTACACAGCTCTGGATCGCCTGCAAAGCCGCATCATTCCTGAAATCGAGGCTCTCAACAGCACAGAAGTAGAAGACATTTATCCTTGCTCTCCTATGGTGGAAGGTATTTTACTAAGTCAATTGAAAGGGGCCGGATTCTACGAAACGTCTCAGTTCTATGAGATCAGACCACGTGGCAGTCGCGTCATCAACGTCCAGCGGCTGTCTACAGCTTGGGAAGAGGTGATTGCCCGTCATCCATCTCTTCGAAGCATCTTTATTGAGAGCCTAGATCCACGCATGGCCTTTAACCAAGTTGTTTTGAGAGAGCACCGCGGTGATGTTGTGCTTCTGAAGAGTGAGAGCCTCGATTCTGCGCGAGCGTTGCTACAAAACCTCACCAAGGTCAATTATCAGCAGCTCAAGCCCCCTCACCGCGTTTCTCTCTGCCAAGTCCTAGAAACGAATAGTATCCTTTGCCAAATCGAAATGAGCCATACCATTACTGACGGCGCATCTACTGGGATCGTCGTCGAGGATTGGACCAAAGCCTACAATGGCGTACTGGGCAAGGATAGCCTAAACGAGACGAGCCGAGGATTTGCAAGAGCCTTGAATTCTAGCATTCCAGAAATCAAAAAGACTTATTGGGAGAAAAAGCTGGCCGGTCTTCAGCCTTGTCTGTTTCCTCATCTGGATAAAATTTCAGAACCCTCAGAAGTGGTATCCTGGTCCATGGTAGATATCAACGGCGCAGCCTTTGCTACCATGCAAAAGTTCTGCGAGTCTCACTCAATTACCCCTGCCAGTTTGTTCCACGCAGCCTGGTCGCTCACATTGGCGTCTTATACCGGCACACATAGTGTGTGCTTTGGTTATGTTGCTTCAGGTAGAGATCTCGCAGTTCCCGGTATCGGCGAGGCCATCGGCGCGTATGCCAACATGATGGTCTGCCGCGCGGATATCTCACCAGAGTGGGATAAAAAGCGTTTCGTTGAATATCTCCACCACCAGGTTTTAGAGGATATGGGGCACCAGCACTGTTCTCTGGCTGACATTCAGCATGAGTTGGGCATAGCGTCTGGGCAACAGTTGTTTAATACGATCATGTCTTTCCAGAAAGATATTGATGACCTTGAAATAGGTCTAGCTGGACAAGAACTAGACTTCATCGATGAAGACGGAGACGACCCTACGGAATACGATGTCGCAATCAGCGTGACAGTCGGTGCCAAAGGGGCGAAGCTGTTCATCAACTGCCTGCCGTCGCGATACAGCAATGACCAGGCCCATCGCATCTTGTCACTATTCCAGACCAATGTTGCCAGTTTGGTTGATGACAACGCCCCTCACGGCTACGAGAGTACGCTTCGTAGCATCGACATGGTCAGCAAGAAGGACTTGCGGGAGATCTGGCGATGGAACTCATCCGTTCCTGAGACTGCGGATACATGCCTTCATCATCTGATCGGGACGACAGTGCAAAGACGACCTGAAGCGTATGCCGTTAATTCGTGGGATGGGGACTGGACATATGCCGAGCTGGAGCAAACTGCCACCCAACTGTGTTATCATCTTGCAAGTCTTGGCGTTAGACCTGGTGTTATCGTCGGCTTATATCTTGAAAAGTCGCGTTGGACGTCAGTGTCCATGTTAGCAATAATGAAACTTGGAGGAGCCTCCATTTTGATGGATTCTTCTCAGCCAGAAAGCCTCCTCCGGATCATCATGGAACGGGCGAAACCAAGAGTCCTACTTTCATCAAGTTCGACTAGAGAGTTCGCGGCCAAGCTTACAAGTCAACCCATTCTCGTTGTCAATGACGATCTTCTCCACATGTTGGCTACAACAACTGCCGTCCCCCTGCCCGTTGTTCGGCCATCAAGCGTGGTCTGTATATTGTTTTCCGCAGGAAGTAGCGACTCGCCAAAAGCCTCGGTACTAACCCATGCCAACTTCAGCAGCGCTGTCAAGCACCAACAAGATGCCCTGGGATACAAGCCTAGCTCAAGGGTGTACGATTTCATGCCACATAGCTCTGCTATATCCTGGCAAATCTTCTCACATGTGTTTAGCAGCGGCGGCTGCCTTTGTGTTCCTTCACAGAGGGAACATAAGGACTCCCTCGCGAATTCGGTATCCCGCTGGCAGCCCACCATCATGAACATTACCCCGTCAGCCGCCACGGCTCTTCCGAATAGCACTGTCGAGTCGCTGGAGACGTTAATCTTGTGCGGCGAACGTCTGTCCCCCGATATGGCCAGGCGATGGGCTCCATTGGTGTCCCTGAAACTCGCGTACGGCTGTTGCGAGGGTAGACCAATAGCCACCGTTGGTACGGTTTGCCTGGAAGATGCCGACGAACCCAGAATTGGACGAGGCGTCGGTGTCAACACATGGGTCACTGATACGCGGGATGGCACAACCCTTGTGCCTATCGGTAGCGTTGGTGAACTCGTGCTAGAAGGGCCATTAGTCGGTGCCGGCTACCTGGGCGATGCCGAAGCGACGGAAGCGGCCCTCATCAACAACCCACAATGGCTCACTTGTGGTAGTGGCGAACCAGAACATCCAGGTCGCACAGGAAAACTGTTCAAAACTGGCGATCTAGTCCGTTATAATAAAGACGGCAGCTTGACCTTTATCGCCCGTAAGGAGGCCCAGGTGAAGATCCACGGCCAACACGTGGAGCTGGAAGACATCGAGAGTCACATGGTGCGATTGCCATCGATACGTCAAGCTGCCTGCCTGATCCCCAAATCTGGTCATTATGCAGACAAAATTGTTGGTGTTTTTAGCATCAATGGGATCGATGACGGCAACAGTGACACGGGCAATACCGCGTTGCATCTCATAGGCAGAGACAGGGCACAGGAAGTTCAAGACAACATTTCGTCTCTACAGGCTGCGCTAGACAACTCAGTTCCCGTGTACATGGTTCCAAGTGTCTGGGTGGCATTGAAGAGCATCCCTGTCGACTATTCCGGCAAGCTGGATCGCAAGTTAATTGGGGAGTGGCTTTGTAACCTCGACGCAGAAACGTACACCAGGATTTCTAACGCTGGATCCTCATCCAGCAGCCCGGTCACCACGACAGAGAAAGTGATCCAAGACGCATGCAGTCACATTCTCAATATTCCTTCCAACTGTGTTAACATGCAGCGATCTTTTATCGCCAATGGCGGTGACTCTATATCCGCCATGCGTGTCAGTCCGTATTGCCGCGCTGCTGGTATTCTAGTGTCCGTGGCGTCATTGCTCAGGAGTAAAAGGTTGGTCGATGTCGCCGAGTCTGCAACCGTCGCCAAAGGTTCAGTATCATCCCGTGAGGAAGAGTTTGACAAGTCTTTCAGCCTTTCACCAATACAACAATGGTTCTTTGCCCAGTCCCCTCCCAACAAAGTAAACACTACAAGCTATTACTGTAACCAGGCCTTCTATGTTCAGATCAAGCGCCGCGTACTTCCAGATGAAGTCGCTATCGCTATCGGCAAGGTTGTTCAGCAGCACTCCATGTTAAGAGCACGGTTTCAGCTGGATAAATTGACAAACTCTTGGGCCCAGCTAGTTCCAAAGCCAAGCGATGCCCTCTACCACTTTGCATCTTGGCAGGTCGACTCTCTTCCCGCCGTCAAGTCAATAATCTCCCAGCGCCACCAAGAGCTGGATATCGAGTGTGGATTGGTCTTCTCCGCCGATATGTTCACCCTCCCATCCAACGAGCAGTACCTTGCGCTCATTGCTCATCATCTAGTTGTCGACTTAGTGTCCTGGCGTATTATACTAGATGATTTAGAGTCCCTGCTCAATGGTGGTACTGCCCTTGAGGAGCTTCCCTTTCAGGTCTGGCATCACCTTCAGAAGCAAGAAGCTCGGTCGATAAATTTCGCACCTGAGAGAGTCTTGTCTAGCGAGGTTCATAATGAGCTCGAGTTCTGGAACTACACCGCTGCCACCCCCAATACCTTCGATGACCACGTCGAGGAATCCTTCGAGGTTGACTTTGCGACAACTGAGATATTGCTCAGAGGAGCCAACAGGGCATTCAACACCGAACCAGTTGATCTGATTCTAGCCTCAGTTTGGAATGCATTCTTTGACGTCTTTAAGACACGTAATGGCCTTACAATTTTCAACGAAGGCCATGGCCGAGAGCCCTGGGCAGCTGATATTGACCTATCTAGAACGGTTGGTTGGTTTACCACAATGACCCCGATGCACGTATCGCGTGGCCGCACGACGACAGATAGTGCCAGAGTCGTCAAGGATATGAGGAGGCAGCTGCCGTCAAACGGTTGGGCCTACTTTACCTCACGTTATCTCAATGATGAGGGCATCAAAGCCTTTAAGGCTCATGACTGTGTCATGGAGGTGCTCTTTAACTACCACGGCCAGTTCCAGCAGTTGGAGTCCGACGATTCGTTGTTCGAGAATGTCGCATTCGACGATGTGTTCGACGTCGGTTCTGACCTTCCCGCCTCTGCGCTCTTCAGCATTAACGTTTCCATTGAAGGTGGCCTTACCAAATTTACCTTCTCTTGGAACCGACACATCAGTCACCAGAATCTTATCCGCGACTGGATTGCGCAGGTTGCACCCTCAATGCAGTCCCTTTGCAGCGCCCTGTCAGCCTGCGAGTCCTCGCTAACCATCGCGGACTATGAGTTCTTGAATCTCGACTATAAGGGTCTGGATGAGCTGCAGAATCGTATTATTCCGGCCTTGCAATCCGAGACCAGCACAATCGTCACTGACATCTACCCTTGCTCGCCCATGGTTGATGGCATGCTGCTCAGCCAAATAAGGGATCCGGAAGCTTACAAGACGTTGCTCACGTACGAGATGAAACACCACAAGAACCTGCAGCCGCTGGATATTGGTGTACTGGCCAAGGCGTGGCAGGCCGTTGTTGCGCGCCACCCAGCCCTTCGCAGCGTTTTTATCGAAGGAGTAGACAAGAGGACAGCTTTTGCCCAAGCTGTCCTTGAAGCATATCAAGGGGAGGTCATTGTGTGCGAGGCTCACAACAAGACAACGGCTGTGACCATGGTTCGACAATTGCCTTCAGTTGACTATCAGCAGCTCAAACCAGCTCATCGCCTAGTTCTTTGCAAGGTTTTGGACGATGACACAATCATCTGCCAGATAGAAATGAGCCACACAATTGTCGATGGCGCATCTACCGCCATTATGTTGAATGACTGGTCGAAGGCATATAGCGGAATCTTGGGCACAGAAACCTTATGTGAGACGAACCGCAGCTTTGTCCGGGCTCTCAAATCCAGTCCGTGGGCCGACAAGATGGCATATTGGAAGAAAAAGCTGGCCGGCCTTGAGCCATGCCACTTTCCTAGGCTCTCCGAAGCGTGTTCTCCAGGGAACTCCATCGCCACATTTGGTGCTGACATTGACGGTGATGACTTCATACGCATTCAGCGCTTCTGTGAGACTCAATCTGTTACTCCCGCGAGCGTGTTCCAAAGTGCCTGGGCCCTATTGCTATCAACGTACGCTAGCAATAATTCTGTATCCTTTGGGTACATTGCCTCTGGCCGTGACCTACCTATTGACGGCATTGGGGAGTCTATCAACGCCTATGCCAACATGATGATCTGTCGCGCTGATGTGTCGCGCCATTTAACACCGCAGGGATTCGTTAAGCGTCTCCACGATCAAGTCCTAGAGGACCTCACCTTTCAGCACTGCTCTCTCGCCGATATACAGCATGATCTTCAGCTTTCCCCTGGACAGCCACTATTTAACACTATTGTCTCTTTCCAAAAGGACGATGCAGACGCGGCAGACAATGTCGCTGTTGGAGATTTGGTTTTTATTGATATGGACCACGAGGATCCCACTGAAGTAAGTCTACACCTAGGCAAATCAAATGTCTGGAACTGTTATGCTCATTACACCGCAGTTTGATATTTCCTTTGACATCAGCTACGGCACGACTCAAGTGGCATTCTCTCTCGACTACCGCCTGTCTTGCCTGACAAGCGAACAAGCCAAACGCGTCATGTCGCTCTTAAGAACCATCATCATGTCAATCGTTGACGGAAAGACAGAGCCAACCACGCTCAATGCAATTGACATGGTCAGCCAAGGAGATCTGGAGCAGATCTGGGACTGGAACTCCGTCGTTCCCGAAAAGGTGGAAGCACTTGTACACGATTTGATATCCAACACAGCGCATAAGTTCCCTAACGCTCCAGCCATCTGTGCCTGGGATGGCGACTGGACGTACCAGCAGTTGGATACTCTTTCCACACAACTTGCCTATAAATTGGTGAAGCTTGGCGTCGGCCCTGAGAAGATTGTTCCCCTCTGCTTCGAAAAGAGTCGTTGGGTGCCCATAGCAATGCTTGGCGTTATGAAGGCCGGCGGCACATGCGTGGCTCTGGACACTGCCCTGCCTGAGGAGCGTCTACGCATCATTATGCAGCAGGTCAAACCGACGATACTTCTTTCTTCATCAACCAGCCAGGTTCTTGTGAATCGTCTCACCACGGGACTTGTCTTCGTGGTTGACGAGGCCAATGTAGCCGACCTGGAAACACCGCCTGCTACGGCCACAAGACTTTCTAGCGTGACTCCCTCCAATACGCTATACGTCGTGTTCACGTCTGGCAGTACTGGGACTCCAAAGGGCGTCACGATCAATCACTCAAATTTTGCCAGCTCTCTCCGTCATCAACACGGCGCACATAACTTCAAGGCCGGTGCGCGAGTCTATGATTTCGCATCGTATACCTTTGACACGTCTTGGCAAAATGTGCTCAGTGCTCTCGAATGCGGTGCCTGCCTATGTATTCCATCAAATTCTGAACGCCAGGATGACTTGGCGGGCTCTCTGGAGAGATTCGGTGTCACCCACGCGGAGATGACTCCCTCAGCAGCCCAACTTCTGCCGGCCAGCGCCATCAAGCGCTTGGATACGCTGATTCTTGGTGGTGAAGTGCTTTCGCCTGAGCTGGCCAAGTCGTGGGCCAGCATGGTGAACGTCAAGAACTCATACGGCCCATGCGAGTGTACGCCAACAACAACAGTAGCGACCATCGACCCAGATCGCGTTGACGTGTCTAGCATCGGTCGTGGTTTCGGTGTTAATACGTGGGTCGTGAGCACTGCGGGTGATTCTCTTGCCCCTGTGGGAAGCATTGGCGAGCTGTTCCTCGAAGGTCCGCTCGTTGGCCCTGGTTATCTCGATGATGAGGAGCGAACAGCAGCATCTTTTATTCAAAATCCTTCTTGGCTGCTCCGTGGCTCCGCAGCCCGTCCCGGACGGCAGGGGCGCTTGTATAGGACTGGTGATCTCGTGCGCTACCAACCTGATGGCAGCCTGACCTTTATTGGCCGCAAGGATAGCCAAGTCAAGATTAACGGCCAACGGCTAGAGCTTGGCGATATCGAACACTACGTCAGCTGTAATATTAACTATGACTGCGATATTCGAGTGGTTGTGGACGTGGTCAAGCCTCGAGACAGCGAAAGGCGTGCCCTTGTGGCTTTCTTGGGCGTGGAAGATACGTCCGCAGGCCTGGACAAGATTATCGCCGGCCTGGCTGACAGACTTGCCGCTCAGGTGCCTGCTTACATGATACCGTCTGCATACATGCTTTTGGCCAGCATCCCGATGACGCCCTCGGGCAAGACGGATCGAAGAGAACTCCGCGCCATGGCTGAGAAGCTCACAAGGGTCGAGCTCATGGCTCATGGCCCATCCCAGGCGACAAGGCGAGCACCGGCGACACCAAAAGAGATTCAGCTTCAAGGGCTTTGGGCTGCTGTACTCGGTATTCCTCGCGAGATGATTAGCGCAGAAGATAGCTTCCTGCGCATTGGAGGGGATTCGATCGGCGCCATGAGGCTTACAGGGTTGGCGCGTGATGGTGGCCTTTCCATGACCGTCACCGACATCTTTCGTCACCCATGCCTCAGTGATCTCGCCAAGACTATCCGCAACTCGTTTGGCCAGGAGCATGAAGCTGTGCTGCCGTTTTCCTTGCTTTCCGGCAAGCTAGACGCATTAGAGACGCGGACTCGGATTGCCCGGCTGTGCGACGTTGGCCCGTCACTTATTGAAGACGCCTTCCCCTGCACACCCTTACAGGAAGGCCTCTTGGCTCTGACGCTGAGACGCTCCGGTGACTATGTGGCTCAAAATGTCTTGCAGCTCAAAGCTACAGTCGATATTCCTCGCCTCAAGCGCGCCTGGGAGCAAGTCATTGCCACCACGCCCATTCTGCGAACACGGATCGTCGACCTCGATACCCAAGGATTAGTTCAGGTGGTAGTGGCGGAGGAGCCGGCAACTTGGCTAGAGTGTTCCACCGGCATTCTCTGTGAAGAAAGGGACAAGAAGCTGGCTATGGGCTTGGGCAAGCCTCTGATGCGGTATGCGATTACCAAAGACTCTCATGACCAGCATTGCTTCGTTTGGACCGTACACCATGCCTTGTACGACGGATGGTCAATGCCACTAGTTCTTGAGAGACTGGAAATGGCATACAACGGAGCAGTCCTGCAGACACCACCGGCGTTTCAAGAATTCGTCAGGTTTATTGGCGACGTCGATGACGATGGTGCCACCGGGTTCTGGACGTCGCAGTTTGACCAAATCCAAGCTCAAGCATTCCCATCACTGCCTTCGCCGGTGTACCAGCCACGCTCAGACGCTGGTGTTTCGCATCACATCCAGGATCTGGCGTGGCCAAAGACGGACACGACGGCGTCGACTGCTATTCGCGCTGCACTATCGATCCTTATAGCAGTGCACTCTGACGCTTCTGAATCGCTCTTTGGTGCGACAGTCACAGGTCGACAAGCTCCGGTACCCGGGGTCGAGAACATGACGGGCCCGACGATTGCCACAGTACCAATCAGGGTGACCCTTGACGGAGAAAATACCGTCCATCAGTTTTTGCAGCAGATACAGGCCCAGGTCGTCGACATGACGGCATTTGAACAAACGGGCTTGCAGCGTATTCGAAGGATCAACGCATCGGCCAAGCAAGCTTGCGATTTCCAAACGTTGTTGCTCATTCACCCCGTCGAGGAACCCGGCAAGTCCACAAGCTTCCTCTTCAGAGACGAAGACGAGGAGGACGTGTGTGCGGACGACGTTGTCGATGACTCATTTGCCGGGTTCGACACACATGCTATCACGATTGAGTGCGATCTCGAGAACACTGGCGTGCTGCTGCGCTTCCGTTTCGACTCTCAAGTCATCGACAAGCTTCAAGTGGAGAGGCTCGCGGCGCAATTTGATCTGATTCTGCGTCAACTGTGCGATCCGGGAATGTCTCAGCGCAAGATCTCCGATATTGACACGGTCAGCGCCGGGGAGTTGAGGAAGATTTGGGAATGGAATGCTGTCGTTCCCGATGCTGTCCATCACGCCGTTCATGAGTTGATAGCCGAGAACGCCTCCAAGCATCCCGATTCTCCGGCAGTCTGCGCGTGGGACGGGAACTGGACATATCAGCAACTCGACTCTATCGCCACGCAGGTTGCGTGCCGCCTTATTGGTCTAGGTGTTGGTCCTGATGTTATAGTGCCTATCTGCTTTGAAAAGTCTCGCTGGACGCCCGTAGCAATGTTGGCTGTCATGAAAGCCGGCGGCGCGTCGGTCGCTCTAGACGCCACGTTGCCTCGAGAGCGACTACGCAGTATTGTGCAACAAGTCAAGCCGTCGCTGGTCCTGTCGTCTCCCTTGAGCCGAGAGCTCGCGGAGGCGTTGACTGACGGAGCAGTCATGGTCTTGGGCGAAGGATGCCAAGAAGAGTTCGACGAGCCTCCGCTGCAGCCGCTTCCTCGGATAGAGCCGTGGAACAAGCTGTATCTTGTCTTTACGTCGGGTAGCACCGGCGTTCCAAAGGGCGCAGTTATCACCCATTCTAACTTTAGCAGCGCCATCCATCACCAACAAGCGGTTACGGGCTTCAGCAGGTCTTCCCGCGTATACGACCTGGCAAAATACGCTTTTGACATTAGCTGGTCTAACTTCATCCACACTATGGCTGCAGGTGGCTGTCTTTGCATACCCTCGCAGCAGGCAGCTTTCGACGATATTACCGGCTCAATCCTGGAGTACAACGCGAACTTCATAGACATTACGCCCTCTGTCGCCAGTACGCTGCGGCCATCAGACTTGACCTGCCTCAAAACTGTCGTCTTCGCTGGTGAGGCACTCACCAACCACCAAGCCTCCAAATGGTCAAAGCATGCCCGCGTGCTCAACATGTACGGTCCGGCGGAATGCACAGTCAAGGCTACATTGGCCGAGCTGGACGGGACTGCCCCGTCTTCAGCAGCCAGCATTGGTCGCGGACTCGGTCTGTGTACTTGGGTCGTGGATCCTTCAAATCATCTCAAACTCGCACCAGTCGGAATGGTTGGGGAACTGGTATTGGAAGGGCCCATCGTTGGACCTGGATATCTCGGCGACGCCGCAAAGACCGCGGACGCCTTTATTGAGAGTCCCCCCTGGCTGCTGCGCGGCGGGCCTGGCCACCAAGGCCGCAAGGGGCGTGTGTACAGAACCGGCGATCTCGTCCAGTATAACCCCGACGGTAGTCTGACGTTTGTCGGGCGGAAAGACGGCCAAGTCAAAATCAACGGTCAGCGCCTGGAAGTCGGCGATGTGGAACACAACCTTGCCTCGACCCTCAACGCCCAATGCCAGTCGGAATTCCAGCTTGCGGCGGAGGTGATAAAGCCTCGGGATAGTGACAAGGCCATGCTGGCCGCGTTTATACAGTCATCCGGACAGCCCGGTGACCTCAAATCAAGGATGAACGTACTGACATCAGGTCTCAACGATTGCCTTGCCGCCAGGGTTCCTGGATACATGATCCCCTCGGCCTACATCGTGGTGGACCAGCTGCCGCTCTCCGCCACCGGCAAGTTGGACCGCAAGCAGCTCCGCGAAATGGGAGCGAAACTGACTCTGTCAGAGCTGATGACGTCGACTGGGCCACGGGCAGAACGCAGGCCGCCAACTTCTCCGACGGAGCTGTGCCTGCAGAGACTTTGGGCTGACATCCTCAGCATCGACCCCGAAACGATCAGTGCAGATGACAGCTTCCTTCATGTTGGCGGTGACTCCATTCAGGCCATGAAGCTCGCTCAGCGAGCCCGAGACGAGGGTTTCCACCTAGCTGTTGCCGACATTCTCACGAGTCCCAAGCTGTCCCGGATGGCTTCTCACCTCAAGAGTTTAAACGCAGACTCGGGTGCACACCCAGGCGAGTATCGCCGATTTTCCCTTTTGCCGCCTGGCAGCCGACCGCAAGTCGAGCAGATCTTGACTGAACATGGCATCGCCACGGATGATGTGCAGGACATCTTTCCTGTTACTGACCAGCAGGCCCGGTATCTGCTGACAACTTACACGGCGGCCCGGAGCGCGGTGTATTACCACACGTTGGACCGTGACGGAGATTTCGATCCTGAACGTCTGCAGCGCGCTTGCGCTACTCTCGTTGGACGTCTTGAAATGATGAGAACCGTCTTTTTCGCGTACAAAGATACATTCTTGCAAGCTGTGCTCGCGCGTGTGGACGCGGATATCGGCATGTTTGCGACCGCCACGGAAAACTTGGACGAATACACGTTGAGATTGAAGAAGCAAGACTTACTGTGCCATCTTCAGTTCGGAGCACCACTTGCAAAGATTTCCGTCATTCACCAGACGCGAGAACAAAAGTATCGCATTGTAATACGGCTCTCCCACGCCCAGTATGACGGCACGGCGCTCGCCAAGATGTGGGCTGCCTTTGAAGCGGCGTATGCTTCAGCGCCTCCCGACGGCAAGCAGACGAGCTTTTCGCATTACATGCACACGCTGTCACTCCTCGATGAGCAAAGGGCGACCGAGTACTGGCGCAACATGCTCCAGGGAAGCACCTGCACAGCCATCAAGCACGAGACCACACACCGTCTCGGATACGCGCTGGGCCCCAACGTCGTCAAGACCATAGCAGCGTGCGACCTGCAGTCCGACGACTTTACCTTTGCAACCGTCCTGAAGGCCGCGTGGTCGTACGTCCTGGCGAGACACTCGGCCACCGGCGATGTTGTGTTCGGCAGCCTCACCCACGGCCGCAACCAGCCGGGCACGCAGGACATCTTCGGTCCTTGCGTGAACATTGTCCCCTGCCGCGTGGTTTTCCAGGAGGACTGGTGTGCCAGAGACCTCGTTGCCGCGGTCAACGCCCAGCAGGTGGCCAGCATACCATTCGAGACGATGGGCTGCCGGGACATCATCCGCAACTGCACGAGCTGGCCCCGATGGGCCTTTTTCAGCTCAGTCATCGTGCACCAGAACTACGAAGACCGTCCCGCGGACGAGTCCCTCGTCGACTTTGACGGCGCCGACCTGTCGACGGGCGACATCGACAGCGTCCAAGTGTACATCACCTCTACGCCGGGCGCAGACAGCACTCAGATAGACTTTAGCTTCACGGACAAGGTCGTCACGGACGAGCTGGCGCAGCGGCTCGCGTCCGAGCTGGCCGACACCATTGTCCAGTTCTACAGCGCAATGGACACGAGAATCATGCCGCCGCGCGACATTCGGCGCCTGCCGGCCTCGCTGCCCCTGCCGGCCGACCCCGACCCCGAACCCGCCGCCGCTCCCCCGTCGGACGAGCGCACGGCAGCGCTCGACGGGTGCCCTGCCGAACTGAGGGCCGCTCTCGGCGCGGCCTGGAGAGACGCGCTGGGACTGCAGACCGTCCCCGGCGACGCATCGACCGAGACCCTGTTCGAGCTGGGCGGCGACGCCAGCAACGCCGCCCAACTGGCCGCTCACATGCAACGGCGGGGCTACCAGCTCCGGATCGAAGACGTCTTCGAGAACCCCTCGTGGTGCGAGCTCCTGCTTCACATGGCTGGCCGGCGGTGAAGGTGAATTGGCGCGCGCGCGGGTTGCACGCAAAAGCGACGTGGACCCGCCGGTGAAGTGTAGTTTCCTTTGTTGCGGTGCATCCCTTTTGTCATTTCATTCTGGCGTCTAGATCGAGTGTTTTCTCAAGTCGTGTCTCAATAGATGGTCACTGAAGGAACGAATGGCTCCGTTTTTCGTTGGGCCGGTCCTTTTTCGCCCGTCGATCGATTGACGATTTACATGTACATATTAGCTCGCGCAGACAGGCAGACAGACAGACAGACAAGACGCAGACGGCCTCGATGTCAGGCACTACATCTGCCCCTTTGCAAAGTCTGCCACGTATATGCCGTTCGCTCAACTCGGCCGCCACCTTTGTCGTTTGTTTTCTTACAGAAAAAGTGAAAAAAAGGCGCTGTGAACCCGCCGTATCATTCCATCCATCGGACCGCCTCGGGGATCCGGAGCCGGACAAGACCCAGTGGGGCGGCCGGCAGCCGAGAGCTGTGTTACAGGGAAAAGTAGAGTGAGTTATAACGTGCCGCGCTACAATATAATTAGCCCCCTATTATTGTTACACTTATAATAGCGCAATTAATATAGAAGCTCTTTTTTAAAACTATTAATATATTTATTAAATTAAGCTCTTTAACTCTAGATTTATATTAGTAATAACTATATTAATCTTTAAATCTCTTTTTATTTTAAAGAAAATTTTTCCTTTACATATATATACTTACTAGAGGCTAGCTTATAGCTAATTTAGTAGCTACTATACTATAAGTATGCTATTATATCAAGTTAAATTAAGAGCAAGTGCGCTCTACACACCTCTAATTACTACAATAAGCGTCAAGTCTCTAACACCCCTCTAAATTATTAAGAGGGAAAGTAGAGCTAGTTATATATCTTGGTAAAATAAGAGGCATTATTATGAGGCAGACTTAGCTAGAAAAACTTGGAGAGAATAAACATTAATGCTACCTAATGCCCATTAAATGCATTACAGCTGGTACTTTCCCGTACCCCAAGCCCAAGCCCTCCAAGTCGCCCGAGAGGGAACGTGGGATGCCCAAAAAGGAATTCATCTCCAAGCTCATCTTGCCTGTCGCCACGGCAGAAGACGGTGGTAACTTACGATGTGGGGGAGACGAGGGGCTCATACGACCTCAGCCTGCACGGCATGACAGAGGTGGCTTGTAACGACTGGCTCCCCTCGCTCACGAGCAGCTCTACATCAAACTTGAGGCTACATATCCATGGTATATTAAAAGGACAATGCATCAACAATCGCCCTGCCAGTTCTTACTGATCCATTCGCTGAGCTTGTAAGTCAGCGTGCCGTCCATGTAGACCCTGGCATCATCACTGCTGTAGTCGCCGCCTGCAAACTTCAATGCCGGCATGATCCACGGCTGAATAAAATCTATATAAACCAAGTCGACCGTCTCGGGGTCCCCTTTTTCGGGGAAATTGATCCGTGACTGTATGCAATTGGGAATGGCATAGAACGGAATGGCTTCGTGGACGGTATCATCGCCATCTGTACCAATATCATCCTTTGTGGTGTAGCCTCTAATCAAAGCTGGCTTTGCACTGCGCAGTTCAAGTCTCTTGCTCTCCTCCTCCTGCTTTGTGGGCGCCGGTGATTGGGCCTGGCCGGAGGTGAACATCATTTCTGGAATCGCCATGAACTTGGTTTCAGCGCCATGTGTGCCCAAGATCTTATCTGCGCTGTTCAGAATCGTCAGGACCTTGCTGGCAATCTTGTAGGGCACGTCAGGAACGTAGTTGAAGCCGCTTGTGAATGGAGAGACAATGTATGTCGAGTCGCGGGTGAAGGGGCCTTTGAAAATGTCGAATCGGATCCCTCCCGTGTTCAGAATGGCAAGACGGGGCTTGTCTTTGCGCTTCTTGTTTGCAACAACGTCGGGCAGCACTTGGTCTTGAATCCAAGAGTAGATGCTCTCATTGCTGGGGTACCGGGCACGATTTGTCCACAGATCTTGGGGGGCGCAACCGTAGCGGTGGTCCAGATCCAATGCTTTGCGTGCGCGTGCAATGTGTTCGGATACACGCCTACCGTCGTCGGTGGGGAATGTTGTGTCGTTGAGCCCGGTATGGTAGTACATGCCAAGAAGATTCGTGTCCATGTACTTGCGGTTGAAATTGAATGATGCTGCGGCGGAGACGTGGTCGCTTGATTTCTTTTGTATGCCACCAATGGACATGAAGCCAATAGTTTCAAAATATCGTCCCGAAGCCATGGCAAATGCTTGCGAGTCATAGCTCAGGGCATCCCGCACATGAGCGTGGCCCCCGAAAAATACAATTGGAGTGTGCCAATTCTGCTTTCGCAGAGCCGTGAAAATGGTGCGGAACTCTGGCATGCGCAAGCCCACATGGCCAGCCACGACGAAAAGGTCTGGTTTCTCTCGAATAGCTTCTTGGAACCATTTCTCCTTGATGGTCTCCGCAACAGGCTGCACTGCCGTATTGTTTGCATTCCCTTGAAAGTCAAACAGGAAGCCAAACGCTACAATGTCGAGTCCTCGGTTCTCTGTTTTAAACTTGCGGTACCGCTGTGCCAGTGGCTTCCGCTTGCCCGTCTCCCGGTCAATCAAGTCAACATTAGAAGCCACATATTTATCGCCGAATATTGGGACGGTCGTGTTTGCCTCGTAGTCGGCGGTACTAGCCTGGTACAGCTCGTGGTTGCCGACGCAGATTAAGTCGACATGCTGTTCCGCCCAAAGGTCGTAGTAGAATAGACCCTTGGGGTTTGATGCGTCGTACAAGCCATTGCCTTCTACTCGGTCACCTGTATCGACGAGCAGCAGATCGCTTCCGGTATCATGGGCGCGCTTCTTCATGTGTTGGGCAAAGGAAATGTAGTCGCCCCAGTCGGCAGAGTATTGGGGTCTTGGTCTGTTAGTTAGCATATGCTTTACCGTGGCCCAGAGAACTGTATTTTTTATAAAAAGAAAGGGGACAAAAGGGAAAAAAGAGGGAAAGGGGAAACAGAAGGGGCGGTAAACGCTCACTCTAATAGATGGCCACTCAGCCAGCCGTGTGTGTCGGTGGTGTGCAGAAAGTTGAGCTGTCCCCAAGTCAAATCACGCATGGGGGCGGCGACGGGCTGCACAGCTCCTGGCTGCGCGCCATGAGCAAAACCACTGGCGAAGGCGATGGTGACGCCGAGAGTCCAGCTTATCGCCATCGCGGCGTTATTGATCGGTCAATGAGTTGTGCTCATGGGCCACGAGCGTGTGAAGATGAAGGTGACAATAGTGGTTGTGCGAGGAGGGAGGAGCGAGGCCGGCGCGAAAGAGCCACAACTTACAAGCCCCGCAGACCCTACCCTATACAGAAACCGGAAATGACTGTTTTGGCATGAGTCAAGCCGTCATATGCCAGCCTCTCCATCCTGCTCGCATGGAACCGACCCTGAATGGCCTGAGAGAACCCTTTTGTCTTCCCTTTTCCCATGAGTCCATGACTGCCAATATCGGATGCAAGCACACGGGCCATAGGCTGCTGCTGCCGGGCTGAGATACACGACATGACTCGGCCGGATACCAACTATTTTCGGTCCTCAAAGGCTGGAACCGAACATGACATGATGATGAACATGGAAACACGCCATACCTGCGTGCTGATATCCAGCTCACTAGAGCAGTGCGAAATTGGCCAGCGTGAGAACCCAAACGCGGGCGACAAGAATGACTAGCAAGCCACACAGCTTACGGGATAGGTGTCAGAAGATTGCAAAAGCTCTTCTCGTGCCGCTGACAAATGGTTGTTGTTTTTCTTGCTGGGATGTGGCGGCCCTTTCGAGGGGCTAAGCTGTGCATCACATCCCTTTTTTGGAGACGCAAGGTGACCATGAAGAGCAAGCAGCCTCAAATGATAAATCCATGCGACGGCAGGCAATGGGGTGTGATTACCTTGTATCTTCCACGATGAAGCTGAAAGATGACGCGTTTCAGAGTGAGCTCCTTGAAAAGGGAATTATTTGTAATGTGAAGAAGAGCCACAGCTCAGCGACGCCGAATAAACAAAAGCGAACAAGATGTAGTTCTGCGCATGGAACCCGATCGATGCGATATCCGCCTTTGAACGAAAACATAGCAAGTTCCGCATGCGTCGGATTCATGAATGTATGACCTCGATTCATGAGGAGGCTAACCCACGATTTGAGGCGGGCCTCGCCAAACCGTCCCGATATCAATCAACGTCGACATTTTTCAATTTGGTGACCCGTTCCACTGGTAACTAGACAATTTCAAACTAGTAGTAGGGTTTACCTGCAATCCAACTGCAAAAATGCCGAGAAGTCATAGTAAGAGATTGTTCGTGGCGCCAGCATCCTTGCATCTTGACAGCCCCACGCTGATCGAGTCTTGTCCGGTACGAAATACGACGAGGTGGAACGCCACGGGTCAGGGTCCTATGGTAACTACCTAGGTAGGTAATACACGTCGACGTGACGGAATACCAGTAGATCCACGGACCACTTTATCCCAGCACACTCGGTGGCTTGCCAGAAGCTTATGTATAAGTGAGTGCTTCCATAAGGCTTTCCACAATGAAAGAAACTGCCGCGAGACACTTTGTCTGCTTAGCTGGAGCCCAGCCACTCTCCGCCAATGCCGACCTTTTTTGCTGAAACCCAACGACGGTCATACTTTCCAGCATTGCTGCGCAAACCCCGCCTTGTAGCTGCCCCTACTGACTCAAGAGTAGCAGTTTGACGGACGGGTAGGCCTGAGAAGAGCACAAAGAAAGACATGTACAGCCCAAATCCTCGGACAGGCTACCGGAGGCAAGTGATTCGACTTGACACTTTCAGTCACCGCACGCCATGTCGACGAACGAAGGTGAGCCAATTCTTTACGTCGTAGGCAGTCGAGGCCATTTTTGAACCTCGATTGAAGGGGTTGCTGAGGGGCCGTATCTTCCTCAGAGGTTCCTATTTCTGGCCTGAAGGAACATCGGCGCTGATCTTCTGAAGTGAACCCTGGCAAGACTGCAGTAACGGCAAGATCGGAGGAAGAGTGTTACGACTTGCTCGTCAAGGAGATGTCGTTCATTCGGGATCGAGAGTCTCCGGTCACACAGAACGGAGAAAATGGTGCCGGAGCAAATCAAGTTGGACCTATGCCTCGTAAGCATGTTGTAGATAATGTGCTTTTTTGCTGAATCTCTTGCATCACTGACGATGAAGCCTTAGAACTATCCCGGGGACCAACTTCAGGCACGTCAACCAATGTGATGATTGTGAAGACCATCAAGGCAGCCATGGCTGGCATTCGACCTGGTTCTTGATACAAAAGCCCCGAGACTAAGAGTTGATGGTAGTTGCGTGAATAAGCTTGGACGCAGACTGATGGCTGTGGATGTTGTCACTCAGCTGCCAGCCAAGCAGTCAAGTGCATCCAGGAAATCTCACGGGTTCCCACGCGTGTCGGTGGGAATGTTTGTTCTCGTTGAGAGAGACCATGATCTAGTGAGATGTTGGAGACCATGATCTAGTGAGATGTTGTGAAGACAAGGCACAATGGCTTCACATTCCACATGGGACATGTTGCAGAGGGATCAAACTGGAAGAATCATGGGCGCCCCGAGACACTCTGTGCAGATTTCAACGCATTGAACGCAATAGCAACCACAGATTGACAGAGACTGCTTGTTAGATGAAAAGTTCGTTGTTGCTTGTTTAGTGTAGACAGACGCATTTCGGGCTGGAGGATTCTTCAAGGGACTGAATCGGCAAACCAAATTGTGTTAGGCACTCGGAAGGGCTCGATCATGTTGGCCATGTCAAGAATAGAAGTCCGGGAGGACGCAGAGATACGGTGATGTTCTTCCTTGGCCAAATGTGATGCACCTGTGCAGTTTGGGCAGGTACCATCCACCCTCGGTCCTCTGCCCCGCTCAGCTCCTGCCGTGATCATGTGCAGGTTTTTTTTTCCCCTTCTTCTTCCCCCCCGCCGCGAAACCGCAAAGTCAATCTTTTCATCGTCGCCACCATTGCCTTCGTGTCAACGCTTTTACCCTACTTCACTTACTGCCCCCGACATTATTATACGCTCCTGCGCTTGTTTGATGACCCCGTCTACACACCTGATCCGCTGCCTTGAGGGCTATGTCACCCCTCGCGTGCGGCATCACTCAGTCTGCCTTGACCGCGGCGCACCATCGTATGTGCCGGCCATCGCAATAGTACACCCTGCAGGCGACTTGAAGTCTTTGCGCTTGCTGCAAACTGGAGACGAAGAAAGACTTAGTTTACTGGTCTCATAGACCTGCCATCGACATTGTAGATGGGCTATGCTGGCATTTTTCAACACATCTTGAACCTTTTCTCAGAGAAACTCGACCACGGCTACCACTAGTCAATCCTAAGGATCCCGGTGGAGAAGAACCAACTCACGCATCAACGATCATGACCATCGCCAACGACCAACCGGAGGGTATGGTTTCCAACAAGAGCGGCCTTACCACTCACTCTGCCGGGGTCTCGTCCGGCCACGACGGCCTTGACTCCTCTGACCGGGGCTCTAGAGCGGCTCCAGACAGCGAGACCTCCTTCGAGACCGCCGAGGCCACCCAGGGTCTGTACCTCCTTGAGTCGAAATCAGTTCACTGGTGGAGCTACCTGGCTACAGCCGATTTCTGGATCGTCGTTGCCATAGGGCAGATTCTGGCGTTGTGTATTACGGCCACCAACACATTTACCACCTTTCTGCAACGGGAGAAATTCAACGCACCCGCATTCCAGACACTCTTTAATTATGTGTTCCTTGCCATCATCTTCAATGGCATTTTCTTCCTCCGAGATGGTCCCCGAGCTTGGGGATATGTTGCATACCACGATGGGTGGAAGTACCTCATCATGGCGTTTCTCGACGTTGAAGGGAATTACTTTACTGTTTTGGCATACGCGTACACCAACATTTTGTCTGCGCAGCTGTTAAACTTTTGGTCAATTGTGTGTGTGGTCATTATCTCATTCGTGCTCCTCAAGGTCCGCTACAAGCCGTTCCAAGTCATCGGTATCTTGGTCTGCTGCGGAGGCATGGGCATCTTGCTTGGGTCCGATTACATTGTTCAGAGAGATAGCGGTGTTTCTGGCGGCGAATCAAGACTTAAAGGTGATTTGTTTGGCCTGCTGGGCGCCACACTCTACGGCACTAGTAACGTTCTCGAGGAGTGGCTAGTTTCCAAAGCCCCCATGCATCACGTCCTGGCATTCATGGGCCTCTGGGGCATGATTATCAACGGGACCCAAGCTGCCATCTTTGATCGCGACACCATTGCCGGCTCGGCCTGGAGCGGAAGAGTCGGAGGCTACCTAGCCGGCTACACCCTCTGCCTCACGCTCTTCTACACGCTTGCGCCACTCATTCTCCGCATGGGAAGCGCCGCCTTTTTCGACATCTCGCTCCTGACTGCCAATTTTTGGGGCGTCATTATCGGCATCCACGTCTTCGGACTGAGCATCCACTTCTTGTATCCCATTGCCTTTGTGTGTATCATCATCGGCCTGACTATCTACTTTCTCTCGGGCAGTGTCTTGGGTGACTCCAAGAAGCCCTGGCTGGGGGACAACCAGGAGGATGGTGTCGCGGGAATCGGCACCGCCAAGCTTAGGGCCATCAACGCCGCGCGCATGGCGTCCGTTGAGGCCGAGTATGGGACGCCGGCTGCCACAAACACCCTGATAAGTGCCAGGATTCACGCCATTTTTGGCAAGAAGATCTAGAATAGCACTTGTTTTGATCAAGGTCAAGGCTAAAGCTTTGGTGAGCATAGATGCCGCGCGCCTCTAGCTCCAGGGGTACAGTCATGTTGAGTACCTGGGCATGCTTCAATACACCTATACAAATAAAGACAATAGAACTATTCAACTCTTGAAAACACCAACTTGTAATTGGTCCCCGTGCTCACTCACCAGCTCCCTTTGCAGACGTGGATTTACGTAGTGAGAGATCATGGAACACTCCGAGAACCATTCCCCCCCTGGCCGCGGAGACTTGAGATGCGAGGCTATAGCCAGCTCTGGACGTGCATCATCACTACACAGCGGGGCGAGGAGACTATGTCGAGGCTGCAGGAGGGTTACATGCCAAATAAGCAGCCTGTTAGCCATTCAGGGGTATCATTTGGATTTCCACAACCTGAGATGCATTTATATGTGCATGGATTGGGAGGATCTTCACATACACAGCCGCGGAAACAGAATTCATCCAAAACACAAATCGCTCATGTTTGACATTCTCAATATGAGTATCCTATCGAAACTTCACAACGTCAAATGGTAACATGCCATCGTAACTCCTCGCCATATGGGTATAATTATTCCAACCGCCAAACACCTCAGACGCTAAGAGTCCAGCATATCTTAACACGTGAGAATTCTACAAACAGAACAGCATGTATGCAGATGGCGCAACATGGACCAAGACGAATGCACTTCCTGACTGCAGCATCGAACAAGGGCCGTGTGAAGACCAACAAGAAACTGGGACATCTAGGCTTCCGATCCACAGCCGCCAGATGCAATATTCCCCCAACTATTCCGCCTGTTGTCTTGGACCTTCTTCAACAGACCAATTCTTTGATCCAACTCGCTTCGTAACTGCTTGTCTCCAGTAATGACCAGCGTCTTATCTTCCAATGCCTCGGCGAAAAGACGATTGCCTGCCCGGAACTTTTCGCGTATTGCTTTCATCCCAGGAGGTGGAAGGCTAAATGGGGTCGATGATTCTGCTATTATGGTGTCAGGCCACAAAATTCTCCGTGCCTCTTCGTCAGTCATTGGTGTTGGCGGTTCTTCGATATCAACGGTGACTGCTGTTTGATCCGGTTTCGTTGGCGAGCACGGAGAAGGCAACGGGCTGTCCAGAATTACTTGTCGCGGGGTGGTCGGCGAGGCAGCATCTTCAGAGGAGCGACTTTCATCTTCTGCGCATGAAGGCGGTTCAGTGATTAGAGGCGGGCTTGAGAGTGCGATGCTTTTAGGAGACGTCTTTGCTCCCTCAATCCCCTCTAGATCGTCTTCATCACTCTCGTCTGAAAGATCATCGTAGTCTGTACTAATCGTAACAGCGTCTGCTTCTTCAGTAGGTCTCTGCCTCTTGATCTTCTCTGACTCCTCCGTTCGAACCTTGTCTTCAGGTTTTTCGCCTCTCGGTGTTCTAAACCGGTCTGCACGAAGACAATTACGCATCAATTTCAATTCATGGGCTCGATATGTTTCGTAGAAGCCCCTGTTGATCTGAGCCGCGGCATGTAGGTCTGTGAGATCGTCAATCTCACTGAGCACCTGGAGGCGGATGGAGTTGGGGAATTCAGTAGCCACTGAGTAATTATCATCGCTGGCTGCCATGCGGCTCAGGCCTGTTGCTTGAATTGTTTGTGGATCCAACATCCGGTGCTTCGACAAAGCCCAGCCATGGCTCTTTCCACTAATATCATGGAGCGTGAGGCCAGTAACACTGTTGTATATGTCGGCAATGGCCGTGCGGAAGGCCGGACTTGGGTCACAGACTCCACGATGAACAGGTGACATGGGGCTGGGCATCATCATCAGAGTTTCCACCATCTGGGCTAAGCTCCTCGGCGCTTGTTCGGGCTCTGCCATGTGAGATAGAATGGCGGGCTGCAGAATTTTCGGCAGCAAGTTCATTTGGTTAAAAATGAGCATCATCCAGCCGAGATTGGCGGCGTCACAAACGTGACTTCCCTTGGGGCATCTCGGCGAACTTGTCAAGGTGGTTGCCTCAGCTGGGGGTGCTGCCGGAATCTGCAGGCTTGACGCCATCTCCATCCGGGGATGGATTTCCAACCCTCTGGATGAATCTCGATTCGGCGGGCGAATGTATTCTTGAATAGCATTAGTACAACAAGAATAAACCTGAGCCAACTTGGCACATCTAACTGCCCAAATCTTGTCCTTAATTTTCTGCGGCCAAGGCTTGCTTTGTAAGTCCTTTTCATCCACCAAGTGCAAAATGGCACTCTTCGACATTCGAGTGAAGAGCTGCCTAGAGCCGAATGCATAACTGATGAGCAAGACTCCATCAGGCATGTCGTCGGCGCCTCGGTGCATCCATTGAGGGAGCCACCTGTGTTCAACCACCATTTCCAATGGTGATGTACTCTTGTATCTCATAGAACAGTCCGCTATGGCGATGAACTGTTCAAAACTGACCTCTCTCGGTACTGATTCGTTGTGCATATGTGCCGCATGCATTAAGATCTCTAGGGATTGATGCCGGTTCATTTCATACTGTGGCATACGATAAAGCGTTACCTCAGACCCATCCTTACATACAAACGGTGTAGGAGAGGGCGGCAAATGAGGCACGATGTCTTCGGCTTCGTGCAACTGCATGCTGCTCGCATGCCCGGAGAACATGCGCGCAAAGATGGGGGATGTCTCAGCAAGCATGTAAGATGAGACACGAAAGCGCAAAACTGGGTCGTCGTGGGACGCTTCGCTGCCAATATTTGCAAACTCAAGCATGACGTCTCCCTGTTGTGCGATAGAGAATTCCTGAATGTCTCTTGAGGGTGAAATTCCCGATTCGCCAGATTGGAGAAGCTGCCGAACTTCAGTTACTTCTTTCTTGACTCTTTCATAGTTTCTAAAACGGATCTCGTATCTGGGGAACTAGTAGGGTGCAAGGTTAACATGATGGGAAAAACGTATTGCGGACTGACAGGAAATCGCGTACAAATTGAGGATCCGCAGAGAGGACTCTGGTGACGCTAGCATTCCTCATGCGATGCACTGCTTCTCGGCGAAACTTCCTACTTGTGAAAAGCAAATCGACCATTTCTGGGGTTGCATCGCGCTCGTAGTTCTTATAAGTGTCGGCCAAGCTGACTTTGAAGGCTTCGCACAGTATTTCCAGGCAGGCCTTCCAATCTCTGACGGCATTTAACCACAGCTCATTCACTAGACCGGGCTTGATGACACTCCCAGGAACCACCTCGGCAAGGCTGCGGCTGCTGAAAGAGCTTCTTTGGTCATAGATGATGGCCCCTGGGCTACAAGGAGAGTCCAGCGAAGAGTCCCGCCGAGTTGCTGTTTCAGTGGTGCTTGACATTGCCGGAGCGAGTCTTAGCTCGTCCTGTAAAATACCATAGCAAAGCGTTGCGCAAGGTTCCCGGATCTTCTCGAACTCTCTATAGGCAGCATCGACATGGCTTGGGCCGGAAGGCGCAGAGCGCATTCGCTGTATGAAAATCTGCAATTGTTTATAGTTATTTTCCTGCATCTCGTGCATGGCATGCATGGAGCCAGGATCTGATCGAAGATGTGGCGATGAGTCATTGGGATCAAATTCATGGGGCCCGGACTGTTAAAACCAATTGTTAGCTCCTTCCGGCGTTTCGGGCTTCCGTGGCCGCCGAACTTCACTCGATTCACAATAGACGCGCGTTCTCAATGGAGTCGGGAGAGCCACGACATACCGTCTTTCCGTTGTCACCCTTGGAAGCTCTGCTCCTCTTGGATCGCAAAGGTCTTGGCAGCCGCCATTTTTTCGATGAACTTCCAGCAGTGGAGGCTGCGCCTTCGCTAGTTGTCCTGTACATGATACTGGGTTGTTGGTGATAACACAACAGAGCGAGGTTCGACTCGGGCAGCTTTACAAGACGGAAATGTCCTTTTCAGCCGCTTCAACAGACTTGCCGTGCTTTGCCGTCAAGCCACGGGATTCAAGGCTGTCTCGGCACCCAGACGGACCTTGGCATTGTCCGTTTCTACAGCACCCAGTCGCAGTTGCTTAACCAGTCTTGGAGATGCCTGTGGCTCAAAAGAAAAAAGATGACAGGGGTGAAAACCTCTTGTTCTCGCCGGCCAGGGAAATGAATCTTGGTGGCGTTGGGATCTGGCCCGGTTGCCTAGTCGGTTCTTGCAGTGGCTGGCCCCGGATAGACTGGTAACCAATGTCAACACAGCTGGTGAAGTTTGCCAAATGCAACTGGAAGAGGATGCAGTCGCAGGCAGGTGACGAGGCTCTTGATGCGTCCGAAGGTTTGTGCCAAGGGCGTTTGGGAAATAGTCTGGGGTACCGAGGCAAGAAGCTTCACCACGATGCAGCGAGATCCGTCGCACCGCACTTGGATCGGCCGGGGGGGTTAATGACTGGCTCAATCCAGGGCTAGCGTGCAACTAGGACGCGTGCAAAGTAACCCGCGCTGATGCTCGGACGTTGACGTTGAGGACGTAGACCCAGCAGATAGAGTTGCAACGAGCGGGAACGTCACGAATGTGGATGAATGTAGGATTGAGAGCCTAAGGGGGCAGAGACATGCGATGACCAGCAAAAAAGGTGGGCGGGTGTCGGGCGGAAGGAAGGTGGAGGGCAAGGGCAGGTGGGAGAAAATCTGGAGAGGAAGGATCGACCGCGACAAGCCGAAGGAGTGCAGGGCCAAGCTCGCCCAGGTTTCAGTCGCGGTTCTGGGGCTGGCCGGCTTGCTGACTCAGGATTCGACGCTCAAATTTCAATGTTTCAATTTCCCGGCTGTCCGAAGCATCGTGGTTCGGACTGTTCTTCGACACACGACACGACACGACACCGTTGCCAGGTGATGCTGAAGCCAGCAGGAGCAACGAGCCAAGTAACCGCCTCGGTCCAACTTGCACGAGACAACCGACTTTTGGCCGGACCCTGGGGGTTTTGTCGAGGCGGCATTCGTCCAAGTCGACCTCCCCCCGGTCCACGAACTTGGTTCAATGTCCTCGCTCGCCGTTGGCACATGACAGGCCCACAGCCACTTGGCGCTCGTCACCGGTCCGAGGGAGCCAGGACAGGTCCCCTCAATCCTCAATTCTCAGGCACATGTGGCGTTTTCTGGGGCTTCCTCCCTACCGTTGCCAAATTGACTGCGGCCTGGAGGAACGAGTACAAAAGTCGACGATTTGTCACCGTTATCTGTTGCCAACCGGTCTCGCTTCCGCTGGTATTGCTGCCGCCTTGCGATCAACCAGGCCATTTCAATCCGTGTGAAGAACCGGGAGTGCGAGGTGTGCTTACCGCTCAAAGATTTGGTCTGATGCCCCTGCTGACTCCAAGTACTTCCTCCACGCCATCATTGTGTCGAAGACATCCAGGAGAAAAAGAAACGGTGCCACGCTGCGGAGTACGGAGTACTCCATTGTAGGGCCGTCTCACCTATTCGTGGCCTTGTTGTATGACCCATGGTTGTCTCTGACATTGCCGAGTATGAGTATTTATTGTCTCACCCAAAATGGAATTCGCAACCTTGATAGAAGTAGATCGGCAACCAAGTAGCTCTATAAACTTCGGGTAAGCCATCACCTTTTGTGGTGGACTCAGCTCTCCATGTGACGTATGACTGATCACTGCTGACCTTTGCTCTGTCGGAAATGAAACAGCAGTATGCACACTGCCCGGGTCAACGGGCAATTGTGATTCGTAATCGGTCCTGTTCGGCTACCTCGTAGCGACACAGGTACGGAATAAGAGGCGCGTTGCGTCTAGATGTCTAGCCAAGTAGGGACTCATGCTATAACTCGGTCTGCTTGACGACCATCGCAAGAGCGGAGCCTCAGAAGTCCCTGTCCTCCTCTATCCAGCATCACCAGCTGACCCGGTTTCAACTACTCGGCCCCGAACCAGAACTCTGTTCAGCCCCAAGATTATACCCGAAGATTGTACGCCACTTTCCTTTTCACAGCCAATATACGGTGCAAGGAAAAACGCGTTGCATCAGAAAAGGCACCAGGCTAGCGCATACAATACCATAACACACCATGGTATATTAGTGCATGCTTATTAGCAGGTAGATTTATCATGCCACAGATTGCCAGGCATGCAGGCAATCATTTAATACGTCGCCTACATGCTGTGGTTGTCTCGAAACAGACATGTCCACACCAACTCAGCCCGTGGAGCGCTCTTGCACTTCGCCTCATTTTCGTTCTTTTGCTAATGGCCGGTACTATTTCGTTACCATATTGCCAGACTGTCCTTGATGGTTGCCTAACATTTCACAGGCAGCGGCGCATAAACCACAGCCAATCAATTTGAGTCTGGTCGACACGACATGAAGTAACACGAAAACGTCACCTTGGATAATATGCCCAGTAACCACAACCTCGCAACTTCAAACAGCGTACGTGGCATATTGAGACCCGTCGACCGACAGCCCTTTGTAAAGAAATCACATCTTGCTCGCTGGAGCGCCCAGCACTCCACACAATATCAACATCTTCTCCAACGCCGACATCTCCGTTTTGATACGGCAAAAATTCCTCCCCCGCCCAACCCGTTGATGTTCCAACCTTTTGCGATTCTGACTAGGACGCCTCATTTGACGCAACGCGCAACCCCTAACCACCGTGGCTTCCCGGCCTAGCGGGAGATCCGGTCCGTCCGGCACCCGTTTCATTCCCCGAATCGGATGCGCTCCACCAATCGGGGACGTTCTTGTTCCGCCTCATGCCATCGCTATTCCGGGATGCTTGCTGCGCGAATATGTCGGCCGGTGTCAATCGGTATCCTCAGATACGCCAACTATACTCGCGATTAAGCAGAACATCACCTAATATCCAGGGACTCGAATGAAAGAGGATCGTAAAGTTTCGCACTCTTGGGGCATATGTGCTCTTAACAGCTGAGGTCTGATAAAGACAGCTACACTACCTATGTCTAGTAAAGATCGGAACGGCTTCTCGCATAAGCCCCCTACATGTCTTTTAAAAGGGCTCAAGCTCCTAGCTAGATAAGAATGCATGCAAAGACAACTCCACTCTTCAATATGCGTATCGATCAATCCGCGATGGGGTGCAACGCCATCCCCTCTTCATTCCCAATGCGCTTGCCCCGTCTGCAATGACAGTGCTATTGCTATTTCGCAAAGTTGGAAGCCACGGCCTCGCAGACTGGACTTGGTACCCCTACCAACCTAGGTCCGGTAAGCCATATCCCGGCGAAAAGGCAAACTAGCATCACTTTTGCCAACGGGATCGTCACGCGGCTGTCGGCATACTCGCGGACTCTCTCATAAAAGCACTCTCTCCAAAAGCTGAAAAGTCCAGTCCTGAACTCCAACCGTCAGATAGAATCGGAAAGGCCCGGGGTCAGCTCGACTCGGACTGCGAAAATGCTGGCACCAGACCGGTTTCAACTGGAGATGTTTTTCGCCGGGCTGCCAAGAAGCTCGGGATTTGACGCTTTAGTTTCTTTTTTTGCACCTAAACAAGTCGTTTTATTTTATTTTCAATACAGGCACGGATCGAGTGCGGTCTAGCTCCCATGATATCCTGCCAGTCGCCATCTTTCTGCCAAACATTCTCCCGCAGAGTCTACCAAGACACACCGGCGCACCTGCTTGTAACAAACAGCCTTCTCGTCCACCACATTGGCCGCTCATTCAATATTTACTCATCTAGTCGGGAGCATCGTCCGCCTGGTCGGTGGCCTGTTTTCTCAGAGTCCAGGACAATCCGGCATGTACGACCGACTTGATTGCTCGTTTGACGTGGACGAAGCACTGCGTCCGGGATTGCCTCCAACTCGTTCAGTCCAAGATGTGCGGACCTGTGTTCTTCTCACGCATCTGTTGTCGCCGCGAATTCAAGCTTGTGTGCCCCGTACTCTGTCTGTCGACCGACTTTTATCGGAATCCAGGATTCAACTCCACGAAGCCGTTTGGAAAACAGGCATGTAGGTCCGTAAATTTTGATACACTTGAAGTGGATTGTTCGGTGCTTGACGTAAACAGATACTGAACAGCTTGCATCTGTCCCTTGTGAAAAAGATCGGCCAAGTGCCCCTGAGAAATTAGTAATCAATATCGGAACATTTAGGACACGTAACTCGTTGCTTCCCTTGAGCCACGGTTTCCAAGTTCCTCAAACGTCATGTGTCAGACTCATGTCCCGGCATGATCTCGCTCAAAACCACAGCACAAGAGCCTCAGAGTCCGGCGGCACGTTTGCTCAGCCCCGGATTCCATCCAACTCCTGTCCATAGCTGACGACGGCACTTATTACGGCTGGCAAAGACTTTTTTGCTGGACAGCAACAGCAACAACACAGAGGATGCCCGGGCCTACCCTACAGAAAGACGAACGCCCACCAGAGACTACGCTCGCTGAATGCTCAACTTTACAAAGCTTCCTCCCATCGGCCAAACGCTCGGCTATACTGTCCGTTCTATCGTCCAGTCCAAGTTGTCTCTTGGCTGCTATTGGCAGCCCGCTACCGCTGAGCCAGTGAAAACTCTCGAAATAACGCCATTGCTCGTGAATGGCCAACATGTTCAAAGGCGGCTCTGCCAGACGAATCACAAACAATCTGGGGCAAAGACACTGCATCGTCATGCACAATGGAATGTGGAGTTGGCCATGACAACCTGATCCCGTGTGGAGTAGATGCATCCTTTGTTCGGCCACACCTCGTAGGTTAGGTCAAGTGATCCGACGCCGGGACGACATGACACTCCACCGTCTCGTACTCGACGGCAATACAAATGAAAAAGTGACCGAGCGGGTGGGATAAGTCTCGATTTCTAACTTGAACTTCAAGTTGCTGACGGAACTGTGCCGAGCTCTGTTTCTCAGAGTCATGCCCAACTACTCTTCCACGGGGCGTTGTGTAGCTGCAGACAATTAACGGCTAGTGATATCGTTCATAAAGGAATGAAAATGAGCGCCAGCCATCTGTCACAGCCTTCCTGCGCATTACTGCGAAGCCTCGCGACTCGGCAGATCTTTGATTACGTTTGGCGGGCTGATTGCTGGTGCAAAGATAAATGAAGCAGCTGGCCTGTCGCCAAAGCTCGGCCCATGTTCTGTCATCATTGGTGTGACGGAGTATTGAATACGTGATGCTGGCCGGGGAATCGAAAGCCTGCTGCAAGTAATGAGACCACGCGGCAATGCTTACTGCCATGGCCCACGCTCGTGGCAACTCTGTGTTGCATACACATGCAGGATCAGCGGCTCCATGCTGTCTACTTGATTAGTTGCTTTACAGCACAGCAGACACTGCTGCTTTCCCCGCCTGCACAACGGCATTGGCAGGCGAACCTATTTTAGAACCGTTGTTAACCCGCAACATGCATCGAGACAACAGTTCTGCGCGCTCATTCATGACCCCGGTTGCCCTGGTAGGGGTTTTGACCATGAACTTCGGGAACCAACGCGCGGGACGGGAGGACCCAACGTAGAACAACCGCCAACTTGGCTACTTTATCACCTCATTCCGACTCTCTGGCCAACCAGCCATCCCACCTGGACGCCAAACGTACATTCAAATCCATGGCTCGAAAGGATACGCTAGCAACATTAGCATCTCGAATGAGGGTCCAGGATTGCGACCGACCTTTTCAACGGGTCGAAATTTGGTAACCCCACAGAAAATAGCCACAAAAGATGGGCGAAGAAGCGAATGGACGAATGGATGAATGAGGGACGAGGGCCAAGACAGCAATGACGTCCGGGCGCAGGACAACGTGCGGACGGGGATCCAACAAAGGACAGCACGTCCTTCTAAGTTTGAAGATAGCTCGCCGAGGCAGCACTCCGTAGCCCAAGCCCATGTTCCGTAGTCTGAATTCTGTAGTCATCTATGCAGACGGACGGGCGCAATTTGAAGTAATCTAATTTTGGAGGCCGGCTCGTATATAAAGGCTCCGACCAGGCTCCGATCAACGGTGCAGACTAATCAGGTGGACAACCCATGGGTGGAATGACCTCATGGAAATGTTGTTCGCGTTATACATTGGACCGCCCAGGAAAGGCCCATGGATCCCGCACCTCCGTTTGTGTTGTTCGCAGTGACTGTCGGCGCCCAGTTAGCATGCATTCGCTGCCGACGCTGCCCCGAAACAGAGTTTAAGGTTGGAATGCCATCGAGTGAGCGCTCGCACAACCGAGTTGCGGCCAGGAGGCTACCGGCAATGTTGCACTCGCTCCGGAGAGGGGGTAACACAGCGTGTTAAGACGTCCAAGCATAGAGCCGCGCTGGAAACGAGTTCGATTTACTGGCCACGTTGAACAGATTGTTCCAACCAATAATTAGGAAGCCTTGTCATGACCAAAGTGTGGATACTGGAAACAACGGAACCCCCATTCAGGTTGTTGTGGTGTGAAGTCCGTTCAAGCCGTGCTGGAAGATATTGGCTTGATGCCGGGGCGTTTTATCTTCGCCATCATCAAAACATAAGACATTGAAAAGACGATGGTATGCCTTGGTGAGTTCAGAGGTTGTGACCTGACAACGTGCCTAATGACAGCGCGAACCCATTTAGCCCTGTCATGACCGTTGACGTCAACCAAGTCCCCAGAACCAGGCCAGGATGTGGCACGCACACAAGGGCCGAGTATTGTATGGAGTGGCTTAGGGGGCACGCCGTAATGCACCCCATATTAACGCAGTGTCGGACAGACTTGGCCGAAGAGGATGAAGCCGCCGCGGCGGTCCTGGTTGAAGGGGGTGAATGCGAAGTACATAGTATAACTATGCTGTCCGTGGCTGTAATGAGTGAATAGCAATCTGCCTAAAAAATACAGCTTGTTGAATTTGGCTGACGACGGGCTTGCAGATGGGTGTCTCAGATAATAGAGGCAAATATATACCATCATGCCCCAGACGTACAGCCGGCATCAGTGGTGTACAGCCAATCACCTGGAGAGGAATGGGATGCCGCGCAGGGTGTCAAGGTCCTGCATTTGGAGCAGCCAGCTTGGCCCATGCAGACTCGTCGTCAGTGAGCTAACATGCAGTTTCTTGCTCTCGTCGCGACAGCCGGGTCGTGACTCTCAGGGTCCGGAGTCCAGCGTGACACCGGGCACAATAGTGCGTCTTCAGGGCGAACGGGGAAACGGTCAGTGGCATCGGTCAGATGGGGGGGGGGGGTTTGTTGCTCAATCTCGCGCATGGCGTAGGTCGGGTGATGATGTGCGTGAGCCCGGCACACATACATGTTGAACGTGAGAAAGGCATCAATGGAAGTGTGCTTAGCCCGATGCCTTTAGAAATTTTGAAAGCAAAAACGGGGAGTCGCCTTGACCAGGTTCCAGCGAAGATTGGGGGAAGGAGCCAGGCGAGTAACAGCAAAGAAGCAAAAGCCATCCATCCCGGTTGCTCCTGCCCTCTGCAGCCACCCTCTCGTCAACAGCTGGGCTGGCAGACACCTGACGGACATTAGTTGTCCTGGCGGGCTCCGGCGGGCCACCTGCCTGGACCTCGCTCGAACCTGGTTGGCCCGCTTGCTGCCCTTCCCGTCGACTCCCGCGCTCTCTCCTTTCTTGACAATCCACAGGCTCCATTTCGCACTCCGAAATTTCTCCCCCCCCGTCCGGTCACCAACATTACTCCCGCACCACGCACCACGCACCACGCACCAAGCACCAAGCAACCAACGCGCACCACGATCTCGTCTCGTCTCGCCCACCCACGTCGTCTCTGCTGTCTCTCCTGGGCCTCGTCTCCTTCTCCTCCTCTAGACCCTCCCCTTCTCCCCCATCACCCTCGTGAGGCTTGTATACTCGTTCGAGATTCCGCTCAGTCTTCTGAGAGATAGTCTCGCTCCTTATCTTCTCTTTTGCTCTCTCTTTTCGATACCCCTGTGTGTTTGCTCGCATATTTCCGCGCAGCCGTGGCGTTGCATTTTTTTCTTTCCTCTTGGATCCCCATCCTTTTGCGCTGCTATCTGTCTCTGCACCCGCCACAATTTCTCGGGACTTTGCCAAAGACGCTTCTTGCAGCCGCTACGAGGTACGTTAGATTGTTCTGTCTGACGCTATTGCCGATGCGACAACCACCACATTCGAATCCTCGGCGACCTCCGGGCCATCCAAGGCCATCTTCCGTATCTTGCCACGCTTGCGCAGAACACCAGCCGGTGAGCGTGCATGACCGTTGCAATGATGTTCACTTCCCTTCTCTCCTATCGCTCGATCCGTCGACAACATACCTTCCAGAGGTCGGCCAAACTCTGATCTGTCTTCCCGTTTCACCCCTCGAACGAATCGGAACATGGCCTCGGAACGCTGTACCTGCAGACTGACAGTCGGTTTCTCATAGTCTACCATCAGCTCCTTTTGCATCATCCCCTGGCTTGGACACCCTGTTATCCTCGTGCAATTGCCATCCCACAGGAAACATGTCCTACTACGAAAACGCTCAGTGGCCTACCCCGAGCCAGAATCACTGGGAACACCCGCAGGGAACCTCGACTCCCACTCGTGCCGGTACGATCGATCGAACTTTAGGACAATGTCTTGTCGATGGAGAGTCCTCTAACACGATCTGTCTAGGTGCCAGTGGGCCGCAGCCTCAGGACGATTTTGCTTTCTCTTACCAGTTTGATGGTGTGTTCTGTCCAGTTTTGTTTTTATGCTCCTGTATCCCCTTAAGTGGGCCATGATCATTAGCCGGCCCGGCCTGCACTGTCTTTTTGAGCCGCCTGATTTCCACTCTTCCTGTGAGAACCGTACCAGTGACATTCGGCTGACACTTACCTCAGAGGTTGACCGTGCCTTCGAGAACCTTCAAAAGTCCGGCAAGGGCTACGCTATGGGAGCCCGACGTAAGCCTACTCCGAAAGTCTCGCTGCGTAGTGGTGCCCCCATATATCCTGGTGAGGCGGCGTGAAAGGGATGTTCTCCATCAAGTGCATGCGCTGACACCCCGATTTGTATGCAGATGGTCGAGTTCCGCACGGAGGGGGTCCCTGTTCACACACGATGAACAACTTCGAAGGGACCCAGGGCCACAACCTTCACAATTTCTACGCTTCGCAGCGCCATCAACCATCTCGAGGCTCCAACGAGGCAGAGCAGGTCATGCAGGCTAAGAGACGGATGGCGGCTCAGCGGGAGCGCGAGTTGCGCAATGTACACACTGAGCAGCAGTATCAACGAAGTAGGCCACCCTCTACAGTATAGCACTTCATGTCACGCAAAAAGGCCCCCAAGTAGAAAGTATATATGCGAGGAGATGGGCGAGATCTCCATGGGTTGTCGCTACGCCGTTGTCCTCTTTCATCCTGTTGACAAAATTATCTCATGTTTGGGGCATGCATATTCAGGTCTCCATAAAATTGTCTTCCGCAACTGTCCTGATCACATGGAGCATTGGCTAACTGCTTTTCTTCAACGTAGATGCGCTGACGGACGTGCCCCAGCACAATAACACCACTTCTGCCAACAACGCCAAACATATGTCGGAGGAGGAAACTCGCGAGCTCATTGCTCGTCAGCGGAGTGCCTTGTACGGCGAGGGCCCTTTCGCCGACAAGACGAGCTATGTTGACGAGTCTGGCAACATTCGCCCCGGCGTCCCGGGCCAGAGCGGGCCATCCAGCATTCGTGGCCCTTCCCCCTTGGCTTTTGAAGCCATCGGCCGTGTCCCTTCTGGAGCAGATGCCGTTACTTCCGGCTCTGCCAGCGAGCACAACGCCGCTGCTACCGATCCGAGTCCCAGGCCTCAGAGCACCAGCAGCCCCCAGAACTCTGGACTGACTAACAAGGCATTTGACAATGCGGTTGGCGTCCAAAGCCGCACAAGCACCTCTAGCCCTACTGGCGGGTCCCCGCCTCGCGACTACGCACCCGGCTCCAAGCCTGGCCAAGGCGGACCTACCGTGGCCCCCATTGGAACTCGTCCTTCTGGCACGCCATCGACAACCACGTCCGGCAAGCGGTCTACCACGCCGCTTGCCTCCTCTGCTGGCTGGGGCCGCGGCAATGGAGTTTGGGGACAGTCGTCGGGCCTGGGAGCTCAAGCTAGTGTCTGGGGTTGAATTCGGAGAAGCATACAGGCGTCATCATGGAAATGCTTACGGGGGCGAATATTGAATTGCGTGAATTCTTACATCCCAAAAAAGGCGCAAGGATTGCTAGTTTCGTCAGATTCGAAATGGCCAGCCAATACGGGCGAGATGGAGTTGCATAAAGAAAGGGATGGAAAACAGGGGAGCCACTCCGAGTTATTATTTTTAAGCCGGTGTTTTTCTTTTCCTTTCTGCTTTTCTATGACAAATTTGTTCTTGTCCGCTACGGAAATAGCGGCTTCTGGCATGACTGGGCGAAATGCGGGTGCACACGGACTTGTTATATACCTGGACTTGGATTGGAGGGCACAGATGAAGCTCGCTTTACGACCGAACAGAGAGCATTTCTTCAACAGCTGCAGTGCTTTTTGGGGGAGGAGGCTCGTTTCAACAGGGGATGGCAGCACTTGCAACATTGTCACGGCGCAGCGTGTTGCTGTATGCTGAGACTAGGTTGGATGCTCAGCGGCCAGACCTTCTATGGAATGTCTGCCACGATATGGCATCGACCCGAGGCAAGGAACAAGGAGGACGGGAAACAAGCTGGGAGGCAATAAAGCAAAAAAAAAAAAGAAGAAGAAGAACAAATCAAGCATCGACCAGCCCCAGGCTGCTCTGTGTCACAGGGCTAGTGGACATGGCGGTGAAGATGGCGATTTCTCGCAGGAAGGGGATTCATTATCACAGCAGATTGTCATTGGTCATTGGGCAGTACGGACTTTGATTTACATGAACAAGAAAACCAAAAAAAGGTTATGGCAAAAGCAAAAGGTCGAATGGTGTTATATTCGGGAAGGGGGTGGGAAGGTGCTGGATTTTCGTATTTGGAGGTCTTTTTATACCTTCCTTTTCACGTCTCCTGTCGGTTCTAGGGCGGCTTAGGAACGGGCATGGGATTTTCTCTAGGGTTATGCCAGGTATACCTGCTTTCCCGTTGGTTTGGCACGGCTTTGGGCACGGGGTGTTTTATTATTTCTTTCTCCCCTTTTTCTTTCTCGTGAGTATAGTACAGCAGCAAGCGGGGGAGAACTGTGAATAGTAATGAGGAGTGATGACTGGGCGTGTGACGATTGAAGATGTGACATGTGAGTGAGTAGCGCAGCAACAGGTCGTGGAGAGGCAGGCCATGACGGCACGAATACAGTTGAATTTTGCCACGCCAACAGCAATGGCCAGGGGACGCAGAAGCATCACAAGAACAGGAGCCCGGCACCCTCGTCCAAGTCGACCAGCTCATCGGCCCGCGTGGTCTTGCCCCCCCCACATGACGGTCGAGCCGGCGTCGTCGTCGTTGCCGTCGTCGCCGGGGGCTCCCGCGTCGCGCTGCATCGCGGCGGCCAGCTTGTCGCCCAGCCAGCCCTTCTCCCTCCACGCCTGGGCCCGGGTGGTCGGGTTGAGCGGGTGCCAGGAGTTGGCGACGCCAAGGCCCCAGGCGGCGTAGACGGCGCGGTCCTGGACTCCTGGTCGACGACGACGACGTGCACGTTCCACGCGCCGCCCAGGAGGTCGATCCGTTTGCGCGCGGCGGCCTCGGAGGCGTGGCTGACGGCGACGCAGGTGACGGCGCGGCCGTGGCGGTTGGCGACGGCCCGGAGAGGTTGACAAAGGTCTTTGGGCGGGAGAGTCGAGTCAGCCAGCCATCAGTCAGGCAGTGCAAGAGGTTTGCGCGGCGTAATTCCCTCTTGTCATCATCATCATCATCATCATCATTGTCATCATATACATGCGCGCCCTGCGCAGCGCAGGAACACGACCAGCAGGCGCGTGCCGTGGCGGGCGGCGGGCAGCTTGCCGTCTCGGTCTCGGTCTCGCGGCGACATGCCGGCTCTCTTGAGGCGATTCTGGCCGCGAGGCTGGACATGAACAGCATTCCTTGGCTGGCTGGCCGGTGGCCTCGTCTGTTGCTGGGATGTCGTCGACGGGTCTCTACCTGGTGACGGGGAATGCCAGGGTTATGTCTCCGTATACAGGGTGTATTTCCGTTTCCTTTTTAAATTTTATTTTTACTGATTTGTTTTATGCCCTCGAGGGGCCCAGACTGGTGGGCGCTTGATTGAGATGATACGGGGTCGACGCGAGCATGGGCGTTGGCCGGGGTGGCCGGGTGAAAGCTGGACGTCATGGGCGCCATGGCAAGCAAGACGAGACGTGCGTGCGGTGCAGACTGCCGACGGGAGACAGCGACGGCGATGGAAACCGCCAAGGCCAAGGCCAAGACGGGCTCGTGGAGCTGCGGCACGGATCCTTCAACGGCGCCTGGACTTCTTCCGCAAGGCGCAGGCGCCGACGCCGACTCTCCATTGACGGTTTCGGAATGCCAAAAGCAGCACCCAGCAAGCACCAGACGTGTCTTGCCCTCCAGCTTCGTCAAGCACCTGACGTGGTTGACCCTACCCACCTGCCTGCGAGTGCGAGGCCCGTACGCCTTCAAGTTGGTGTTGACACGAGTTTTCAGGGTTGGGGTTGTGGGCAGGAACGTTGCTGGCAGCGCAGTGCTAGCCGAGGAGGCCAGAGACTTTTTGGCGCCGGCTTCTAGACGCGCAGAAACCTGCACATCCAACAGAGCGAGGAGAGGACGTCTTTGACCGAGAGGGGGCGCGGCAGTGGAAGGTCTTTCACGAGGCATGTGCCGTGACCACGTTTCCCGGCCGTGGCGGCGTCGGAATCAAGCCTGCTGGTATCATGAACCATGACGGCAGCCAGTGCGGAGAACAGTCACGGCGTGGGATGGGCGAAACGTCCACAAGCTTGCCGGTGTGAGGGTGTAGGACAATCACCTGCCGTCACGTTGTGTGTTTGCACGCACGGTACGAGGCCGGGTAATACCGAGGTTATTACTACTGCTATTCATCATGTCTGAACATGTCCGGAGGCCCCAGTCACTCCAGGAGCACCTTGCTTGGCGATTTGGGGATGGCACCGACTCAGACTCAGGCTCGTTCTGCGTTCTGCAGCTAAACACGATGGATGAGTGCCTTGGAAGACTTGAGCCGAGCTGAAGAAACGCCGTGCAACTTCATCTGCACGCTTACTTACCCTCGCCCCGCCATGATACCCTGCAAGGCAGCCCTACCAGCAGGTACAAGATGCCTCCCTCGTTCTGCACGATTTTGCCGGGACACTATAGTGGTGACACATCTCGTACATGGACAACTGGTACTAGTAGGCAAGCCGATGATGACATGCCTGCCGATCAACCCGACATGCGCGAGACAAAGACAGGGGAGGCATGCGGGGATAGCAGTAGCACACGCATACATGTCTAAAACAAGCACGCGGCAAAGGAGAGCCATGGAGAGAGTTGGTTGGTCAAACGGACCTGGACAAGATTAGACTACCAGCGAGGAGTCAAGAGTTTCGGCAACGTGCTTCGAGCGGCGGTTCAAAGACCAACAGTTGAGCCCGTGCCGTCGTCCCACGTGTCTCGGATGGTCGGGTTCGACAAGGAAACATGGCGGAAGCGGCTGCGTGACGGCGTCGGGGGAGTCCAAGATGGACATGGGCAAGGAGCACCGGGTTCGCTAGGCGTGGTTTGGCCGTCATGCTCTTTAGTAAGGCGTCCAACGGCTGTGTTGTTTACGCTTATCGCCAGGACAAGACGGGACGACGGACGAAGGAAACGCGTCCTCACCTGGTCCGGTCTCGGTCCTGGAAAGCCAAAAGGCCTTGTTCGTGTCGACGAGGAAAAGCTGGCCCAGGGTGGTGGCGCTGCTGACGCCACGGATGGACGCGATGGAAGCGCAGGCGGGGAATCGGGATGCGATGCTTTGGGTGCTCCGGGGCGTATGGCGTCTGGCCAACAAAGGAACATGTGAAGAGGACTCAGGCCGGGACGGAGGTGGTTATATTTCCGTGACAAAACGTGCCGCGACAAGGTGAAATGGTCAAGGCAAAAGTCGAGGCCAGCGGGTTTGGTTGCGGTGTACTCACTTACGTAAGTACGTACTTCCCTCCCCCCAGCCCCCAAGCAAAGTGTCCAGTTTTGGCAAATAACAGTCGTGGGTTGCCCCCACTCTGTCGCTATTCAGGCCTGATGAGGACGCGCCAAGTACCTGAGCCTGCGTGCCTGCCTGTGTGGTTATTACGTGTGATGCAGCCCTTTGTGATTTAAAGCCTTGCCAGTACTTGTGGTATCCGAAGTTGCTCGTTTCATGCATTCTAGAAAAGCGTCTCTCGAGAGCCATTGGAGGGGCTGTCGCATGAATGGCTGTGGGCCAGGCACTTGGCGGCAGGGACCCAGCAGCCAAGGGCCCCAAGGCCATGCAGGAGGAAACTCAATGCGCTCGTCGGCGCCGGCACTGGCACTGGCTCTGTCTATGGCCTGTTTTAATCGCGTCATGCGATGCAAATTGGTTGGAGAGCTGAGGAGGACAGCCGTAGTTATACTTTGGGTTATCAAATGCCGATGGGGAGGTGGACCTATATTGACTCCGTGCTCTGCGGTCTGCAGGGTGTCGTCTGCTGAGAGGGAGGTTCGCAAACCTCCCATGACGACGAGGGCCTGGTCCTGGCCAATCTCTCTGCGTAGTACTTTAGTTCTTGAGTACCTGAAGTAGGTACTTCAGTATTGACAGCCTTCCTTCCTTGCAGGGGGCCCATGTTCCTAAGTACAGTAAACTATGTCTATAAAGATCCTGTGTTATAGCGAAATTCAGGTTTTTACGATAATCTACAGTTATCTAAGGTTTTTCCCTAGTAAATCGTTAATAGTCGCGTTACTGACGATATTGTTGACTTTTTGCTTAGTCACTATACATTTTATCGTTATAAGGCCCCACTATAAGGGTTGAATTTCCTTATAGTAGGGCTGAATTTCGCCGCCTTTAGCAATAATCTCTTAATATGTACTTTCTACTAGTAATGTCTAAGGGGAGGTACAGCCCCACAATAGTCGCATCTTAACAATAGTCGCTATATGACGATGAAAAAAGCCTCACGAAGGATATCGTTATAGACCTGGTTTACTGTACTAGGTACCTAGGCACTCCGTACTTAAGGTACCTAAGGTAAGTACCTAGGTAGTTACCAAGTAACTAGACGAACGAGGCATCTACAGAGTCTCCCTCACTCGGGGTGCCGTGGCCGCGAGTTGTCGCATCGCCCGAAATTGGCAACGGCAGATCGAGATATCCGTGGTGACATCCGAACTTGATCATGTGCCAAGCCCTTCACCCGGCGGCTCTCGGACGCCATGGCACTTGAAACGGCGCTTGAAATGTCGCAAATCCACAGTCAGTCACAGTCACAGTCCATGACATGACATGACACATTGCATGCAGGCGTGCGTGACTTGCGCAGCCACAGGTCGACGGCTACCATACCAGCGTTTATGAGCCCGCACGCAAAGCATGGAAAGGAAGGGTCGGGGCCAACTGCTCGGTTTCTTGCTGCAAATTGCCAGCACCGGGCAAAGTTGTGAGCCGCCGCCTCAACTCTGAAATGACAGCTGTTGCACTCTACTTAGAGAGAGAGCTGGCAACTGACGGGGCGCCGGGCGGTCATGGGGGCTCTTGGGTAGCATCAATCGAAGAACTCTTCCGTGTACCGAGTAGGTTTCCCGATGGCCCTGGATGCTGATGCTCCAAGGCGCCGACAACTGCGCATCGCCATCACGTCGCACAGCACAGTCTCGTGAGTCTGTGTGACGCGACAGAATTGAACGGTACACGGAGTACGGAGAGGGGGATCTGGGTGGCGGCTACTGAATTGAACATGGGATGGCCTGGCCTGGCTGGCTGGCAGTCTACGGGTGCGCAAGGCACACACTGACGCCCAAGTACACGAGTAAAGTACTCTGTGGGCACACGGCTTACTCCGTACCTGCTTGGGCAGGCCTTGCAACATCATCGACAAAAGATGCCCGTACTTGTACCGAGCACCGAGTTACGTTAAGTACTTAGTAGGTACTTACTTGGATTTGGGCACTCAACCTGGCACTGGGTGCCTCGCGTCGTTCAAGGCAAAACACCAGGCACCATCACCATCGCTGGCCCTGAGGCGTCCAAGTGGCCGCTGAGTGGTCGCCCTGAGCCCACTAACCTGGTGCCCCATTGCAATGTGCGCCTCGTTGTGCGTGGACTCCACCGTCGCGGCAGCTGGCCACTCACATCGCGCAGAGGGCTGACTGGCTCCCCCCCAAGCCCCCGAAGCCCCAGGCTACCCAAGTACACCGTAGGTGCTGACGGTCTACCGCTCACCTGCATGTACGCCCGTTGACCAGCAGACATACTGGTGCGGTGCAGGGCATTGACGGCCGGGCGGCAGGTTCAGTAGGCAGGCCGGCGGGCGCTGGTGCACAACCGTCCTGTCGACTGGTCGACTTTGGGCTCGAGTGAACAAACAACGAACAACGGCACTTTGGCATCCCCACATCATCAGAGTCGCCTCGACATACGTATCCCGCATGAACCTGGCTTGTCGACTGGGCCGGCCAGTTTCCTCACTGCTCAAATCCAGTGTGTCCTCGACACTTGGCCGCCCTCGCAGTTCCTCGGTTCACCGCATCTTGCCGCCGCTGCCGTCCTGCTGCTTGACTCGGCTCTCTTCTTTCCCACGCTTGGGCCCATCTTCATCAGCACGCTTCCCCATGGCCTGTGCTGCCAGACCCCCTTTCCAGACGATTCTGCCTTCGACCTGCTAGTTTCCCATACACCAGTCACCAGCACCACCACTTCCACGACTCGGGTGCCGTCTTGCCACGAACCGCCGCCGAATTGACTCCAATTGTGACGAGACGGGCCTGTTCTTCTTCGCATCCTTCATTCTCGTACCTTGCATATTTCTCTTCCTCGTCACTCTCGTGCCTTTGGTCACTTTGCGGTACCTTCAACCTGGACGTCGGCTGCAAGTCACACCCCCTCCTTCTCTCTCGCCACCGTAGCTGACCACCTGCGGCAGTCCACTTCCCAACCTTCACGAGGACACTGCATCTTGTGGTCTCTCCTTCCCTGCCTCAAGGCCTCCTTGCCCGGCCGTTGCTGTTTTCTCGCGACCACCTCTCCGACAATTCTCCTACCTGCAACTGACCACTCCGCACCCTGCCTAGGGGCAGCTCTGCAACACGATCCCAAGTCCGAGACAATACCGCTCCAGACGCCTCACTGCTTTGTACGAGAAAAAAAAAATCTCTGAGCACCGAGCGGCACCGCCGCGACACCGCGGCCGTCGAACCTTGCACACCTGGGCGCTGTACGCGGCGTGGATGCGCAGCACAGAGACGAGACCGCCGTCTGGCCCCAAGATACAACAGAACAGACGCACGATAGCGAGCTCGCCTTGTGCAAAGCCGCATCCTCCTCCGCCGTGGCCGGTCGCTTTGCATGTATCATACCTCCGTTCCGACCATAGACGAGCTGCAGGGCCGCTAGTTTCTTCTGACTGCTCGCTCCTCAATTTGTGCCTCATCTCCGTCTGAGGCTCGTTGGCTTCATGGACGCCAGGTCTGCGGCCTCGGAACCTCAGCATTCTTATCCCCCAAGCCCCTGGACGGCGACTTCCATAGTCTCTGCAGAGTCAATCAGCAACGGGGCTGCGCACTCGCAATCGTCGGAAAGTCCCCCGGACGCAACTGCTCACCCCGTCCCTGCTGGGTCCGCTGGGCCGTTTGCCCAGCTCGACTTCCTTCCCTTTCTCTTTCCCCAGCAAAACATCTACCACGCACAGCTTCTGCACTACAACAAGCTCATCTCGCCCTCGCGCGGAGGTGGACTCCAGACACCGCCGCTGCCTCACGTCGTGTCCTCCCCCCATGTGCAGGCCGGACCCCGATCAAGATCATCTAGCAGAGTTTCCTTGAAAGACGGATCGGCCAGCAAGGGAGCCGCGTCAGGAGGCAATGGGAACCGCTCGCATCACAACTCCGACAAGACCAACAGCCCGGTTGTGACGCCTGCGGACACCGCTTCCAAAATGCCCCCAAAACAGTCATCCGAGATATCGAGGAGCGTGCCTCAACGATCCAATGCAGCAGCTTCCTTAACCCACGGACAGTCCCATTCAAACTCTGTGCCGTCTACACCTCATCAGCATGCTCGACAGTTTTCTTTCGAGTCACGAGAGCCCTCTCCAACAGCCGCCAACAACCATTCCCCCAGATCGGCGTACTCAGAAACAAGCAGCACACTACCCTCACTGCGACCCCTGCCACCTAGGCTCGGCGGATGCAAATATGAGACTGCTCAGATCAACTCGAGACGGAGAATACCATACTCTGTGGGAAGTGACCGACTGGAAAAGCTGGACTTGCGAACTGTCAAGAACAAGTTGTCGGAGGACGAGGAGAGGAAACTAACCACGGATATGCGCGAGATATATAATCGTTTATTACCGACTGACAAGGTTGAAGACAATCGGAAAAAACTGGTGCAGAAGCTGGAAAAAATATTCAACGACGAGTGGCCCGGCCATGACATTTGTGTACATTTGTTTGGGTCGTCGGGCAATCTTCTATGTTCGGATGACTCGGATGGTGCGTACATAAGCTATAGCCCTGCAAAAAGTTGACACACGGAGAACTAGAACTACATGACTAACCCATGGTTTTTTTCTCCTAGTGGATATTTGCATCACTACTTCATGGCAAGAGTTGGAAGGGGTTTGCATGATTGCTGATCTTCTCGCAAGGCGTATGCTACCTCCTTCAAACGTACATGAAAACAGCGTCCGCTAACACGCATTTCCAGGGGGAATGGAAAAGGTTGTTTGCATATCTGCGGCCAAAGTACCCATTGTCAAGATCTGGGATCCTGAGCTTGGTCTGGCCTGCGACATGAATGTCAACAACACTCTTGCCCTCGAAAATACCAGGATGGTCCGGATATACGTCGAAGCCGACCCTCGTGTTCGTCAGCTAGCAATGATTATTAAATACTGGACCAGGAGGAGAATTATCAACGATGCTGGTAAGATGCCAATGCCTTCTTCTCGAAGTCGTGACACATGACGGCTGACATGCCGCGACTTTTATTTGGACAGCTTTCGGTGGCACGTTGAGTTCTTACACGTGGATATGCCTTATTATCGCATTTCTTCAACTCCGCACTCCTCCAGTCCTGCCCGCATTGCATCAAATGCCGTACAAGATGCCGAGATCGGATGGGACCGCTAGCGACTTTGCAGATAACCTCAAGAAGATCAAAGGATACGGCAACAAGAACAAGTCATCTGTCGCGGAGCTGTTATTTCAATTTTTTCGATTTTATGCCCACGAGTTCGATTACGACAAGCACGTTTTGACCATCAGGCAAGGGAAGCTCCTCACGAAGCAAGAAAAGAGATGGAATTATGCCGTGAATAACCAGTTATGCGTCGAGGAGCCTTTCAACATTTCTCGAAATCTAGGAAATACTGCCGACGAATATGCGTTCCGAGGTGTGCACTTGGAATTGCGCCGTGCGTTCGATCTGCTTTGCGAAGCAAAACTTGACCAGGCGTGCGAGCAATACGTATTTCCAAAGGAGGAAGAGCGTGTATGGACACGACCAGCCCCTCAGCCCCGACCAGTTTTGCTCCGAAGCTCATCACAGACACACTCTGGTCGTGGTGGCCGAGGAAATCACAGAGGCGGCCGTCACAACAATAATTTTCACAGGGGCGGAGGTGGATCGAACAGAAGGGCCTCCTCGAGTATCCCAACATATGATCCAAATATGTTTGTGCCATTGGCTATGCAGCAGGACATGTCGTGGCTCCACACCCCCCAGTACCCGTTTCAGTATACTCAACAGGACCTCATGACACAATTCGCCTATCAAGAGCAATTGCGACACTTTCACAACTTGTATGCGCAGGGACCCTTCCTTCCACACCAAGTGCTTGGCCAACAGCAACAAAGGTTACCTGTCAGCCTGGGTTCCGGTCAACAGCCATCGGAACGGTCAAGAACGAATTCATTCGACAATGTTCCGGTCACGGCGCCGCTGCGACCAGATTTGTATGCTTTGTATGGCGTGAACCTAGGACACACCTTTCTCTCGCAAAATGGCTACGGATCGTATCCTTCGACACCTGCAACCACGAGCAACCACGCGGCTCAAGACTTCCGCCGATCTCTACAAAGAACCACAATCTCTACCGAGGGAGGGGCGTCGACGTCGAGCAGTTCAGTCAGGTCCCAATCGCAACCAGCACGGAGGTCGCCATCCGCCAGTGCAGGTGCGGGCTATCAACCGGGCGGCCAAACTCTGACAAGCGCAACCATGTCTGCGCCGAGACATGCGAACGGCATGGCAATTCCAAACTTTATGCCAGACGATGCTGATTTCGATGAGACACCCAAAGCCGTATCTGGGTCGCCCGAATCTGTAGACACCAAGTCTTCTGGATTCTTCCAAACCAGAGGCCTGAGTCCGACTCGGCCTACTCAACTTCAACAACCACCCGCCCCACCGCCACCGCAGCAGCAGCAGCATCTGTCCAACGGAATTGCCTTTGGCGACCTTGGCACGAGTTCTTCCAGTCCTGACAGACGACGCCTCTCCACAGACCAGCTTCCACAGACGCTGCTCGACCGAAGGATACGCAGAGCGTCCAGGTCTCCATCGCCTCTGGGACATGCCCGTGCCTTTTCGGTCGGTGGGGCTTCTTCCGCCCCGTCGGCATCTGCCCCGTTCGCCGGCAGTCAGAGCAGCAAAGTCTCGTCGAGACCGCTGGTGGTGAATGGCTCAGGGTTGAGAACCGCACATGCAGTTACCCCGCCTGGCCAAACGCTCAGGGCGGAAACATTGGGATCTGATGACTCGCCAGCGACCAACATGGACAATGCCTTGCACATCAACACAGTTCCCATCTGGCCTGCACAGTCTCTCGTTTACCCTGCATTGCAGCCGCTGGCATCCCGCCCAGCCCACCAAGCGCCTTCGCCTCTGCCGTTGGACCGACCGCCGATTGTAGTAAATGGATCTAGCCCGCCGTTGTCCATGCCACTCTGTGCAGAAGACGCCTCATTCAAGGACCGCATTACATTGATGAACTCCATCTACCTGACCCGTCAGCTCAGCCAACAGGAAGCCCCAAATGGCGCCGCGGCTCGTCTCTCGCCATCCGCCAGGCAACGCTTGATGTCCCGACAGCCCCAAAGTGGCGTCATCGCTCCGCTGGACCTAGCAATTGGTGACCACCGGGTGGCCAAACCTGCGGGAGTCGAGGCTGTCCACCTCTCTCCTGTCTACGAAACGCGACTACCCTCGCCAGCCGCGCTTCGAAAGCAAGAGCCAGCCGCGTCGGCCCCAACATGGCCGCCCAACAACAAGCCACTTGCAAAGACTGAAACGAGCAAGCCCCCTCGTATGGAGCTTTCCAAAGAGACACAGCATGGTCATGACCAGCGAAATCCCTCGCTTTTCGAGGCAGATGAGCTTCAGAAGGGCCAAAAACCATGCGTGGCAGCGGGAAAGTCTGCGTCGCAGCGAGAGAATGGGCATGTGCGCGGCGCCAAGAGTGAAGGTGACGGTGGTTGGCACAAAGCTTCTGGCAAAGGAAAAAAGAAGGCCTACAACGCGGTTTTAACAGAGCCTTCTCAAGCCGAACTCCCACCAAAAAATGGATCTGAACGCAAAGGCGGTTAGATTTGGTGGATTGTTGTCAGTCAATTATAATGCAAACCGCCACGGCAGAGGCGAATCTGAAGATGGTCAAATGCTGGTTGGATAGTCAACTGTGATGCAGGATCTTGTTGATGCCTTTCTTTTTTTCTTTTTTTCTTCTTCTCTTGGGCTTTTTTTTTTTTTTTTTTTTTTTTTTGTTCAGAAAAGATGTTTGACAAGAACAGGGTAGTGATTGAGATGATTTGCAGCATACACCGCATCGAGTTGGACATGATTTGGGTCGTGGCTAACCCCGAAAATGACATGTACGAGGGTTGCTAGGACGGGATTCAATGTAAAAAGCATATATACAATGCACGAAGCTATTACGGGAGATTCACGAAGGGGATGGGTAGCTGGGGACATGGCAGCAACACCTGGCGACCAGAGACGAGAGGCTGTATCAACATGGAATCAAACATTGAATGGTCTGGTTGGATGGTGGGCGGGCAATCCAAGGGCATGTCGGGCGCATAATTACAGGGGCCAGCTGGCAGGCGTTTTGCATTCAAGAACTTTTTTTTTCCCCATCATTCACATACACGTACGGCATTGCGGTGTTTACGGAGGCATTGATTAGTTTTCGTGAAGCTTGCTTGACCACCAGGATGGAGACCGCGGCCAGGATGGCTGCTGGCAAAGATGAAATGTCATAAAGTCATGGACAGAAAAGATAGTTGAATCGAGAGGAGACAAATTATATGGACCAGTAAGAAGTAGTAGAAGAAGAAGAAGAGGCTTTCTGCCAACCTCGACCATCCCTGACGCCTGCCTGGTCCCTGCATGGCGCAGGATCGACTCGAGCAGGCAGGAAGTGTAAAAAGGAGCATCTGAGGGTATCCGAGGGACATGAAATCGAGTAACCTGGACGAGCATCTAAACCAACAATGGCCGTCCTTGATGGCCAGAGGAGGCCATGCGTTCGCCCGAGGCGGCCGTCAGGTTGGCGTAACAATAATGCCAGGTAGTAAGTACCACGGTTCCAAGGCGATGATGATCAATTCTCACATGGACGTATCCTCGACTCGATTGCCTCGCTGACCGACTCACCAGAGATTGTGAGGCTCAATCAAGCAGGTTGGTTGCGCTCAGACAGAGAACCCAACTCGCGTCTCTCCCGCTCCCGTGTTTGCGGATCCCCGGACGGGAGCTTGGCTTGACCACGCCAAGAGGGGGCGTTTCGAGGGCCACGGGCAGACTTCAGCTGCTGCGCCAACGGTGCGCGGGTGGGCGGAATAGGCCAGCTCGACGGGAGGCAAGAGAACGGCAGGGTCGAGACGTCGTCAGGCGACACGAGTCGGCAGCGAGACACGGCGCGGGCGACCTTCCGTCGTAGCAGCCGACGCGATTCCGCGACCGGGGCCGACGGCTGCTCTTGAGTGCCTGGTGTAAAGTCCCCTCGTTGTCGACATGTGGGAGTTCGAAGAGCCCCGATGGGGATTGATTTTCGCGCGTGTCCGCCGAGACATGAGGCCGGTAAGAGCAGGACCGTGTGCCCAATCATCGTGGCAACACGACCTCTTGGGGAAAGTGCCGCGAAGCATGTCTCAGCTTGGGTCTGGGTCTGGGTCTGGGTCCGAGACATTGGCCGGTGATGTGATGTAGAGGGGAGTGCGTGCAGGCTTGCAGCAGTCCGACTTGTCACTTGAAGCATGTGGATGTTGACCAGAGGTTGGCGCAATCCGTGTGAAGCGTTCTTCGCGAACGATCTTGCTGGGCTTGAGCGTTTTGCTGCGGCTCGCCAGTCGTTGGGAAACAGCTAATGTCATGGTTTGAACAAGACAGAAAGCAGGCGAGTTGTCGTTTGTCGCGGTTCGGCGCCGCCAGGTGGCGTTCAACGTTTCGGTTGTGCGAGGTTATTTATATTTCATCCAGCCCAGAGCTTGGGTTCCATGTGGCCGCGCTTCATCTTCCTCTTCTCTTCTACTCGACTCCAAGGACGGCTTTTGAGTTTGGCATTCAGACTCAAATACCACTCTCGGCGTATACCGCTCTCGCTCTCTCTCGGCCTATAAAGCCCGACACTCGCATCATCGTCTGCTTCCCCGAGACAAGATACCACTTCATCGGCGACTTGCACCAGCCCTTGCACAACGAGGACGTGGCAAAGGGCGGCAATGAGATCCAGGTCAGGTGGCAGCGGCGCGACCACAACCTGCATGCCGTCTGGGATGCCCTCATCCTCGAGAAAATGACGGAGCATCTAGACCCCGCATCGTCAACATCCGTCGCCAAGCTGTGGGCAGGCGAGCTCGTCGGCGAGATTACCGGCGGGAAATATGCCGCCGACAAGCAAACGTGGCTGGCGGATTTTGATCCTTCAGATGCCCATGCCACAGCCATGGCCTGGTCGCGCGAGGCCAACGCCTACGTGTGCAAGAATGGTGAGAAGTCGGGATTCTCCTGCTCCTGAACAATACTGGACTCCGGCTGACGTGTCTCGCCGTGCAGTCTTCCCGCCCGGTCTGAGCCCCGGGCAAATTCAGCACGAGGACCTCTCCGGGGACAGATACTACCAACAAGCCGTCGCGGTTGTCGAGGAACAAATTGCTCGCGCGGGTTTTCGAATGGCCGCATGGCTCGACGGAGTCGTGAACTCCATCGGGGCCCAGGGGGGGCAGTGATGAGGCAGGCGGCCCTGAGTTGTGAAAGTCCAAGCTGACTATGGAGGGAGGTCTGGCGGCGCCTTGGTTCGTCGGCTGTTTGCTGCTTGGTCTACTGGGAGGTCGTGGCTCGTCTTACGAGTGCCTTAACCCTGGCGTGCTCTTGTAGCAACTAGTTGATCAAGGACGGAGCAATGGGAACACTACCATGTCTAGTCGTCCAACATCAGAAGTCTGCCAGTGAATTTTGAGCCCATCCAGAGTAGTTGAGCGAAATGGCGGCGTGAGGCCATCAAAATTTCCTCTCTCGACACGTGAATCCACGAGAAATTCCCAGGGCGAGAGCTGGTGCGGGTATCCAGGATCATGATGATGATGTTGAATGGGTAAGGTGGAAGTCACCTCAACTGAATTGCATATAACGTTAACTATTATACGTACTTAAGTAGGTTATGGGTCCATCGGGATATGACCTGGAAAGTTATGCAATGGCCCGGATATGTAACCGTAACTAGCCCAGATGGAGAAGTCTCTCGCATCAAGCAGCCAATCAGAGCTGGACAGCTGCCCAAACCCCAGACAATCGGTCCCTGGCGGCGATGATCGAGTCTCCGCCCACGTTGAAACAAACCTGGATGAGCAAGTCCCCAGTCCATCCGAGACAGGGTCTCAGTCGTGACTCGTCAGCATGTACTCCTCGCCTCGGATCATGGACAGCGAATGCGCTGTGTGTGTCCATCGTTCCTCCTACACGGCAAACCAGCACGCCAGAGGCCCCGGACTATGGCGATGCGTCCATTGCCATTACTCCGACGCCTCATGTGCGAGGCAGCCCGACGGCGGCAGATTCAACAACTCCACCACGGCCGTCGTCACACGATCGGCCCTGGAGCGGCCCTTTGCGCAAGGCGCTTTTCGCTGGGTGGCCAAGGGGAGATACAGTTCAGGACCTCGCCAGGGGCAGGCGTGCGTCTTCAAGTGGTTCAAGGCGGGCTCTGTCTTCTCCCAAGACTATTTCAACCTCGACATGAAGGGTGTTGACAAGGCGTTGGAGTTTGTCAACACGTTCAACCAGATGGGCATCATCAACAAAGTTATCAAAATCAACGTGCCCCAAGTGTGGCAGTTTAACCATAGTAGCGACAGTGAGTGGTCAGGTCAAAAGGTCCTTTGCGAGCCATTTATCCAAAACTACCAAAAGTTCAACAGCAATAGTGGGTGGCATACCGAGACCAGGGCCTGGGGGGAAGTCATGCAGGCTCTGAGCCATTTTAGCTACCACCTCTCGGCCGGCGATTTTGTCCTGTGCGACCTCCAAGGCGGCATCTACCAGCACGAGGTCGTCCTCTCGGACCCTGTCATCCTGTCCCGGGATCGCCAGTACGGCGTGACGGACCTTGGGCCCGACGGCATCAGCTCATTTTTCGCCCAGCACTACTGCAACAACTACTGTCACCGGAGCTGGACGCGCCCCGGTAGCACGCTACAGTACTTCCGCCCTGTGCCAGGCACGACTATGATACAACGATCCGTGGGTACGGAATATTCACGACCATACCGAACGAGGTTCTATGGGTAGACTTCTGACGGCTGTCTGCGGATGAACCAAGCCCGCGTGGGACTCTTTTCGACAAAGATGGGACCTAGGCAGCAAGTCATGTATACCGTTGTATTTCCGGCCCAGACACATTAGTAACATACGAGAGAGAAAATTGGGCAGAGGTGAATCAGACCAACGCAAAGTATCAAAGCCATCAGCACAATGGTCCCAAATGGATGAGACGATCAGACTAGGGGTTGCATGTCTCGCTTCATGCTCGCGAATGTAAAAGACTTTTGCAGAATCTGTAGAAGAAGAGATGAAAAATAGATAAGGGCTGAGATTTGGGTAACAAAATTTAGCCGCGTTGGGATATATTCACAGAAAGCGTTTGGATCGAGTGATGCCGCTTCTTGGAAGCGGGGCTAGGGTCGACGCACAAGCAAACGTCTCACGTCTCGCACACATTCACGATGCCATTTTTGTTTTTTTTCTTCCTCTTTTGGCCTTTGAACCTTGCGCCGCTCGATCCGACACACGCCACTCCTCTCTGTGCTCAGGCATCTCGAGACAAACCTTGCTTGCCATCTAGGCATGCCTCTTCAGTAGACGCTTCTCATCTCCGTCGTGCGGCAAAACGCCTCTCATTATGAATGCCGACGTGGACAAGTTCAACGGCCGGGCACCACGGGCCCGCGAGCTTTGTCATAAGAAAGAGAGCGTGGCGCGGTGCTGGGCGTGTCTGGCGGTGTGCTACTGCGGGCGAGAGTGCCAGCGTCGACACCGTGAAGGGCACAAGATGCCATGCAGGCTGATCACGAGGGCACGTCTTCACTACGAAACAGAGAGAAGCAGCTGCGCGACACGACGGACGGAAACATCTTCGAGGAACATGTCGGCCGCTTCTGGCGCATCGTGGAAACGCGGACGTACATGCACGCGCGCTACGAGTCGTTCGACTCGGGAGGGACCAGGACGCCTACGATTTCATGGCGTGGTCCGCAGCTACCGGGCAGGAAACCGACTACGACTGGGCCAACTTGGCCCTGCCGTTCCTGGACACCAAGGAAGGGTGCGGACGCGTTGGAGGCACCGCCAAGGTGCCGCGCATCCATCTCCCATAACATGAACCACGTCTTGGCCGTGGTGCTAATCAAGGTGGCAATCACACGGGACCTCCAGGCCATCTAGAATGCTAGGGCGGCGCTCCGCGGTGCCGTTCCGCAGGAAATCGTCGACATGATGCGCGGCCAGCTTGTCAGCTCCGTCATTTCGTCCCGTCCTGAGATTCTTCTAGGTACGCCAGAGGAGACCGCACGCCTGGCTGCGACCATCGAGGGCCAAAATAAGAGAATTACACGACAGCGTCCAGACATATAATTCACACTTCTGGGACTTGCTGGTCCAGGATCCAGACTCTGGCGGTTGCGCAGACCCCTCGGGCTGCACGCGCCCAAGTCGAAGGGACAGGCTCTGCTGTCAGTTGGACATCACTATTCTTCATGGCACGAGACCCCCGAAGCGGCGGACATGCTTCGGAATTTGGGCAATAAAGACTGAGGAGACTCTGGCTGGCGGAGAACGACAGTGGCCTTGTTCGATGGTAACTTGTGACAATGGGGAGAGGGCGAGGAGTACTGGCGGAACAGTAAGGGGGGTTGGTCAATGAACGGTCGTTGTTAAACCAGGCTGCGAATTTGTTCACTGTCGCGACGAGGGAGAGACGCTGTAGACGTTGAAAGTGTCGTCATGACTTGATGAGACGTTGCTTCCGACCACGCTCTGTCCACAAGAAGCAGGCATGAATTAACGTCCCGCCCCACAAGATCGCCAGCCCCCTATTTTCGACAGAGGTTTACACTACAAACACTACTTTTTTAAAAATTAATAATAAAGGAAAATAAATACTAAAAAATATTATAAAATAAAAAATAATATTAAAATTACTTATATTTATATATTTTAAATAAAACTTATAATATACTAGCTTTATAAAATTACTAGCTTTTTATTTTTATTAAAGCTTTATATTATAAATACTACTTTTTTAAAAATTAGTAATAAAAGGAAATAAATAC